ACTCGACACCACGCTACAAACTTTTAAAAGTCCATAGTCTAGGCCAAACTCAAAAACGCTCAATATTTAGTTATTAGTGAAGGCATTCTGCAGCTTTGGATAATGAAATCCAATGCGTTCACGCATGACTAATGGTAGAAAATATTGGCTAGTTTCATCTACTGACATTTTGTCGACATAAACCTACGATAAACACACCAAAGCTTACATATCTAATAGGCTTGGCATTTAAAATTTTTTTTACAAACACTAGATTACACTTCACTAGTAACGTGCTCAAGCTGTTATGTCTTCTCTTCCAACGTAAGTACGTTCATAGTCTCTGGTTCCGCAACCGGACCACTATATTATTCACGACACCAATCCACATTTTTGGTAATTCTCTTTTCAATGTGAAGACCGATTGGACTGGCCGGTTCAGAGCCGTGTATCTGCAGAATATCTTTTAAAGCAACTAGTCGTTCACTTCTTGCTTGTTAGAAATAGCGTCATTCCTTTTAAATGCCATAATATCATGAGTGGGAATCGACAATTTCCTCGACAATACTTGATCTCAAGACCCCTTAAATTTTGTAACCTTTTAACAATTGTTCTCATACCTGGAAGCTGAAGAGAGGAAATTTTAGATCCACTAAAACAATACTCTGTGTATCGTCAATGGACTAGAGAGTTTAAACAGAGGAGGATTAACGATGGTGATGATTAGTGCAATGAATACGTAGCATAACATACACAACACACTGTAGACGAATACTAAACCACTCATAGGTGGATTCATTTATTTACCCTTGAATGTTGAAAATAACCTTTGGAAAACGAAGGTTTTGTGTATCCCCATGCTGACCCTGGCTGAGGTGACCTCTTGCCCAATTTGAAGTGCCTGACTCTTCCATCGCTTGTCAAACGGGCCTTGTCCCATAATTTTTCTTAGTCATCTCTTAATTTGGCACTGGCATATAAGGTCGAATCACTAGTGTTTGGGTGAGCGACCATTCCAAAGTTTGATATTGGTAGTAGACTAGTACGTCCAAGTCGTCAGATAAGCTCAATTTTAAGCACACCTTCTACTAACCTCGGAATCTTTATGGCTGATATTACTACGTTTTTAAGTTTAACCATCCATCGACAACCATATAAATCCGTTTGTGATTATCGTCTATTTACCTACCACTTTTCCTCTACAGGTTTCTATGGAAGTGTTTGTTATTTGCATCCTTTATCTACTACATGATAATAAACCAAAGGAATATAGCAGTTAGTATTCAGACTCTCTGAGCACATAATTGTTGTTTATTGACATTTTTCGTAACGTTTACGTATTCAATATTGTACTACGTTGTCGTTACCTTTAATCCATAAAGAATGAGTTTTATTGCTGGAAACGGCTAGAGGATTAATATTAAAACTTATTTTAACACGTACTTAGTACGTTTTAAAGTCTAATACTGGAAAGCTTACTTATTCTTCAATATGTTAAAGTTTGACCATACGTAAAGATGATATTTCTTAGACCGATTCTTATTAGATGTAAATTTAGTGAGAATCTACTGCAATATAACGAAATATTATTATCGATAAAACCGACGGACTTAACATGCAGATCCAAGTGCTCGTCGAATTACTTATTTAAATGCATTTTTCAACGATTCACAATCTTCTACTGGCTAAAAAATCCAGTTACATTTAACTGGGGAAACTGTCATTTCGGTTGTCAAGCCTTATTATACTCTAATGACCTATTTACATCCGCTCGAAAAAGTCTTGTTTTAATCAGGCCGCCGCAACTATCAAAACTCATATTTGTATTAAACGCTGCTGGCAACCTAACGAACCACGGTTTGTTCAGTTACGCCGAAATAAGTATAGTACAAGCTCTGTACAACACACAAATTTCCTTTATTCAATCGAATTCAAATATATTAGAAAACTAGGTGCCTAAATGAAATGATTTTGATGCAGAAGTGTTAACAAAGTCTCAGCAGTACGTCTCGCATTTTACAGTCAAAGGTTCCTCTCTCACAACATAGTGCACGGTAACAGTACAAAACAGTTATTGACTAGCTTTCAAGCAAGTGAGAATTTTTCAAACGAAATAAGATCGACAATCTGCCTGTAAGTATACAAACAACCGTTTTCTGCAGGTATTCGAATAACTTTTCCATACCCAAATTTTGAGTTTAAACTAGTATAGTGACCTACTTTTATCAAGAGAACGCGATCGGTGCAATGAAAGCAATTATCATTATAACCAACTGTATTGGAGATCGCTTTACCGTACATGTTTGTTTAACTGTACCAAAATACATACATTCTTCCATTGACTGTGGCCTTGCACGAATTCAGCTACACCCACTAACCACACTTGTAACGTTGCACGATCTCGGTATTCTTTTGATACCACGAGATCCCCAACAAATACGTCTCGACCACAGCCACCAACTATCTCCTGATATTTGGCCTACGGTGGATCTTCCGGTTAACTGGCACGTAGTCTTCCTGTAGTGGTGATCATAATCAACCGCGACTCGACTCCACACTACACAAACAAGACCTCATCGTCAGTGAATTGACATCATGGGAAAACAAAACCAAATAATGGAGATAAATGACAACTAAAGTCAAGCAACACAGTAGCATTTGTACAATCTGAAGACTATAATCATCCTTTACCATGGGGTCCGAACTTATGGTCCCACCTGACAGAAAATGCCTTCGTCATCCTTTTTGCTAAGATATGGTATCTGTCTTCTAGGAGGATTTCAGAGAAAGCAACTGGAAAGGTAATTGAACTAAGAAGTAAACCCAACCAACCTCACTAGGATTCACCAAACTTACATCCTTTTCAGTGCAGAAGCAGAAGGAAGGATAATTATGACGCATTATATTGATCGTAACCCCTCAGATTCTTGTGGATTAGTAATTCACTCTAGTACTGAAATGGATATAATGTCCGTGAGAACATTTTCTCTCACAGATATTCCAAAGTTCTGTGACGGAGTTAATAATAGTGGCAGATTCACTCACTAGAAAGCTAAAAGCTCATTTTGGAAACAGTGGTAGCGCCTGGTACTACTCCAGGCGTTATTCTCTGATCACAAATATTTAACCAGTCTTCAGTATTTAGTAATAAGGATAATAGTTTGATGGATCTGTGTGAATCCCTGCAGCTTGTTTTCCACCAGAAGTCCTGCTTTTGATTGAAAATGTTAACTGGTAGGGCTGACACCACACGTCCGAGGAAAAAGAGTTCCAGTCATTGGCCACTTGATGGGTAAAACAGAACTGCACTCTCAGTTTGTGGGGTTGTTATTTCTAAACCTCCTTTCAATAGCCTCGCAGATGATTAATGCTGGAGGGAGCAAAATGATAAGGCACATCAACACATAAATCGTAAATAAAGGTACAGAACACCAACATAAGATCACATTGCGTCTCGCGATTCGATAAGAAGAGAAGGTTTCGGTGACTTAAGCCCTCATCGTAAGAAATTCTGGAAAAACACTCCACTAATCTTGTTCTCACACGTTAAACGTGCTCACAGGAGTTAGTGTTCGGTGTACATGAACACACTCTTTATAGAATTAATTTCTAAGCCCTAACTTTAGGAACACCCAACTTATTCGTCTAAGTCAGCATGAAGATTAAGATGATCAGCCTCACTTCTTATTATTTTTCAGACTTTGAAGTCATCCGAAAATTTTTTTCGATGACTTACGTAATTCACTGACGTAGAGAAGGGAAAGTAGTGGGCCTAATATGGTGGCTTCGTGTATACCACCTTTGAATATCTTTCCATCTTCCCTTACTCTCTAACTTCGGTCACATAAGAAGCTTCTTATCCATCTCTGTATATCAACCGTTATTCCGGAGCTCATGAGCTTCTGCACAAGATTTAGATGAGAAACCTTGTCAAATGCTTTGTTAAAGTCTATGAATATCACACCGACAGACAGTCTATTACCTAGGGCTCCTGTTCCACACCTCTCGCAATGAGTTAGTTAGACATGAATGCTTGTTTCGAAACCCGTGTTCCTAGACAGTTAACAGATTGTGTGATTCTATGTGAGTTAGTAACATGGCCCAAATTAGTCTTTTCAAGTACCCTAACTGCTATTTTGGTTAGACTGACAAGCTAGTAGTTAGATGTTTTCTGTCTCTGGCCATCTTTAAATATAGGACTAAATATAGCATCTTTGCCGCAGACCCAGATGTGGCTTTAAGCCTATTCCGTTCGTTCTTCACTGAGTTATCTACACCGGCCTACCAAACTTTTAAGATAACACAGTTTGTAGGTGTCGAAATACTAGCCTGCCAGATAATGTGGAGTGTTGGAGCAGACACATAGAGTATGTTGCGTTCGAAACCCAAAGTACAGTACGACGTGACTACTGTTTGGTAGTGAGGGAGGTAATATTACCACAATGGTTTGTAAATACAAGATTCAGCGGTAAATGTTCGTGTTTCAGGCCAATCTGTATTAGTTTTGCGCAATATTGTAATGGTTGAGAGTAAGCTTCTGTCAAAAGATCCACCTGAAGTTGTAAGTTATATCCAGTTGATATGGGATGCGTTAAAATACTCAACGATAAGAAAGCAGTCGACCTTACTCCAAGAATAGATATGACCTAAGACAAAGTCGTTAGCAAGACAACATGGACCACGAAGTATTCCTTCTATAGTCGCCAACCCCTCTAGATTTAATTGTACAGCAAGCTACCTCACATGCGTCACTATCATGCGCTTCTTATATGCTTGATCTTACACGGAGATGACCTCCTATACATAATATTATGCCTCCTTCTAGAGATTTATAACTTTATATCTTCTAATACAAATGTATCCTGTTATGATTGGCGAACAGTGTACATCTACACTAAAGGTTGAACAACAATAATTTAACCTCTTCATTATATGGAATCCTCTTTTAAAAACTGAATGTAATCATAAGACATATACTCGTCACTAGTTCAAGGTTTAACGTCGTAATCGTTTTTCTAGATATATTGGGGCCACATCAAGGTTGCAATCAAGGTAATCTTGAACCCCGCTAAAAGCACTGACAAGGGTTAATCTAGACCTTCATGACTTTGTAAGCCCTAGGTATTTTTATTCTATGTTTCATGAGGATATTTTGCATTCTTGTCGTATTTTGAAAGTTATGATTACTGCATAAAACCACCTGTCTTTGGCGAAACGTATTCTAATACACCTTAACCATTATAATGGCTATTATAATAGGTTTTATTAATCTTAATTTTTGAATCAATCAAGATTTGTACGTTTCAGGGCTCGCCCTGTTTTTTGGTGTTTTCTGTTGCAGTGAATATATCTGCACTGGGTCCTATGTGAACACGAAAAGACAAATTTCACGTCATTTTGTAGCAAATTTGATATACTAGATTACTATTTCGAACCCAGTAATACGAGTAACTAAGACGAGCTATGGATACTGATTACAGGAAACGATAGATCTAAGCTTTGGCATGTAGTTTTCTTAGAGTTATGCAACTCTTGTTTCATAATCAGGATGAGCGCAGAAGACATGTCCATATTAGAGTGCATGTTTCAATTGAATGATGAATTTAATCATATAAACTGAACCGCTACTGGTTGGTTTTCACTGCCGATGACATTTACATCGAGGTTAAAAAATTACTGCCTTACGAAAAAACTACTCTAATAACCACAATCTAACGCATTTCTCCTTAGTAAACTAACACTGATTATTAGTGCTTCGCCAAGGTATTCCTAATTCCGTAGTTTGTTATTTACTTTTTTCGTACTTTAAAATCTAAAAGCAGCAGGCTCATTAAATCTGAACAATAGATTGATAAAACGGCATGATAATTAGGAGTATTCGAATTAATGTACTAAGATTTCCTTAAATAGTGTTATTTAACGCAGGTAAAACTGGATGAGCACACATGGATGCATCATATTTGGAATTCGTAATAAGTGCACAATCAAGTAAAAGTAATCACCAGTTAGTACAAATACTACAAACAATTTTACAGCTCTAATTATGCGCTCTGCTCGTTAAAATAATGCCAGACCTATCAGCAGACATATTTTAAGGTTCTTCGTAAAAATGCATGTTATCTGCCCTAAAAACTTTACAAATAAGGACCGAACGCTTCGTAAACAACTAATAAGTTGATTTAACAAACGCCCAGGTAAGACCATCGTAATATGTGAGTATAAGTCTGTTGTTTGTTTTCTTCAGTGACCAATATAGTAGAAGGTTATATTGGAATTTATTCATAAATCATATAATTTGGTGGAAATCTATTGTTTGTGTGCAAAATATTCCACTCGTAAATTGGTCAAGAAAATACATATACTTCTTAAAAGTGATTCACTTGTTCAATGAGGTTCTAACACTTTATCACTTTCGATAGTCGCAAAAACATCAGATACTGCACTCCAACCATAACGACGCTATACCATATAGCTAAATACGTCTACGAGTCGTTCTTTAAATTCCCTTTTCTTAATTTAAGTTTGTTATTCGTGTTTTAATGGTATGGGATACCTGAATGTCTAATCACTTCTTACCTATACGTCATGCCCTGTAATAGGTAATAGACAACCAAACTAGAACGTGGAAACATCTAGTAAAGCTGATTGTTGGCTTACTTTGTCTAAATGTACACTTTCTAGTTTGGATCTACGAAACGGTTGTAAAAGAGATAAATAATGCCTCAAAACATCACATTGAGACTACAACATACAACTAATCTTTCTTTAAGTCTCGAAAGTCATTAGTACTTTTCACTCTAGTTTTTTTCCGTCTAGCTTTCGGTGTTCTTAATCCTGAGTTTTAACAACTTATCAAACCTTATCTATAAGCAAAGTTCAATACTGACTTTTGGTGAGATGCGGGACACACGTTTCGTTACTCTTGGGACTCAGTTGTATTACCTGCATCTCAGCCCAACCGTTGCTGCTACCTTAACGTGGCAGTCGGGTTTGTCTTTTGTGATGAACCAATCTAGCTATACTGGCTGGAACAATCGTTCCTCAAGGTCCTACTATTCCGGACAGGTCGGTTAAAGAGCAGTAAGACTACAAGCAGCAAATCCAAAGTCCGAGGGCGAAGTCGTATTGCTGACTGTATACAGGTGTGACGGCAGTAAGATGTTTCCTTCAGACAACCAGTAGTACAGCAATGCTGCTTTACCACAAGGAGTCAGTCAGCTACAACGTAGGACCAGGCACATATATGCATCGGTCCAAGTTGCCATACCTCAATAACACAACAAGATGGACACCGGATTCATAAAAGTAGTTAATTCAGAGGTGGTAATATATAAACGAAAGATTGCAATAAGGATATAGTACAGGGAGAAAGAATTAGTTCGTAGAAAGAAAGATATGAAGCGATTTTAATCTCTTAGTTTAAGGGAAGACAGAGAGTGTATGCACCGACGCCATTGTGATCGATTCTGAGCCATGTCACCAAGAGTCTCCAACCATTGGTTACGATAGTCACGCGAACCTCAACCAAGTAGTCTGAGTCTACCAACATGGCTCAGACTAGAAGTTAGTGACTTCAAGCACTGATACCACGTTTTGGTTTGGCCGTCCCTAATTCTCTTCCAACCATCTCTAACGCCCGTTAGCATTGCACGACGTGGTAATCGGTGTTTGAGCACACGTAACACGTGGCCCAATCATCTCAGTCGATGAAGATTCACAACCTTTTCAACTGATTTATCATCATTCCCTAATACCCTGCGTCTAACCTCCCTATTACTTACCCGGTGATCCCAGCAGACGCCAGCAATGTTTCTGAGGCATCTGTGGTCAAATACTAGTAGCTTATGAGTGTCTTCTATTCTTAATGGCCATGTTTCGCTGCCGTAGATTAAAACAGAACGGATGGCCGCGCAGTATACTCGTCTATTTATTGAATGACGGATATCTCGCCTTCACCATAGGTGACGTAAGTTGGCAAAAGCCAAGCGAGCTTTTCGAATCCGTGCTGAGATTTCGTCAGACACCGACCCATTAGGGCTGATCAGACGTCCAAGATAAGTGAAGTTGTCAGCGCGTCCGACTACTTCACTCCCTATCCTTAGTTCAGGTGTTGACGCAGGCCAGTCCTGAAGCAACAACTTGCATTTAGAGGGAGAGAAGTGCATTCCAAACATTCTGGCATTGTTGCTTAGTGCTACCAAAAGACTGCATTTTATCAGCGTCTTCAGCAAACAGGACTATATCATCTGCTTATTCTAAGTCGATAAGTGGACCTCCTGGAAGGAGATCAATACCCGAGAATTCAGTAGACGAGAATGTTATTTCCATCAATAGGTCTATGATAAAGTTAAACAAAAATGGAGAAAGTGAACAGTCTTGACGGACACCACTTGAGGTTGCAAAAGCAGATGACAGTTCGCCATAAGCTCTGACTCGACTGGTAGTGTTCGAGTAAAGAGCCTTCACAAGGTTTATATACTTCTGAGGTACGCCTTTCAATGACAGACACTGCCACAGAATCTCGCGGTCTACCGAATCAAATGCTGCTTTTAAGTCAAGAAAGACCACCATTGTCGGACGCCGGTTAGTATACCTATGGTCTAGAACCTGACGAATGGTGGATATGTGGTCGATGAAGCCACGACCAGGTCTGAAGCCAGCTTGATTCTCTCGTGTTTCCAGTTCACGAGTCTTAGTTAGGTGTCTGATAATTATTGAGACTAGTATTTTGGATTTTATGTTAGTCAAACTGATCCCTCTATGGTTTTTACAGGATGATTTTAACCCTCTCTTATATATTGGTACGATAAGTGATTGTGACCAGTCAGTCAGATGAGATTACATCCAACTCCCAGATCTTAGCTAAAATATTAGTCAACCTAATCGTTAAAATTGAACCATCATCCTTAAAGACCTCTGGAGCCAATCCATCTGGACCAGCTGCCCTTCCTCGTTTCAGATTAACTATAGTTTTTTAAACTTCAGTGTTTCATTCACACTGTCTGGGAATAGTGGATAGTTGTAGAGTAGCTGAGGGCCAGCTGAACTGTCCTCTAAAATGTTCCGCCCATCGTTCTAAACGTCTGGACTGAGAGCAGATGAAGGTGTCGTCTTTTTCCGAAATAGTCTGACTTACACTTGACTTATTAATTCCAGTTTCCTTTATTAGTCTGTAGAGCTGTCTTGTGTTCCCTATAGCCGCTGCCTTTTCCATCTCTTTTGCTTTCGTTGCCCACCACTGCTCACGGTCGTTCCTTAGACTTTTGATTAACCTAGATCTGATTTGTTGTCGCTCTTCATCGTGTTCAGAGCCTGATGGGATGAGTTTACGAGAATCCATCAGTGCAATAGACCTAGAGAAAATCCTATGGTTCTTTGTAACCCTGTGGTTTAAATCACTGATAGATGTTACTGCTGTTTCCACAGCAGTTTGTATAGCTTTCCAAGCAACATCTGGGTCAACCTTGTTTTCAGAACTACCTAATTGTGACCTCAGTTATTCCTGGAACCTTCTTTTGGTTTTCTCGCTACTCAATTCAGTTCTAATGGGTCTTTTTACTGAGGCATTTTTGCGTCCAGTGAGGCCCAAGCAGATGCGTGCCCGTATTAGGGCGTGGTCGGAGTCCAAGTAGGTACTCCAGAATGAGCGACAATCTTCTACCGACCCTCTCCAACGATGACTGATGGCAATATGGTCTATTTGAGTCCATTGTTGGTTTGGTGTAGGGGGTCGCCATGTTAGACGGTGTCTCTCCTTATGCTTAAAATTTGTGCTTGCTAAAAATAAACGATTGTCTGAGCACAGTTGCAGCAGATGATCACCATTATCTGTTCGCTGAATCGGAATACTAACAAACCTACTTAAATGTCTTTCTGTGTGGTTTATGCTAGCTACTTGAGCATTAAAGTCACCTGCTACAAGTACCATGTATGAACGTTTAACTTTCTGAAGAAGTTCAAATAGCTTTCTGTAAAATTCATCTTTCACTTCATCTGAGCTGCAGTCGGTGAGAGCGTAGGCAGAAGCGACAAAAAAAGCAAAGACGTGTGTCCCCATCCTTCCGAGTTCTTACGGAGCCGTTTAGCCGAACAGCACATAGGCCGACTGAAAGATTTCTTCTGATTGTACCTCTTCGTCATTACTCTCTCTTTCTTTTGCGTTCCTTAGTTTTTTTTTCTTCTTTTTTTTCTTTCTACTTCTCTTCGAATTCCCATTGTTTTGTGTGGCGCATATATATTGGCGCTCTCTTGTACCAATATTTATGTGTTCAAATAAATAAATAAATAATAATAACATAGGCAACTGTTAACGGAGATCCACTCTAACAGTGCTTGTTCCGCCCTCATGCGTAGTGCTATCCCTACTCCTGCCAGTCCACGAGAGCTGGCCGTCGGGTCACCAGATACACGGAGGGTGTATCTCGTTGGCTCTCCGTTTTGCCGAGGTGAGGTCAAGTGAATGACCACACTGGGATCCTGTATGTGTGTTTCGGAGACACAGCATACATCAATGGTACGAGGTTCTAGGGTTCTAGCCAAGGAAGCTTGTTGACCGATTTGACATAGGATGCGCACGTTGAAGGCTCTAATGTGTAGTTTGGAGCGAGGTTTCAGTAGACCTGGGACAGTGTTTTGAGCACTAGAATCGTTGGCTATGGTGACACTTGAGGGGGAAGCCGAAAAAGGAGGTTTAGAAGTGAAAGTCGATGTAGGAGGAATAATAGGAAGTGAAGACAGGTTGATCATGAATACAGTGGTCTTGAGTGTTGTTAGAGGTATGAGAGGTGGTTTTCACTTCCCGGTTGCCCACACCGTGGAAGGGTTGTTCTGGAGGTACATGAAAAGGAAATTGGATTAGAGGTGCTCTTAGTGACCTGGAAGCGTGACCGCAGTGCCCAAGGGACAACTGCTTGAGGTCGGTCACACACGACCTTTTTATGGGTAATTTTTGTGTTAGCTCCGTACTTTTAAGGACCTTACCGCCGGAGACGGATATCAGTGGGATAAGGCGAGGTGTGCATTTTTAGGGTCGACTTTTTCTAACCGCACCCCTCCTTGTGGGAAGGCAGCATCGCTGTCATGCTGGTTGTCTGAAGGAAACACCTTACTGCTGTCACACCTCTGTACAGTCAGCAGTACGACTTAGCCTTCGGACCTTGGGTTTGTTGCTTTTAGTCTTACCGCTCATCAACCGACCTGTCTGACATGGTAAGACCTTGAGGAACAGTTGTTCCAGCCAGTATAGCTCGGTTGCTTCATCACGATAGGTAAGCCAGACCACCACGTCAAGGTAGCAACAACGGTCGGGTTTACCGCAAGGAGGGGTGGAGTTAAAAAAGGTCGACCTTAAAAATGCACACCTTGCCTTATCCCACGGATATCCGTCTCCGGCGGTAAGGTCCCAACAAGTACTGAGCTAACACGAAAATCACTCACAAAAAGGTCGTGTGTAACCGACCTCAAGTAGTTGTTTCTTGAGCATTGCGGTCACGCTCTCAGATCACGAAGAACATCTATAACCATACTTCCTTTTCAGGTACCTCCAGAAGAACCCTTCCACGGTGTGGGCAACTGGGAAGTGAAAACCACCCTCATACCTCTAACAGCACTTAGGATCACTGCGTTCATAATCAAGTTCCCTCTTCAATCGCTATCGTTCTTCCCACCTCGACTTTTAACTCTGAACTTTCCTTGACTTCTTCTTCAGGTGTCACCTTGGTCAACGATTCTAGTACACAAAACACTCCCATATCTGCTGAAACCTTACCCCAAACTGCATATTGGAGCCTTCAACGTACGTCATTCACTCGACCCCACATAGCCAAAATGGGGAACCGACTAGATATACCCTCCATCTATCTGGCAATCCAATGACTAGTTCTCGTGAACTGGCGGATGCAGGTATAACACTAAGTACGAGGGTAGAGCAAGCAATATTAGAATGGATCCCCGTTAACAGTTGCCTATGTGCTGTTCGGCTAAACGGCTCCGTAAGAACTCGGAAGGATAGGGACACATGTAGTTGCCTTTTCTTTTCTGCCTACGCTTCCACTGTCTACAGCCCAGATGAAGTGAAAGATGAATTTTACTGGAAGCTTTCTGAACTTCTTCAAAAAGCTAAATACTTAGACAGTTTTTATTTATTTATTTATTTTAACACATAGATATTGGTACAAGGAGGCACCAAATACATATGCACCACACAATCCCATTTGATATGTGTGAGGGCTGTGATACTGCCCGTGTGCCCAAACCGAAGCAGGTGGTTTTCTTAGGGTGCCACACCCGGAGCCTTCGATCTGAAGAACTAGTCTAACCTTTAAACAGCATAATTAATTTTCAGGAACTGTTTGGTGGCTTTTAGTATTAGTTAATGGATTACTTATAAACTTCTATGTAAAATTAACAGTAGAATGTACACGGTATTATATAACAAATACTGTTTTTTTCTTCGATGAGCAGTTAACTATTTTAAATATCAATGGAAGAACAACAATAATCGCACACTTAAGACCATATGCAAATACTCATACTTTTCCGCACATTTCGTCTGCTTTAGACATTTAAACATAACAATAACGACAATATATGCAGAATACAATGAATTCATTGTATTTTGTTGTCTTCTCTTCAGCTACATTATTATTTATTTATTTTAACACATAGATATTAGTAAAAGTAGGCACCAAATGCATATGCGCCACACAAATCTCATTCGATATGTGTGAGGGGTGTGATACTGTCCGGGTGCCCTAACCGAAACAGGTGGTTTTCTTAGGGAGCCATTCCCCAAGCCTTCGACCAGAAGGTCTGATCCACAAGGCAGTGGAGCATCGTAAGGAGATGCAGTCTCATGGAAGCCGGTGACCAACGATTGGTTCATACGCCATTTGTTTCTTCAGGATACTGGAGCCCATGTGCACCATTGGTTTGTAATCAGGGTTTTCCGACTCCCCTAGGTGGACTCTCCATGTCCACCAACCCGGTTAAAGCGCCGGGAGGGCATTGAGTAGGACTTCCCTGGCAGAGGCTATATACGCGTAGGCATGTGAGAGCATTTCGATAAGGTGAGCGGGCCCTCCCTACTCTCGGCCGTACCAGGGTATTTGGGGGCACTCAGACGTAGTACTAGTTGCAGGTGACTTTAATGCTCAAGTAGGTAGCATAAACCACACAGAAAGACATTTAAGTAGGTTTGTTAGTATTCCGATTCAGCGAACAGATAATGGTGATCATCTGCTGCAACTGTGCTCAGACAATCGTTTATTTTTAGCAAGCACAAATTTTAAGCATAAGGAGAGACATCGTCTAACATGGCGACCCCCTACACGAAACCAATGGTGGACTCAACTAGACCGTACTACCACTAGTCATCATTGGAAAGGCTCAGTAGAAGACTGTCGCTCCGATCATGCTCTAATACGGGCACACATTTGCTTGCTTCTCACTGGACGCAGAAAAGCCACATTAAGAAGACCCACTAGAATTGGATTGAGTGACGAGAAAACCGAAAGAAGGTTCCAGGAATAACTGAGGTCACAATTAGGTAGTTCTGAAAACAAGGTTGACCCAAATGTTGCTTGGAAAGCTATACAAACTGCTGTGGAAACAGCAGTAACATCTATCAGTGATTTAAACCACAGGGTTACAAAGAACCATAGGATTTTCTCTAGGTCTATTGCACTGATGGATTCTCGTAAACTCATCCCATCAGGCTCTGAACACGATGAAGAGCGACAACAAATCAGATCTAGGTTAATCAAAAGTCTAAGGAACGACCGTGAGCAGTGGTGGGCAACGAAAGCAAAAGAGATGGAAAAGGCAGCGGCTATAGGGAACACAAGACAGCTCTACAGACTAATAAAGGAAACTGGAATTAATAAGTCAAGTGTAAGTCAGACTATTTCGGAAAAAGACGACACCTTCATCTGCTCTCAGTCCAGACGTTTAGAACGATGGGCGGAACATTTTAGAGGACAGTTCAGCTGGCCCTCAGCTACTCTACAACTATCCACTATTCCCAGACAGTGTGAATGAAACACTGAAGTTTAAAAAACTATAGTTAATCTGAAACGAGGAAGGGCAGCTGGTCCAGATGGATTGGCTCCAGAGGTCTTTAAGGATGATGGTTCAATTTTAACGATTAGGTTGACTAATATTTTAGCTAAGATCTGGGAGTTGGATGTAATCTCATCTGACTGACTGGTCACAATCACTTATCGTACCAATATATAAGAGAGGGTTAAAATCATCCTGTAAAAACCATAGAGGGATCAGTTTGACTAACATAAAATCCAAAATACTAGTCTCAATAATTATCAGACACCTGACTAAGACTCGTGAACTGGAAACACGAGAGAATCAAGCTGGCTTCAGACCTGGTCGTGGCTTCATCGACCACATATCCACCATTCGTCAGGTTCTAGACCATAGGTATACTAACCGGCGTCCGACAATGGTGGTCTTTCTTGACTTAAAAGCAGCATTTGATTCGGTAGACCGCGAGATTCTGTGGCAGTGTCTGTCATTGAAAGGCGTACCTCAGAAGTATATAAACCTTGTGAAGGCCCTTTCATTGTTCTTCTGAACGACATCATCAGCACAAACTTCAGGTAGAGGAACGATGAAAGCTCCACAACCAAACTGTCCAACTCAGAGAACAAAACTTCACCAAAATCACCCACGTGAGCTACAAATCTTCTCCACAATATTCTACTTACATATATTGACTGATTGTTTGGTTATTTTGTGAAGTTTTCCATTCATTTAAAGCTCTTCTCATTTTTCGCCTTTGTTTAAAGGAAATGAAAGAAATGAAAAGTGAATTAACAAAACATAATGGTGCGAATTTCGTCTCGTCTCTTCAAAAAGCCAATTCTGAACAAAATTCAAAACAATATCGATGGTCAGAACAATGCTATGAAATAGTTATATCTGCGAAAATCGATAATAATAATAATAGTGGTGATATACCAGTTATTCCAATTGATGGAGGTTCAGATGCTGGTATGTTTTGTGTAGTCGGCGCTCAATTCGATCCATCTCGTATTATTTATCATCGCTCTACTACCATTTCTAATAATAATGATAATACTAATAACAATAATTCGAAATCAATGGAACCGGGTGATATAATCTTAGCTGTTGATGGTTATGAACTCTCAGGTTATACGAAACATGATGCTATTACATTATGTAATGCTTGTCTAAAATCTCATTCACATGTTCGACTGCATCTTAGTCCACCTCATGCATTAGTCACAAGTAGTACAATGTTGTCAAGCTTTTTGGCCATTTCATTTGCAATGGACTCATCAGAGTATGCCCTTCAAGAAAAAATTCGAGAGAATGTTTACCAACGTGTAGTACCTTGTAAGTAAACATTAAAAAAAAACTTTTTGATAGTGGGAAATTTTTTATCCTATCACTCCTGTTTTTTTTATACTATCGTACACATTTAGTTTATTTTGGATTCCAGTTCTGAAAATTGCTGCAACCTAAACCGCTTCCTCAATTCACCTTCAAAGTTCTTTGTTCTTTTATACGGTTGGTGATTGACAGTTAATTATGAATCTTATTTAAATATTTTCGTATATTCTCTTATTATTAGGTACAACTAGATTACCCAGAGCAGAAGAAGTAGATGGAGTTCATTATCGTTTTATGAATGTACCTCAATTTCTTGCACTTGAACGTAGTGGACAATTATTAGAAAGTGGAATGTATAAAGGTATTATACTCTCACTGTTTTCATCCGTATTTTATTCGGTAGTTTTCTAATTTTGTGTATTGTGTTTGTTTATAATATTATGCTAAGATATAATTATGGACATTGTATTTTCGTACATAATGGTTTATCGCAAGATATGTTTCTCATTGGATATATGTCAGATTTCAGCGTAATATTGTCTGCTTCATTTTAAGCGTAAAGTGAATAGAGTATTTACTACATTTAGAAAGCTAGACTGATCAGTTTGAGCTGTCCAGTGACATTGCCAGCTTCCACTTATAAAAAGTTTGGTTCAGGGTCTATTATATAAACGTGTTTATGCATATATAAACATGTACTTGGCAAACAGATTATTATTATTATTACTATTGAATAATTGGATATGTGCAAAGTTGGCAACATAATCTTCCTGTTACCCCAACAAAAATGTTGCTCATGAACTACACCAAATAGGAATTCGATAGTCACAATATTTAGCATTTTCACTAAACACAAAACATTTATAACTAATAATATAATTTATAAGTTATGATAGGGGATGAACAACTATATGACACGACGAAAAAACTGAGAGGGAAATATAGTAAACCCGAGAGACCGGTCAAGGACAAAAAAGAAGAGCCAATCACTGAAATTCAAGGATAGAGGGACGGATGGAACACTTCGAGGAACTCTTAAATAGACCGGTACCATTGAATCCACCAGATATCGATGCAATACACATCTTCCTGTATATGTCACTCTACCAACGACCGAAAAAATCAGGATGGCCACCAGACAAATCAAGAGTGGGAAAGCAATAAGACCTCACAATATACCAGCTGAAGCACTACAGTCAGACATAGAAGTAACTGTAGACATGCTCAACATTCCATTCGGGAAGATTTGGGAGGAAAAACAAGTGCCGACGGACTGGAAAGAAGGATACCTCATGAAGATACCAAAGAAAGGAGATCTGAGCAAAAGTGAGGTATCACACTACTGTCAGTACCAGGAAAGGTTTTCAACAGAGTGTTGCTGAACCGGATGAAAGATTCAACAGACTCCCAACTTCGAGATCAACAGGCTGAATTCCGTAAGGATCTTTCGTGCACAGATCGAATCGCGACACTACGGATCATCGTTGAAAAATCAATTGAATGGAACTCGTCACTATACATCAACTTCCTTGGTTACTAGAAAACATTTGACAGTATGGATAAGAGAACATTATGGAAATTTGTTCGACAGTATGGAGTACCTGAGAAAAGCGTCAACATCATCCGGAATTCATACTGTAGTGAACAGAACACGAGTGGAGGACAATCGGATGTATTTTAGCACAAAATTACAGAGAATCTCACTAAAATCTGAGAACCATATAGTAAATCGTTAATTTGCAAAATATCAATCCATCATATCAAACTCGACTGTTCCTGTTGCAAACGTCAATCCATTGTCTCAGATTTCATGGTTCATGCATTTTCATACCAATTGCGTTCCGTTCCCGTTCTTTCCTCATCGACCTTCTACTGAGATACATTTTATGCCTGACCACGGTTATACACTCCTTGTGTGGATATAAGTAATTCACACCACAATACGACGGACTACACTGTAAAGTAGTGCTCGGAGGACAGCTGACAGACTCATTCCAAGTGAGGACTGGAGTCAGACAAGGCTACCTACTTTCCCCTTTTCTCTTTCTTCTGGTGGTTGACTGGATTATGAAAACCTCGACATCTGAGGAGTAGCACTGAATGAAATGAAAAGGTTGGATGCGACTAGACGATTTGGACTTCTCAATATGACATGGCCTTTCTATCCCATACACACCGACAAATGCAGGTCAAGACAAAGAGTGTAGCAGCAGCCTCTACATCAGTAGGCCTCAACATACACAAGGGAAAAACCAAGATCCTCATATATAACACCAACCCAATCACACTTAATGGAGCATCATCGATGAACATGGAGGACCTGATGTAGATATTAAGTCACGGATTGGCAAAGCAAGGGCCACATTCTTACATTTAATAGTAATATATTCTGAAAATAATAATTACAGAATTCACACCAGTTGAATAACATATGGAACTCAAAACAACTGTCAAACAATATCAAAGTCAGAATCTTCAATACGAAAGTCAAGATAGTTCGACTGTACGGAGATGAAATGTGGAGAACCACTACAACCATCATTAGAAAATTACAAGTACTTATAAACAGTTATCTACACAAAATATTAAATGTCCTTTGGTCGCATAACATTAGCAACAGCCTACTACTGTGGAAGAGAACAAACCAGCTTCTAACTGAAGAGCAAATCAGAAAAAGGTGTTTGGAGTGGATAGGACACACATTGACGAAATCATCAAACTGCATCACAGAGCAAGCGCTAACTTGGAATACTGAAGGGAAAATGGAAAGAGGAAGACCAATGAATACACTGAGTGAGGAATAGGAAGCAGACATCTAAAGAATGAATACCAACTGGAAACAAGTAGAAAGGATTGTCCAGGACATAGTTGAATGGAGAATGTTGGTGGGTGGTGGCCTATGCTCCTTCACGAGGAATAACAGGCGTAAGTAAGTATTGCAGGGGATAAGCATATAAAGTCTTCAATTTGCTCTAATGGTGTTATTTAAAATCACATTTTCTGTTAGTTCATCTTATTTTACATACTACATACATCCCCCAGTTTCATTCTTAAAAAAACCTCATGAATTGTTTTCTTTTCAATTTTTTGTTCTATTTCAGTTTACTAGCTAAAAAGGTTCTATCCATGTGTATATTGATAAGGGCAAGCATACTCTAAGCTGTCAATTAACTTATTACTTCTTCCTATGATGAATGGCACCAGTGTTAATAGTAGTAACCTTTATGACTCATAATATCTTGTCGCATTTTTGTATTGTTTATTACGATAGTGTGGTTACTAACTCTGTTGTCTTTTGATGGTAGTAGCTTTTGCACAATAGTTTCTAGCTTCAGTAGGTTTTGTTTTACACAGATTAGTTAACTTTGACCTTGATTTGAATAAATTTCCATGATTTCTGATTGGTTGCAAGAGTGAATATGTAATGAGCTGATTCATACATGATTGAATTTATTTGCATAAAGATTTATTGACACATGTATTATACACATGCACAAGTATGCAATGAGTTGCTCACTTAATTCAGCCAGTATCGTGATAGAAACAATATGGTGGGTGATGATTATTAGTTGCTTAGATATGTATGTCTATAATGATGACATATATGATAATGTACAAGACAATGATACTGTTTTTTTTTATCTCTCTCAATAGTCCAATATGACTAGTTCTGAATAGTATCTATGTTGTGAAAGTCTCAAAAACCCCGTATTGTAGTTTGTTTGATAAAATATTTAGTCATACATATGTAATAAATTTAAACCCTTTAATTCATTGAAATCATAAACCGATCTAAGTTAGACAATCATTGAAAACCTAGTAACACTGGACTTCTGTTCCGTCCCAGTATGGGACTCAGCAATGTGCATCGACAACTCTGTATACGGGGATCAAACCCAGGAAATTTGGTTTTAACTTGTAAACCATTGAGCCGGCATCTAACTACAATCCATAACTTTTACTTTGTGCTTTTTACACTATAATTCTTTTCCATAGAATATACATAAATTCAGACTATAAGATGTAATCAGAAATCTCTGTAATCAAGTCCTGATTAATCGGCTTTTCCTTCAGTTAACTATAAAGTATGTATCTATGGAATACTGACGTTTTATCATTCGTTATTTGTAGTACCGATTTTATGATGAAGACGATACAATGTCTTTCTGATTTTGAACTATTTCTTAATTAAACTTTTGAACAAAAAAATACAGAAAATGAATGCTTGTTTGATTGAATACAAATAGTTACACATATAGGTTTTTTCCGTAATATCAACCAATTCCATCACTAAACAGATTTATATTGTCGTGTATTCTATTTAAAATGCAAAAAAAATTAATGTAACCCTTGAACTAAAATCTCAATCGGTTTTGAGCAACACGTTTTACGATACTGTCCAGGCACCACAGTCTAAAGTAGATGGATAGGGATTTGAACCTGTGTTCAAATGGTTAAAAGCTCAGTATTTCGATCACTGTACTACCTCACTACACTTGTCTCTGTTATCTAGGAAAAAAACATGAATTTGCACTTACTGGTTTTCAGTCAGTGATTGTATGTCAATAAAAGAGAGAGATAAGGACAATAGCAAAGAACCCTGTGTATTAATATACATTACTGCACAACTATAAGCGATTACACCCGTAAACTAGGGACAGTAATATAAACAAATGGAAAACAAATAAATAAAAGAGATATTTTGAAGATTTACAGGGAAATAATTAGTAAATGTGTATGTATCTTTGCTACCCATTTCAAATTTATTACTTATTACGTGCGTATTACTATACAGAAAGTTATTACTGCTCCACTTGAATTAGGGTAATATTCGATAACCTATTTTCTTGATGTCGTGACTTGACCTAATAACCGTTAATTTTTTGTTAAAATCAGTCCTACATCTATCATCATTCCTGCTCTTGGTTGGGCTATGTGTAACCTCTGTATTAGACACTTTAATCTAAATACTTTTGCAGTGTAATCGACTGATTCGCCGTGTCAAGAACATCCCTAACTACATTAATGTTGATTCTGGTCAGACAGTTTTAACCGAATCAGGATCTGGAACAAATGTGTGTAGATCCTGCTTGTCAGGTTTCGTATTAGTAAAACAAAAAGGCATTAAATAAGTGAGACATTGAAATATTTTTGTTTTATCAACGGGATAAGTTAGGATCCTAGCATCAAAATACCTACTGACAGTTAAACTTGCATATTTATTCTCTAGGGAATAATATACTTTATAACTCATAGGTTACTCTATGAAGTTCGGAAATTTCCGATCTGAAGGTCGTGTGTTATTAATCATTTTGGATGCTATATGCTAAAAGGTCACATTATATATGCACATACACATCTCGAAGGTTATTTATTCTTTTATATATAAGTTGTCTTTAAAATGTTTAGTTCCTCTTTTTTTTGTTTTCCTAGGTAATCATTATGGTACACCTCGACCAGACCCTAATTCTACCGCTTTAGATCCTGTATTTTTAGAACAATTCCAATTATCCTCTACAGACATTTCACAAATCAGTGATGATGCATGTAGGATCCCACCGCCATTGGCACCACTAAGCTCATTTAATACATTTGCAATGCATGCTACCACTACTGCTTCGGGGACTAATGGCAGTAACATTACTACTACCAGTAGTAGTAGTAGCAGTAATAATAACTCTAGTATTGGTGTAAAATTAAATGATCCATTACAACAATTAGCAACATGTTCTCCACCACCGCCTCCACCAATTCGCAATTCATCAATTACAAAAAATGCTAATATTGTCTGTAATACTAATAATATTAATATTAATCATGGTAAAACATCGACTAATCTGCTAACTTTATGCACAACTGAAAATTATCTGACAAAAACGATCGATAACAACAATAACAATACACAGTTAAATGGATTAAATGAATTGAATGGTAAATTGTACCTACCGCGTCCAAAATTTTCGAATGATGAAGCTAGTCTATGGTCACCCAGTGAAATACATCTAGTGGATGATCATAAAACAACCGCGTTGTCCACAGCATCAACAACAATGTCAGTTGCTGCCAATGCTATTACTATTACAACTACTACCAATACTAATACTACTAATATGAATACCACTACTATGTCTAACCATGTCAATACGTCGATGACCAATGGTTGTTCACTCATTGAAAGTGTAAGTATACATGTATTATGATGTGTAATTGTTTTTTAGTAGACATTATTTTGTACAGTTTTTTCTTTTCTGATAATTATTTCAATTTCATTCACCATCAGTCATCAACATTAGTACTTCGATAGTTGAAGCACTGTCGTTTCGGTCTATAATTTGTAGACTCATTTATTTTGAACATTAAATCTCACACAAATAGTGTGTCGCTTATAGCCGAGTATATATAGACCTGTACTTGGTAAGTGAGTTATATAAATATTGTTTGGACCTGGTACATATTTATATCAGTCCGAGTTAGTGTATCTCCCATCATATCTACTAAAGAGGCAATTAGCGCAAGATAAAATATAACGAAGTCAATATACATGAAAATAATATCATTTTTAATGAAAAAAATTAGAGGAGAACATATGTGAACATTGAAGAATTGATAAGTATAAAAAATATTTGATATCTAGATTTAGTTCAAGTTATATCACTACTTCAGGTCAACAATAATAGAATAAGATCATTCTGTGAAATTCAACTAAAAATGTTTGCTTCTTCTAACATTGTTTAGTCAAATAGTAAATGACTTCATGTATTGGTTCTGTGTTTAGACTTAACCGTCTCTTGGCGTCCTGACAATCTATCTCACTAGATAGACAGTGTATATTAGCAGATAATCAGTCCTTTCTGGTTTTTCATGGCTTATAAAGATTTCATGTATCAATAACTTTCATTTTATAAGTTTTCCTAAGTAGGAAAACTACTTATTATATTACTTCTGTCTCATTTTATCTATGATTGAATGTTCATTTAAACAGTAAGCGTTTCCACCTATTGTGAATTGCGAGTTGGCTACTCTAAATTCTACCAATTGACAAGCTTCAGATATCCCAGTTCGACCCCAATACTGTTCCCAATCTCCAATATATCAGAACACGAACCGTAGATGAAAAATCGTTTATGGGGTCAGGGGCAGCAGAATAATGATTTACAAACAAATGCATATTTATACAGTTAGGATTACTATAAATATTGACCAACAGAAAGATGACACGTTAATTAATATTGACCAATAGGAAAATGACACGCGAAATAAATATTGATCAGTAGGGAAACGACCAATAGGGAAATGACACCATTTAACGTTCAAGGGTAGCGTTAGACTTAACCGGATAATTGTTTCTGGGATATTCTTCTGAGTATCCCAACACCACCACATTGTAGTTGAAGTCTTACTTTAGCCTACAATATTAACAGGATTTTAGGGGACATGACTTATGCGGTTTACAGTATTTGTGTTGAAGGCCAAAATTGTCCATCTACAAGACATTAACAATCAATATCTCGGAGAGGTCCTGAAAAACAGGTAGCTCCAGTTAAGAAATATCTTTTTTAGGTTATATAGTTACTTTTTTCTCAATATTTCTGTGCATTATGTTTGTTACTTACAATGATATGTCACACAAGACGTGGTATCTTATTGTTGGTTAAAAAGTCATAAACGTACTTTACTTTATTGAAAATCAGTCTAAGATTCTATGAAATGTGAATAAAGATTGACAGATTTAGATGTAAAGTTAAGTGATCAATGCTAAAGTACTTTCTTAACAGAAAGACGATCAAAAAAGTAGCTTAGAAGTCCATATCTAGTTGAAATAAGTAAAAGCTAAGAATGAATATGATTTGGGGAGGAGGCTGGAAGGATTTAGCAACCGGTTACTGCCCAAATGTAGACGAATAAATACCAAACTTGGTTTGTATGTGTGTGTAAATGTTTGCTCATATGACAGCGAGTCAAGATTTCACTATGATGATCACGTTTGGGAATCGTTTAAATTTGATGAATATAATGGTTTTTCTTTACTCAACACACATACTGGTACAACTGGCCACCAAAAACTATCTTCCTTATGCAAAATAAAAAGATAACGTTGTAAAGAAACAAAAGAGGTTAAAGAAATAAGATTGGAGGTAAAACTGAACGTAAATAAGATGTAATGGGTGAAATAGTTCCTTTAGAAATGCGACCAAGAAGTATTTCTTTCTGTTAACAGAGTTTCACTTTGATGACGAGTGTAAAAAGGCTACATCAGAATCGCCACTATTCTGTACCATCTCCATAACCTCAACTAGAGAGTTTGAGTAGACAGACCAATAGATACCAGTCTTATGCACCTCTTTCGTACCACAATTCCATGCCATAAACTGACCACCTCTTCACTTTTTATACACCGTCGCAGTGTCACCAACACTCAGTAGAGAAGTCACTAGGATGAAAGTAGCACAGTTGTTATATACATATGAAATATCCGACTAAAATTACGTTTAATGTGGATAATTTGTCAGTTAACAAATGAATGAATAATCAAAGGTGAGAATGCAAGGTTATACAATCAACAATGATTACACACTTTCGCTCGTTGTTACACTATCATGTACAGCTATAGTTTGACTGCAATTAGTTACAGTGTTAAGAAATGACAAACTAATCTTTTATCTTTAATTTGTTTCCCTTTACTTTGTTTTCGTTTTATTTTACTGTCAATATTGGAACATTTTATGCAATTAAAACTTACGTACATTTTTGAATATCTTTTCGATTGTTATCAACTTATTTGGCGCTCGCTCACATTGTAAATGTTAACTTTCAGCTTTCAACTCTTGCCTATTATCTACTTCAGTTTAAATAAAGGGTTGGCATTATTAACCGTTGCACAAAAAATATCGTTTAAAACCGAGTACATGTAGCTATATTTTGTTACTGTCGTTATATTTCAAACTAACAAAAATCAAAACATTCAACTCGTAACTAGTGTAAGTACACAACCCATTCCATATACTTCGGTTTGAATTTTAGGATAGTAATATTTAATTAATTTTTACCCAGATAGGTGTGGTCTAAAATCAAGCACACAAATTTATAGTTGGTTACTTAGCTACCGCAAATTGATAAAAATCACAGACATACACACATCCAATAATCTCTCCACTCACTTGTACGAGAATTTTATACAAATCCTCTGATTAATAAATCATGACTTGTCTACTATTCACTTACATTTATTATGGTTCGATGGCGTGCAAGAATATATATATATATATATATATATATATATATATATATATATATATATCTTTCATATATTTTCACTCGTTATTCGTTTTACATAGCTACTACATCATCGGCTTAGTTGGCTTCTCTACTACTGTTTCATTTCTTGTCTTCATTTGGCTTCCTTCTTTTTTTATTTATCAACAGTTATGTTGTTTATAACTAACTAATTCTACACTTTAAAAGTTTAATTAATTACTACAATTTTCTATATCTTTCAGAGCCCTTATTTTTTACTTCTGCTTTTTTCCCTTTCTCGCTTATGCAAATCGATTTGTCTGACATTTTTATCATCAGTATCGGTATCAGATTTTTTTCTTCTGTTTTTTTGTTGATTTAAGTGACTTCCTTGTCTAGATATTTACCATTTAACTATGTTAACATATTCGTACATATACACTATTATTATTATTATTATTATTATTATTATTATTATTATTATGTTATTATCATTATTACAGTTTTTTCTTCTAACTGGACTGTATTACTTTCTCTGTGTCTGCTTATTTGTTTGTATCTGGGTATATGTACATTTATATATATATATACAGTCGGTGTATAATTACGAATACAAAAAGAACACAAACTTTAACAGTGATGTTGTCGAGTATTACTTGTGAGAAGACATTAGCATTAGTAGTGTTTGTTAAGTTACAATTTGGGAAAAATATAATGCCCTTAGATAGACTGTATTATGTGTTATAGATTTATGTCAATGATTGGAATGTTGTTAGTCGTAGGTCCTGGTACAAATGTGTATTGGTCCAATTTTTCATACTGTATCAACATAATGAGGTGAAGCACACCCTGACGACTTAATCAAGCTATATTGTCTCGAAGATTTATTATCTTTACGTCTTACCATCCCAATCAGGTCAGTTAGGGAGCAGAAAGAATAAAAGCAGAAACTTGAAATCCGAGCGTGGAGTCGTGCTGCCAACTGTTCAGGAGCGTGATAACAGGAAAGTGTTTCCCTTAGATAGCCAGTATCTGCAGCCGTACTCTTTCCCATAACGGAAGGAGAGGGTTAGAAAAGATATGCCCTGAAAAAGTACTTTACCTTGTCTTACGGATTTCCGTCATTCACAGTGAGGCCTTCAAAGTACAAAGTCAACACATCGAGATCTACTCTAGGAAAGTCTATGTGTATCCAAACTCATGTAGTTCTTCCTTGAGTTCTGAGGTCGTCAAGTTTATTTCTCTCTCAGTTTCCTTTTCAGGCGCTCCAACAAGAAGTATCTTTTCACAGTTTAGGCAACCGGTAAGTGATAACGGTCTTTCATACCTCTTAACACATAATCAAACCCCACAAATTGACTGACTGTTATAATCTCTGATCCATAACTTTATTCATATACATAATTATTCACCTTCCTGTTACATAACACGCATGTGCACATAAAACTTTCTTCTATTACCGATCAAACTATCATAAATTACAACGTAGAAATGTTATGTTGGTAATTTTTTAGTCTGGCTAAGTGAAATTAATTTCAAGACCTGGAAAAAAACAGTTAATCCTAATCTCTGTACATTTGTACGTATATATATATTCTTATTGGCGTTCAGTAATAATTTTTTGTGTAATTAATTTGGTATATGTTAACTGATGAATAAATAGACACAGATACAGAATCGTAAAATCTGTTTCATTTTCTAAATACTTTTTATTCTTTTACCTAGATGTAATATTTCTGACAATGAATTGATAAGGAATTATACTGTTAACATTATGTTAAATATTTTAATTGACTACTGTTACTAGTATGTGTATAAAACGAAGGAGATAGTGTATAGCTTCAGAAAGAAGTTATCAAAATAGTGTGACATTTCGATTATTGTCGATAAAGGCTTCCACGTACATTCTGATACATAGTGAACTTCAACCACAAATAAATACACGATGAATAATGTTCTGAGTAGGTTAGAAATAAAATTTTGGATGCCCAAACCAAGACATGATATCAGTTCACTAAGTCATTAACTGCTGAATTGAGTCATATTGGTAAATTTAGACCAACTAGTTGGGGTCTATGCAATCCATAGTTTAATATACATCACAATGGCTCAGATAAACTTATTCTTTATCCTACCATAAACACTGAGCTTCAGTATCATCTCGTACTTTATATTCCTTGGATTCATCCCTTTTCTGATGTTTAATCTGTTTCACTTTCATTCATACTACTATTATTCTGTTTCAGTATTTATTGTGTAAATTTCCTCGCCCGTATTCATATAGTAAGGGCTCTTGAAACGATTCATATCCGTATCAGGCCTTACATTGATTATGACTGACTGACATTTTTGTCAACTCCTTACATTGTTTGTGACTTACTGGTTAATTTTGAAGAACTAGTCTAAACTTTAAACAGCATAATTAATTTTCAGGAACTGTTTGTTGGTTTTTAGTATTAGTTAATGGATTACTTATAAACTTCTATGTAAAATTAACAGTAGAGTTTACACGGTATTGTATAACAAATACTGTTTTTTATTCTTCGATGAACAGTTAACTATTTTAAATATCAATGGAAGAACAACAATAATCGCACACTTAAGACCATATGCAAATACTCATACTTTTCCGCACATTTCGTCTGCTTTAGACATTTAAACATAACAATAACGACAATATATGCAGAATACAATGAATTCATTGCATTTTGTTGTCTTCCCTTCAGCTACATTATTATTTGTTTATTTTAACACATAGATATTGGTAAAAGTAGGCACCAAATGCATATGCGCCACACAAATCTCATTTGATATGTGTGAGGGCTGTGATACTGCCCGGGTGCCCTAACCGAAGCAGGTGGTTTTCTTAGGGGGCCATTCCCCAAGCCTTCAACCTGAAGGTCTGATCCACAAGGCAGTAGAGCATCGTTAGGAGATGCAGTCCCATGGAAGCCGGTGACCAACAATTGGTTCATACGCCATTTGTTCCTTCAGGATACTGAAGCCCATGTGCACCATTGGTTTGGAATCCGGTTAAAGCGCCGGACATTCTCTTTTCGTCCTCTCATCTTTACAAACAACACCCGCCACAAGAAGGCATTGAGTAGGACTTCCCTGGTAGAGGCTATATATGCGTGACCATTTGAGAGCATTTCGAGAGGGAGAGCGGACTCTCCCCACTCTCGGCCGTACCAGGGCATTTGAGGGCCTTTAGCTACATACAAGTTTATAGGTTTAATTATTTTCAGTTATATATATATGATTTTTCCTGACTCAGTGTAAGCCACTTCTTCAGAGAATAAATAACCAAGTCAAAGTTAATCAATTAGTATACTTGCCTCGTTCTTTTGTATTATTTAAACTTGGATTAATTTTGATTTGGTTATTTATTCTCTGACGAAGTGGCTTACACTGAGTCACGAAACGCTAAAAAATCTAATTTTTCTACTCATCGGGATATTACAAATATATCATTTTATTCATAAAGTGAATACTTCATTTGCAAAATGCCAATCAATCCTCTCAGACTTCATTGTTCTTTTGATTCCACTCCAATTATTCGTTGTTCTCGTTCTCTTTTCATCGATCTTCTTAACCTTCTGCCTTCAGGCATTTCACTCTCTATTGATGTTACATACTGCTTATATCTATCGACATCAGTAGCACATACCACAACCTAACTACATTGGCTGTTCCCTGAGGTTCTACTATCGCACTCAAGTCGGTTGACTAATAGTAAAACTAAAATCATCGAATTTAATGTACGAGTGCAGATGCGTATAGCCAACAATATTACAGCAAAATGTTTCTCATAAATAACTGGAGTCTGTAGCGATATTGTTTGTATACACCGATAGTATTGTATAAACAATCTTCAATTATAATTCGACTTCTTACATCTTTTTCTTGTGAGGTGATTTTAAATCAATATCTCATACTTTGTACATCGTATTTTGTGCATATGCTTTTTCATCATATGGATCTTTGTTTAAATGAAGTCTATTTTTCTCTTCTAGTCAATTTCACTTTCAGATTGTTTTTTCTTTGGTCCTCATTATTCCCTGTACTGGTTTCTTTCTTTTTAAACATTTTGCCATCCCCTCTACATTCATATAGACTTAATAAGAGAGATACAAGTTATAAAAGAATTAGAGGAAGGACGATAGGTATTTGCGTTAAGTAGCTGAAATATTGATTAATTTTAAGTTTACATATTTTATAGAAAAATCCATTGGGTGGAGATAGTCAATAGTAATGAGTTTATCATTGTTATAAGGCAGACAGATTAAACTTCTAAATTGAAGCTATCATCATACATTGTCTATTTTAATTTGACCTGTTTAACATGTCGATAAAATACACATTTGTTTATACAAAGAGAGAGCAATGCCAACAAAAATGTTTTAACTAAGCCATTTAGAAGAAAGAGTTGAGTAGACTGTAAGCTAATGTATTCATAGGTCAATAAAGTGTTAAATATATCCCAATGAATCATTGTTCGAAATCTTAAAAAATCAACAATTGAATTCGAAATTTGAGTTACTAGTAGTATCTGTGATGTTGACAAAGACCAAATAGAAGACATGATTGGAAATGAAAGAGTGTATTCATGAAGTAAACAGTATTTGATAATCAATGAAACTGAAAATCTTGCGTAAAATTCAGAGTGAATACATGTGTTTCTGCAATCGATTCTGACCCAAATCACCCAGCATTTAACCGTTGATCATTATTATCGTAGGAACCTTAACCAGGTAGTCTACACCCACTAATACAGATCAGGCCAGTAGCTAATGCCTTCATGGACTAGTAACACTTTGTATGGCTGCTTTGTAGCTTTCTTTCAATATACTTCAATGCTAGCCAAGATTGTTCATTGAGGTAAGCGTTAGTTAGATTTAAGTAACACATGTACCACCATCCATTTAAGTTAGGAGTATAGACTTACTCATCGGTGCACAACATAACCGTGTGAGTATCATACATTTTTATGTAAAGTACGGTAAGTAGATTTTGATTCTGTGACCTACTACTTTAATCATTAAATCACCACTACTCCACCTTCACATAAGTACAATATATCAAAACAGTGTATTAACCCCGACAAACACTTGGTAAATCAGTTACATTCGTATGTATAATATCTGATTCACTGTGTATACAATTTTTATTTTTCCAATATAGTTAATTATGCTTACAGTTGTTTTGTGGGTTTTTTTTTCTAAAATTGTTTCTATTAGTTCTGTGATCAAACAGCTTATTCAGTGGATAAATTAGATCAAATTGGTGAACATGTATTACCATATGGTTGGGAAATTGTACAAGATATAAAATATGGTACATTTTACATTGATCATATTAATAAACATACACAATATGAACCGCCAACAGTTGAAGATTTTCAATTAGGTGAAAAAGTACGCATGAAGTATTTATCACAATTTGATACAATTCATCATAAAACTAAAACTAATACTACTATCAATAATAATCATAATATCATCAAAAATGTAAATAATGATGTTAACGCCAATAATAATCATGATGATAGTCAGAATGAATTAGGCTCATCATCCATTAATGATAATGGACGTATAACTCCTGTGACATTTTGTTCTGATTTAAAACAATTACGAGGTCCACTGATTAATACAGTTTTAGTGAAAAGTCCACGTGGTTTTGGATTTACAATTATCGGTGGTTCCGATTGTAATCGGTCGGCATTTTTACAAGTACGTTTTTCATTAAATTAAACTGATTTGTATTGTCTATTTGGGTAACATGCATTTTAAAAGGAATTTTCTTTATTATTATTGAAAGATTACCTTAATCATTATTCATTAAACTGCAATATGGGTGGTCTAGCTAAAGTACTATCACTACGAAACCTAGATTAGACCTCTGACGTGATCATGTATACGTACTGATGAGAAGCCTCAAACTAAAACGAAAAGGCTATCTAGTGCCAACTTCATATCGTTCATCCTTGTTATCCCACTGATTGTTGATGTTCATATATGATACATTTTTATTTGGAGCCTGTTTGCAGTTTGCAATGGCGCAGGTGCATCCACTCTCTGTGTTCTCCCAAATTCTGAATTCTTCATGTCCCTTTTTTCCTCTTTCCAAATTTCTTTCACTGGATTATACTCTTTAAATAACATCTCCAAACCCTAATCTTCCCGATTACTGCTTATACTCTTATTACCTCTACCACTACGGGATTTGAATCGACAAGTGCATCTCTGTGCTAATGTGGTGTGGCAACTCGAACTGATGTACGTACGTACGAAGTTCTACGTTGTTACTGACTGACTGACTGACTGACTGACTGGAGCCTTGTTTAGTACTCCAAATAGTTTAAACAATTACTTCATAGTCAGTCCTTAGATTCCTGAAAATCCATAACTATTGGATTCTCAAACAAATTAAAAGTTGAAAATACACTTACTTACACCTGTTAACCCCCGTGGAGGAACAAAGGCTACCCACCAACATTCCCCATCCAACTATGTCCTGGACAATCCTTTCTACTTGTTTCCAGTTGTCATTCATTCTTTAGATGTCTGCTTCCTATTCCTCACTCAGTGTATTCATTGACCTTCCTCTTTCCATTTTCCCTTCAGTATTCCAAGTTAGCGCTTGCTCCGTGATGCAGTTTGATGATTTTCTCAATGTGTGCCTATCCACTCCAAACACCTTTTTCTGATTTCCTCTTCAGTTAGAAGCTGGTTTGTTCTCTTCCACAGTAGTAGGATGTTGCTAATGATATGCGACCAAAGGACATTTAGTATTTTGCGTAGATAACCGTTTATAAGTACTTGTAATTTTCTAATGATGGTTGTAGTGGTTCTCCACATTTCATCTCCGTACAGTCGAACTATCTTGACTTTCGTATTGAAGATTCTGACTTTGATATTGTTTGACAGTTGTTTTGAGTTCCACATGTTCTTCAACTGGTGTGAATTCTGTAATTATTATTTTCAAAATATATTGCTGTTAAGTGTAAGAATGTGGCCCTTGCTTTGCCAATCCGTGGCTTCATATCTACCATCAGATCCTCCATGTTCACCGATGATGCTCCATTAAATGTGATTGAGTTGGTGTTCTCAATGTTGTGTTTAAGGATCTTGATTCTTCCCTTGTGTATATTGAGGCTTAGTGCTGCTGCTATACTGATTGTCTTCCTCTACTTAGTACATGACACGGGTATTTATTTAATTAAAATCGTAGCGATTATAATAATAACACAGTAATAAAGCGGAAGTATCCAATTGGATAATTAATTATTTATTTGGTTTTATTGATATTGTTAGTTATTCTTACATTTGATCCTTGACATTTTATTTATTCCATCTCATTCTACAGTAAACAAACAAACAAACAAATATCATTTATAATTAACATCAATATGATCTGGAAATTTTATCACATTACTTGAATGTATGTATGTGTACATATAAATATTTCATTGTCCTTAATTGAGATAATTAGTGAATAAAAAGATTCTGTTTATTATAGTTATTCTGTAATTTCTCTACTTATGACAATTGTTTATTTATAATTACCGCATTAATTGATGTTATTTATGCATCAGGTATAGTTTTATGTGAATAGTTTAAGTGTTGGACTTTCAAGCATTAAATCTTCTGAATTCTTTGTGTCCCTTTTTTTCTCTTTCCAAATTTATTTCACTGAATTATACTCCTTGAGTAATATCTTCAAATCCGAATGTTTCCGATTACTGCTTATACTCCTCTTACTACATCTACCACTATGGGATTTGAATCGACAACTGTATCTCTGTGCTAATGTGGTATGGCGACTGGAACTGATGTACGTACGTACGAAGTTCTACGTTGTTACTGGCTGACTGATGTATACGATATAGCATCTCAAACTGCAAAATTTTTCTTGTCATTCACTACAAAAGATATGAACACATAGTTAAAACAAATTGCTAATAGCACATTATGTATCCGTCAAAATAATTCAAGCAAAGAAAGTCGTCACAAATCCTTAAAGTCTGTGTTATCACTAGTATACCTAAATAACTTCAGTTTTTCGTTAGCGACATTAATTAAACATTGACTTAAACTCTCAATTATTTCCAAACAGAACAATACTTAATAATTACTGTCAGTGTGTTATATCATTGATCGTAATAGTGTCATGGTCAAAGAGTCTCTATAAAAATTATATCAATACAACTCGTTAAATCGGCTCATCTAGGTTGTATGTATCATGATTCAAATGTTTGTCACTCGCACTTTTCAAATTTCATATGAGCACAAACAGCAAAATTAGCACAATAAAAAACATGAAATTCAGTTTATATTTTTCTTATTTATTTTATTTATTTGAACACATAAATATTGGTACAAGAGAGCGCCAATATATATGCGCCACACAAAACAATGGGAATTCGAAGAGAAGTAGAAAGAAAAAAAACTAAGGAACGCAAAAGAAAAAGAGAGTAATGACGAAGAGGTACAATCAGAAGAAATCTTTCAGGTAAAGGAGAAACAACCACCTTTTATGAAGAAAGTAAAAGAAGGTTACAGCAGGATCGCCACTGGCTTCTATTCTGAGCCATATCTGATAACGTCTCTAGCCACTGTGTAGCACCATCTCTCGGACCCCAACCAGGGAGTCGTGAAGGACCAACACAAGCCAGTCCTTTGCAGCTTTCTTTCATGCCACGACACCATGTCATGCACTGACCACCTCTCCGCTTCTTCCAACCAGTCCCAGAGTCGGCAAATAATGCACGACGTGGAATTCTCTGGGACGACATTCGGAGAACATGTCCAAGCCACCGAAGTCGGTGTTTCAAGATGGTGACACCAATTGAGTTATCATCTCTGTGCCCGAACACACGATGCCGAACCTCTGCATTACTCACATGGTGTTGCCACTGAATGTCAGCAATCCTTCGGAGACAGCGATGATCGAACACAGAGAGTCGTCTAACGTCCTCAACTCGGAGAGGCCAGGTTTCACAAGCATAGAGCAAAACTGCTCTCACCGACGCGTTGTAGATCCGGCCTTTTACAGCCAGACTAACATCACGAAGGCGCCAAAGGTGGCCCAGATTGGCATAAGCCGCTCTGGCTTTCACTATTCGTGCATTGATCTCATCACTCACACCCCCACCAGCACTTATGCAGCTACCCAGATACACGAACTTCTCAGCTACGTCTATCTGCTCACCGTCCAGGGTGAGTACAGGATTAGAATCCTGCCAGTCTTGTAGAAGTACTTTGCACTTCGAAGGTGCAAAGCACATACCATACCTACGGACATTGATTGCCAACTGATTAAGTGCGGATTGCATGCCTTGGGCATTATCGCACAGTAAGACAATATCGTCCGCATACTCAAGGTCGAGAAGTCTTTCTCCAGGCAACAGATCCACACCACCATTACTTACATTCATCAGAGCTGTTTCCAGAATGTCATCGATGGCAAAGTTGAAGAGGAATGGTGAGATTGGGCAACCCTGCCTAACCCCACTGCTCGAATGGAACAATGGAGAGAGGTGGTTGTATGCCCTCACTCTGCCTGAGGTGTTTTTATACAGGGCTTTTAGGATGTTAATAAACTTCTCAGGCACACCCTTCTTCAATAGACAATCCCAGAGAACAGTCCTATCCAACGAATCGAACGCAGCCCTGATGTCAAGAAACACTACGATTGTTGGCCTTTGAAAAGTATGGCGGTGTGGGCTGTGATACTGCCCGGGTGCCCAAACCGAAGCAGGTGGTTTTCTTAGGGGGCCACCCCCCGAGCCTTTGACCTAAAGGTCTAACCCACAAGGCAGTGGAGCATCGTAAGGAGATGCAGTCCCATGGTAGCCGGTGACCAACGATTGGTTCATACGCCATTCGTTCCCGCAGGATACTGGAGCCCATGTGCACCATTGATTTGGAATCCGGTTAAAGCGCCGGACATTCGCTTTTCGTCCTCTCATTTTCGTAAACAACACCCCCGCCACGAGAAGGCAATGAGTAGGACTTCCATGGCAGAGGCTGTATACGCGTGGCCGTGTGAGAGTATTTCGAGAGGGAGAGCGGACTCTCCCCACTCTCGGCCGTACCAGCAAAACAAAAGAATAAATTCATTGATTTGCCTCAGTATTTATCTTTTGCGTTCAACACTATTGTTGTTCCCCATTATAGAGAAAATTAGCAATATTTTCATTAGACTGTTTTCAGTCTGATTTGTATACACTTTTTCTTTTGACTAATAGTTTTTATTTTAAGAAATATGTTTGAGTATTGAAATAAATTGTATGTATACCCCCAGGGATTAACATTACCATAGTAACACTGAACTGAATAATGAATAGAAAGATTGTACCGGAGAAAATCATTCATTAGACTACACTTGAAATACTGATAACTTGCATTGTGGTCAGTTAAACGATTACAAGCAATTAACAAAACACACAAACTGTATACTGTTATTGAAGTTATGAACCTATTTAAGATATACCAATATTGGAACCTCGGGTGGTCGTTTCGTCTTAGTATGAAACGACTATCCAGCATTCTGCATTCACCATCCCACCATAGGAATTAGGCCTAAAACCGTTGGTCTACCGCGTGGACGTTTCTCTTTTAAACCACTGAGTTAGCATCCAACGATGTTAACATCTAACTTTAATCAGTACACAATTATCAGTTTGTTTTGTCTCAATGAGGTTTCTGTTTCATGTACCACACATTCTTTAAATCCATTGTACATGGTGCGCCAAAATCTGGATTCCATTAAATACATTATTACAACAATAATACAGTATCATAGGGAATCGTTAGATCAACTAAATTGACATTAAATCTAATAGAAATATATGTCAACAAACAGTGTATTTAATTATGAGTCATCTAATTAACTCTAATGAAATTCTTTCCGATTATGGGTTAAAATTACAACCCAACTGTTTAGTACATTAGGATCTAATTGAAACTCAAATAGTGAATAAATACATTCACATCGACTGATTTCTGCTGAATATGAATCTGTATTTATTCCAGACACCACTTGACCTCAGAATTGTTTTGATTGATGTCTGGTCAACATTTTCGACATTTTCCTTACTTAGACGAACAATTTAAAAATATCACAATTATCATCCTCATAACTCTAAAACATGCGAATAATATTTGTATTTGTATAGAACGAGTACATCTCGTGATATTTACTGTTTTAATGACTTTTCTGTTGCAAAGAAACATGTTCACAATTCACATCATTGTTGATAGATGAATATACGACATTTTACTCAATTTCCATTCAGTCGATTCACTCACACCACATAGGCAATCACACAATATACTTTACCTATGAAAAGTCAAACGAACATTCAAGTGACTAACATTTACGGAAGATGATTGTGTGGAGTTTTCGTACAATCAGTAACGTACAATTAGTAACTTCTTATCCTGAACTGACTACCTGGAAATGATAAGGAGTTGGACAACTGTGTCACTTTTGTTTGAGACATTTCTCAACAGTATACGACCACTGATCCACATTATATCAGATCGAGAGTATTTGAGTTTCACGATGAACACAACATTACATCTAGCCAGTAAACTGGTGTTCAGTAGAACAGATATTCAAATTTATTTTACAATATAGTTTGTAAAAAGATAACTGAATATACGACATTTATTTATTTAATTGTTTAACCCAGAATATGTGTCAGTCTGGTAGTCAGTTAGCTATAAACTGTGGTTTTACTTAGCACATGTTCACATTAGTTCAAGCAGCCACATCATATCAGTACAGAAATTTAAAACTATCAAGGATATTATAGGTTTTACAATGTCATTATTCACCTATGCTGTTATAAATAATACTTGATGATATTACATAAAATCCCGTCATTTAGATAATCATTGAGACGAATGAATGCATACTACAAGTACTCTAATCTAAATATTATTATTCGTGACTGTTGGTCAACTTTATAATTGTATGATTGGACGCCACCTACATAATGTTTCTTTTGGTTAAGCGTTCACTGCGACCTAGGTACGCCTCCTGACTTACTCGTGAATGAACACTTCTGAGTAGTCCCATACACAGACGAAACCGTTATCCTATACTCTATGATTTCAAAACGCTACCTTAATTGAGATAAATTTTTGATAAATACAACCTACAGATGAAAACCAATCTTCGCAAAATACGTTTAACTAGATTCGCTGAATAAATATATTGTAGAGGAGTGTATTAATAGTTCAAGTACTTGACTATCACCTACTTTATTGTAGGTTGGTATCCCACATCACTTACTTTGAATTGAACACTGGACTATCAGCCGTAACATCTAAAATACAGTATAAATTCAAGTACATAAATCCTATGCTTAGTAAATAAGTCTTAGAAGATTAACTGCTTCAAAATCTATTCACTTTCTAGTGATTTATTATTTCCTTTTTCTCTTCAATATATTTACTGATTATCTAGGTGAAACATCTTGTCCCAGGTGGTCCAGCTTCACTGAATAGCCAATTAGCTGTTGGTGATGTTATGGTTAGCGTGAATGGGACAAATGTTCTCGGTTATACACATTCTCAATTGGTTTCATTATTCCAGTCAATCCCAGTTGGAGCTAGTATTAATTTACTAGTGTCGCAAGGTTATCGATTACGGAGAGAAATTGGTAGTGATCCGCCAACACATTTTAATGGTTCAGTATCCGGTAATCATCTTGGTGCGACAGGTTTTGTATCCGGTGTGATTGATATTTCTGCTCAGGTAAATAAATGAGTTATGAATGTTTACCATGTTTTATTTGTTTTCAGAAGTCCATTTTATTTCATACAGCATTCAGCATTATAAATTCGTTTTCTTCAACATGAATTCATACAATAAAACTCTGCCGTATATCTTACGCTAAACGAACTAACGATAATGTAAAGAAATAGAAAAAGGAATGGCAAGTCATGAATTGTTAAAGAGTACAGTTTTGAAATCGATTTCATCCATTTCAAAGAATACAAAGACAGTTCACAACATAATCATCACTAATCTCTGCTAGAACATAGCTATGAAAATTTGATGCCACTCATTTCTACAGTTTTTCAATAGACACATCCACAAGGTCTTGTTAAGTCTGCGCGTTTTATTTTAACATAACTATCCTTGATTCTATGTTTGTTTTCAAAACTAACCACCAAAATCAGCGAGAAAAAGGGATTATAAAAGTCTATAGGACCATGTAACTCACCAAGCAATTTTTGAGAGGACCACCCTCGAATCTGAAAGTTTAATTCTCGGAACAGTTTAGAGATGTCAGGAAACTCTGTTCGTACTTCATTTGATGCTTCAGGTTCATTGATTCTTTGTTCACTATAAATTTAAAAGAAGTTTGTGTAACTTTTTAAAGTGAACACTATAATTATCAGCCTACTTTCATTCCCAGGCATTTTCTTCACCACCTCCTTTTTACCAACATATCTCTGCTATTTAAAATCCATGGATTAAATATCTTTGAAAAATGTTTGAAACTGACGGCCATATGAGAGACCATTGCAAGTGAGAGTAAATTCTTCTTACTGAAAATTTATTTATTATTTTCAGGTGATACAAAGTGTCATTCTCCACACTGTGTGACTGCACCACAATCGACTAACTCATTTTGTTTCATATCATTGGCTTTATTATCTGTGTTTCCATGTTTTATTCTACGAATGAAGCCACAGAATTCGATCTCTAGTAATCAGTTTGTTAACTGCACAGAGCGTTTTCTGAATTTATGTATATATACTCGTCTTTTATAATTTGATCGTAATTCAGATGTTTGTCTTTCTAACTATCTCTTACCATTTCCTTCTATTCAATTGTGTTTTGGTCTTAGTATCACTGTTGTTTTTTTTCACGTATTATCAAATATTTACTTTTCCCCCCCCACCCTTTACCTGTAGAATAACTTAAACAATCTGAAACTTGGTGAGGATACGTTAGATAATCTACCATTGACGGAGTTACATCTAGTTAATTCATCAAGGAATTCCGGTGTAATCTCTTCACATTCTTCGATTTCACCAACACCACCGCCATCAGCATCATCATCGTCTAATAATGGTAATTCATCTCAAGAGCTACCTGCAGTACGTTCTAGTCCGTCTAATTTAAATGGTGGTAGCTGTGTTGGAAAGTTGCGTAATTCACAAAGACCGGAATTTTTAAAGGTAATTGATATTTGAATCAGTGTTGTTATTATTGTTCATTTTCATCTTGCCAAGACACCAATTTTTCCAGTCCTATTATATTATTCATGTTATTACATTTTCCAATAGGATAGCATCGATGATATTTTTCTTAATTCATACTTTTACAAGAACTTCTGTTGCTACCCGATTGATTGTTATCTCTTTTAGTTTGCCAAGTTTGTTATGTATCCCAAGATCATTGTTTTTTACTAAATAGACAGAGATGTTCCTCTTGAAACATGACTTCTTTTCGGAAGAAACAGTTATCGTGTAAGTGTTGTCTTCTCTGTTAACTGGTGGATTAGTAGAACTGAATTGTTATCACGTGATAGACATCCGGTTTATTTGAGTTACTCTCTGCTACCTCATATTGGAATAACCCTCAATCGTTTATAAATGTATTTCACCGTAAGCCGACTGGAAACTCATTATGTCAATTGTTCTTGTTAAGATATAAAACATCTGGGAAATTTATCCTTTACAATTCTAATGAAATGCTTAAATTTCTAAATGAATTTTTCTTAAGTTGTCTGTCAACTTGAACCGATGTACATACATACAGGTTCTACGTTGTGACTGACTGAAGAAGTGTGATAGTTCTCGTTAGGATACTTAAAGACCCTTTGTCTAGTGCTAGGAACAAATGGCTTTTTGAGTGCCTCGTAATTCTCAATGATCCATTAACTGATTTCTAATATCAGTTAAGTTTCTATCTCTTTATGAAATAAATGTTTATGGATTCTCGAAACTTATCAAGTCTATGCGGCATCTTAGTAATGGTATTAAAAAATAGGATTATACTTACCATTACTGTCAAACATAGTACAAATACTATTGAGCTTCAATGACCTTGAGGTATCTATGTCTCTTTCTAATCAATAAGTGCACAGTTACACCAAGTAGTAAATTATTTACTCAAGAGTGATAAACCTGAATTACTTTTGATATATTTTTGCGGTTCATGGGTTTTTTTGCAGCTTACGATCACTTTTTTGATCTTCAAATCAAAATATATCCTATATAAAAATCTATCTGTATGACTGTTGGAATTCTTTTACACATGAGTATCAATAGATTTTTAACTTCACACAACATCTACATTAATTTTGTGTTCACTTTTAACCAAACAAAGCTGATGGGTAACAATTTGTTGATAATTTTTAACAGATTGAAATCATGAGTCAGTTGAAGCTAGACCACCATTGAAAACCTGGAAGCACTGGACGGCCGTTTCGTCCTAGTATGGGACTCCTCAGCAGTGCGCATCCACGATCCCGCACCACGCGGGGCTCGAACCCAGGACCTACTGGCTTCGCGCGCGAGCACTTAACCATTAGACCACTGAGCCGGCATCCAACGGTGTTAATGTCTAACTTCAACCAATCCACGAAGTTGCGCCACCGTACACCATTGTCTTCAGTGAGTTCCTATCTCACAACAGACCTGGTTGAACTCCACTGGTAACGGCTTCTCACTAGAACTTCGGGAGTTTTTCCTGAAGTCAGTCACTAGTGAGCAGTTGATTATTATTATCAGAATGGGTTTTGTGGAGATTTTAGAAATTTCACAGATTGAAATCATGAGTCAGTTGAAGCTAGACCACCATTGAAAACCTGGAAGCACTGGACGGCCGTTTCGTCCTAGTATGGGACTCCTCAGCAGTGCGCATCCACGATCCCGCACCACGCGGGGCTCGAACCCAGGACCTACTGGCTTCGCGCGCGAGCACTTAACCATTAGACCACTGAGCCGGCATCCAACGGTGTTAATGTCTAACTTCAACCAATCCACGAAGTTGCGCCACCGTACACCATTGTCTTCAGTGAGTTCCTATCTCACAACAGACCTGGTTGAACTCCACTGGTAACGGCTTCTCACTAGAACTTCGGGAGTTTTTCCTGAAGTCAGTCACTAGTGAGCAGTTGATTATTATTATCAGAATGGGTTTTGTGGAGATTTTAGAAATTTCACAGATTGAAATCATGAGTCAGTTGAAGCTAGACCACCATTGAAAACCTGGAAGCACTGGACGGCCGTTTCGTCCTAGTATGGGACTCCTCAGCAGTGCGCATCCACGATCCCGCACCACGCGGGGCTCGAACCCAGGACCTACTGGCTTCGCGCGCGAGCACTTAACCATTAGACCACTGAGCCGGCATCCAACGGTGTTAATGTCTAACTTCAACCAATCCACGAAGTTGCGCCACCGTACACCATTGTCTTCAGTGAGTTCCTATCTCACAACAGACCTGGTTGAACTCCACTGGTAACGGCTTCTCACTAGAACTTCGGGAGTTTTTCCTGAAGTCAGTCACTAGTGAGCAGTTGATTATTATTATCAGAATGGGTTTTGTGGAGATTTTAGAAATTTCACAGATTGAAATCATGAGTCAGTTGAAGCTAGACCACCATTGAAAACCTGGAAGCACTGGACGGCCGTTTCGTCCTAGTATGGGACTCCTCAGCAGTGCGCATCCACGATCCCGCACCACGCGGGGCTCGAACCCAGGACCTACTGGCTTCGCGCGCGAGCACTTAACCATTAGACCACTGAGCCGGCATCCAACGGTGTTAATGTCTAACTTCAACCAATCCACGAAGTTGCGCCACCGTACACCATTGTCTTCAGTGAGTTACTATCTCACAACAGACCTGGTTGTGGAGTTCAACCAGGTCTGTTGTGAGATAGGAACTCACTGAAGACAATGGTGTACGGTGGCGCAACTTCGTGGATTGGTTGAAGTTAGACATTAACACCGTTGGATGCCGGCTCAGTGGTCTAATGGTTAAGTGCTCGCGCGCGAAGCCAGTAGGTCCTGGGTTCGAGCCCCGCGTGGTGCGGGATCGTGGATGCGCACTGCTGAGGAGTCCCATACTAGGACGAAACGGCCGTCCAGTGCTTCCAGGTTTTCAATGGTGGTCTAGCTTCAACTGACTCATGATTTCAATCTGTGAAATTTCTAAAATCTCCACAAAACCCATTCTGATGATAATTTTTAAATCTCTTTAAATACGACTGCTTGTCAATAGTACCCATTATCTAGTGCATCACTAATAATTCGATTTGATTGGGTGCAAATTTTTCAGTCAGAAAAAGTTTATCATCTCATGTTACTTTACATTATTAACACACATATGCCTATCAGTTTATTTAAACTGTGTCATATTTCAAGAGTCTGAAGACAACTACCCTAAGCCTGATTGATGTCATAAGATATGATATGGGGGTTACTAACCCTATGCCTAACCTTCCTTTTTTACCCCAGATCGACAGTAACTCCAGAGAGGTCTCCAGGCGTTTTCCAATATCGTAAATATCGATAAATTAGAGCAAACTAAGCAAATAAGAGTTGTTGGCAAATGACCATCCAATTTGATCAATATAAATATTGATTTTTACATCTAAACTTCACGACTTCGTATCTTACCACGTTTACAATAATATTGAAATGTTAATATTTTCATGGTGGTTTACTTTTGGAGTTGTTTTATTTTGATTTTAAGTCGCGAATTGATATCACTTGGAAAACCATTGATTTCAACTATATCGAGAATAGGACATGCATCACTGAATGCCTCGAGTGATGTTGGTAGCTCAGTACCATGAAGTGAATAAGATTAGATATGTTAACTTGGCGAATTTCCGAACTCACTAGTCTAAAATGTAGCTCGCTTTCTCCCCACGAGGCTTATTTGTTTTTGATTTGACTTTTAGTACGTTGGAGAGTCTCATATTAAGATAAAGTAGTTATCTAATGCCTCCTGATTTTCAGTCGCTGTCTAGTTAAAATCAGTTTTTGTTATAGTAGATTTCAAGTTGAAGTGATTTCTATATAACTGCCTTTTTAATAATTGTTTTCTTCTTATAAGTAGTACGTTCAGTAATTTATTGTATAATATTGCTTCTACAAGGCATACATACATATACACAACCATAAATATATGGCACTTCTTTCGATCTTCACTTAAACTATTATAAACTAATGTTTACTCGAATTATCCTGAAAATGTATAATTCCACTTGACCTATAAATTTATAGTTATTAACGAATGAAATAGAAAATTAATTAGGAAAAATAGATTAAGCATATAACTTTTTCGTTTACATTTCATTCATCTTTCTCAAAATTAGTTTTATTGAATGTTTTCCTTTAGATAATTGAACTTGAATTTGCTAAATTAATTCACATCGTGAATTATATATATATATATATATATATATATATATATATATATTTGGCTTTCTATGAGCTACGAAATAGTTCATCGGATTTTTCAAAAGATATACTTTTGATTTCCGTTCTGTTTTACTTTACGGCAGCGAAACATGGCCTTTAAGAGTAGAAGATACTCGTAAGCTACTAGTATTTGACCACAGATGCCTTAGAAATATTGCTGGTGTCTGCTGGGATCACCGGGTAAGTAATAGTGAGGTTAGACGCAGGGTATTAGGAAATGATGGTAAATCAGTTGATGAGGTTATGAATCTTCATCGACTGAGATGGTTGGGCCACGTGTTACGTATGGCCGAACACCGATTACCACGACGTGCAATGCTAACCGGGGTAGGGGATGGTTGTAAGAAAGTTAGGGGCGGCCAAACCAAAACGTGGCATCAGTGCCTGAAGTCACTAACTTCTAGTCTGAGCCACGTTGGTAGATGCAGACTACTTGGTTGGGGTCCGCGTGACTATCGTAACCAATGGTTGGAGGCTCTTGGTGACATGGCTCAGAATCGATCACAATGGCGTCGGTGTATACACTCTCTGTCTTCCCTTAAACTAAGAGATTAAAATCACTTCATATCTTTCTTTATACGAACCAATTCTTTCTTCTTGCAATATATCTCTATATGCAATCTTTCTCTTATATATTACCACCTTTGACCTAACCACTGCTATGAATCCGGTGTTCATCTTATTGTGCTGATGCGGTATGGCAACCTGGACCGATGCACATATGTGCCTGGTCCTACGTTGTAGCTGACTGACTGGTACTTTTGATTGAGATTATGAATCGACCAATGTTAGATCACCATTTAAAACTTGGAAGCACTGGAAGGTTGCTTCATCTTAGTAGGGGACTGCTGGTGTAAATACGTACAGGTTCTACATTGTGACTGACTGAGGAGGTGTGAAGGGTTAAGTTCTCGTTGGGACACTTAAAGATCCTATGTCTAGTGCTAGGTTGAAATGGCTTTTGAGTGCTTCTAGGTGTTTCAATGGTTGTCTAACATTGATCGATTCACGATCACAATCAAATCTCAACAGTCTCCTTATACTGATAGATGTGTTTTTCTTTAGTTGTAAACACTGAAAAAGTGAATAAAATCTTTTCTGAACATTTAAGTGGATATTTTCACAATACAAATCAAGCTCTTATATGGATGCTAGATTCTCAAAACTCACTTGGTAAATAACTTATTTTTGTGATTTTATTTTGGAAATTTGAATTTCTTGTTTTCACGCCAAAAAAGTCCATTTTCACTTTCACATCTCATTTTCCACTTGGGAAAACCGTAAATGCCATTGCCTCGTTGTTTCTTCAAATCAGCTATTTTGTAACGTTTCTCAAGGACATTTTACGCCGTATATGTACGCTTGAATTGTGCTTATGGTTGTTACTCGTGCTTCTGGCTGCTTGTGAAATACATTTCCCTCTTCTGAATTCGGACTTCTCTCTCTAGGTAGCGGGGCTGGGACGCATCGGGATAGTTAACTTATTTGGTTATTATGTCAATGAGTCTTCGTTCCGTTCTCAGATTTAGGTGAACTCGTAATTTTTTCAAACATAGCAAGCTCCAAACAAAAATTTGAAAATCCATAAATTTTTCATATAGATTTTTCTGTCCATGGTAGTTTTTTGGTGTTCGAATTAAAAAAAGCTAAACGGCTTCACATTTGTTGGAATTCATCATCAACAAAACATGTCTGAAACGTCGAAATAAATTGTGTTTCTTTGAAGTTTGGAAGTTGCATCATCAAGGTTTTTATTCAACATTTTTGCCACTCGCTTATTCAGGATGTCATTACTGACCAACCACAACCATGTACGGTTTACATAATAATATATGTAACTTTTCTTAGTGGACATATTCTAGTATCTCTGAATGTAATGATCTCAATTTGGTATGATTACATCGCACATTTCGATCTGTAAAATGTGCTTAGACCTTTGTTTCTTAGCCGTGACCGCCATGTTTGAGTAAGTTTTTCTCACCCAAAGCTTTTCTTCCATGCCCAATTACCTAATTGGTAACTACTCCTGTTTGTGATACAAAGTGATAGAAATGTAAATCAGATATTTGGAATGTAAATGATATGTAAATGACAGCGTAAAAATCACATTGTATTCTCTATCCGAATATAACTTGTTCAGTATTAGGTAAAGTTGTGATCATATAAGTACGATTTGGCTTTGATAAATCGAATACCGTTATTTATTTATTATTAAGTTTCATCCCTTAAGAACGTAAAAATCCCTTAGTATATATCTTCAAAGCGCTACTCATTTTTGTAGTGGAATAATCAAGTAGGCGGTCTATGTTTAAACGTAGCGGATTGAGTTGAAATGGCGAATGAATTGATGGAAATGTAAGTTATCATAAACTATGGTGGTTTAAACGTTTGTCGTAAATGCCCACCTGTCGCCTGCGCGAACGTGATTTTTATTGTTACACTGGAGCCGTGTTGTGATCAGTTTTTGTGTAGTTTCAATCTTTGAATGATGAAATAATAAGATAAAATTTAATTTTAATAAGTAATTTTTTTCTATATTTGTTTAGGTGTCAATTTTTAAACAAACCAATGGTTTCGGCTTTACTTTAGCTGATCATATCCAAGGTCAGCATGTGAAAGCTATCTCAGATCCAGTAAGATGTGGTCGCTTACGTGTTGGTGATGTCATTGTAGAAATTAATGATCAACGTGTAAAAGATATGCCACATGTGGAAGTAGTTCAAATATTGAAACAATGTCCAGTTGGTAAAGAAGCAAGATTACTTGTTCAACGTGGTGGTAAGTTCTCTGTGTATTACATTTTATAATTCAATATTGTGTTACTGCTCATCAGCTAAACATCTTGTATCATTTGTTTTTGGAAATTTATTGTTATCCTTAACGTAATTTCAAGTTTACTTACCAATTTATTTGTTTCATGAATTTTGTAATTAGTAATGATCAGAGTCCTCGATTCACCTTCACTATGTTACAGGTTTCAATTCTTTTGCATAAACTTCACCCTTAGATGAAGAGATAATCCTACTGTAACTATCACTTTATTTTGCACAGCAAGATCACACATACAAACTAGCATTTCAATGATGAATCACATTTAGTGTTAGTAACATACGGTTTCATCATCAATTGTGACACTGTTTCGTTTTAGTCGAACTGTGATGTAATCATTATACGACGTAAATATCCCGACTCTCTTATCGTCAAGATTCATAGTTGACACTATCGATGAGGTTTTGATTAAGATTGAAGTGGATGGTCTGGCTCTTCTATTGCACACGCAACAACAAATGCAGGCGAAGACGACCAGTATGGTAGCAGCCTCAGCAACAGTAGATCTCAACATACACAAAGGGAAAATCAAGATTCTACGATACAACGCAGCATGCACCAATCGAATCATACTTGACGGAGAAGCTTTGGAGGATGTAAAAACCTTTACATATCTGGGCAGCATCATTGATAATCACAGTGAATCTGATGCACATGTGAAGGCGTGGATCGGCAAAGCAAGAGCAGCATATTTACAATTGAAGAACATTTGGAACTCTAAGCAACTGTCAACCAACTCTAAAGTCAGAATTTTCAATACAAACGTCGACACAGTTTTACTGTATTGGACGGAAACTTGGAGAACTACGAAAGATGTCATCCAGAACATACAAGTGTTTATTAACAGTTGTGTACGCAAAATACTTCGGATCCGTTGGCTAGGCACCATCAACAACAACCTACTGTGGGAGAGAATAAACTAGATCCTAGTGGAGCAAGAAGTCAGAAAGAAGTGCTGGAAGTGGGTAGGACACACATTGAGGAAGGCACCCAACTGAGTCATAAATCAAGCCCTTACATGGAGTCTTCAAAGCCAATGGAGGAGTGGAAGACCAAAGAACACATTACGCCGGGAAATGGAGACAGACATGAGAAGAATGAACAAAAATTGGATAAAACTAGAAAGAAAGGCACAGGACAGAGTTGGTTGGAGAGTGCTGATCGGTGGTCTATGCTCCATTGAGAGTAACTGCCATAAGTAAGTAAGTTTTTAAGTAATGACTTCTTCTGTGAGCATAGTTTGTTCAATTCTCAATACTTTTAATATTCAATATACAATCAATCAGTTGATCAACCAATAAATTATTTAAATCTTTTCTCTTGGTTATTCATTCAAACAATGCAGTTGAATAGAAATCATTAAACATTTATTCAACTGTTTGTGTTTATGAATGTATTTGCACCTAAAATGTTCTATACTCTGTGATTCCGTGTAACTAAATGATACATTTCTTTTTTTATGTCTATAAAATAAACTATTTAAAGTTAATTACTATGACAATGTGATTTGTTCAGTATTGAATAATACATCAAAGGGTATCATACAACAACAATCAATGATTTAGAGCTGACAAATATCATTAACTTCATATTTGATTTATGGTACTATGGTTTTAAAGAAATTACAATACCACAATTACATAATGTTGCAATGTTTGTCTAGCGTGATTAAAGTGGAAGACATAATGAAAAGTGCACTTAATTCACATTAATTCATGACCCTTTTTTTCTTGTCATAAAAGCGATTAGTTTAATTCTTTATAATGTGTATCTGTCGACAAAAAATAGTTATACGATCATCAGTTTCCATATCCACAAATTCGATAGGGTTACAATGTATTGATCTATTGGATTTATCATAACAATTAAAATTGAATTTTATTGCAATATCTTGAATTGGCTGAAATTGGACATTAACAGCGTTGGATTTTTAGTCATTGGTTTGTAGTTTAAGCGTTTGTATTTCTGACTGAAGGTCCTGTTCTTCATTACCGGATGTCAGAGTCATGAATAGGGAATTTTCGAGGAACCCCTCACTGTGATGATACGGCTACCAATAGTAATCTGGCCGAGATCGATTCGTGATTTTAACTATGGAATTTCTGCAATCTCCTCCCTTGAGGTCACTTGGTTTTATCAACTCATCATCATCCAACCTATCAACGGATGGACACACATATTTATAGATTGTACAAAAATGACATTTGATTGTTCTAAAACCTTCATATCGTTTGTATTTTATGTCAGTACATTATCTTTCGATATCCTGTGCTCCTTAATCAATCGGTTGGACAGAGAGTATGTTCAGTCTCATGACTAGTCCTCTATTTTATAACTTTGTCGACGTAAATTTTCACACCTACGTGAATTGAAAACTTTACATTCCTCTAGGAACAGGAGATCCAGCTTGTTATATTTATGACCATTTATACGTCAGTGTCGTTAAATACGAATGTTTGAAGCTTTACCATGGCTTCCGACTAATTTACCATCTCGATGTGTGAATTTAAACTTGATTCGAACTGTGGAATTATATGTGTGGTGGGATTCAAACTCTACAAGGAACTATTCTTTAATATGCGTTCCAGAGATATTTTGCATCGATGTCACGATATTCTAGTCTTAGCCAGGGAAACCTGTTACCGGATTTCTAATGTTTAAGGTTTAAATATTTCTCTTTGAGAGTGGTATCACGTGACTTCGGGGATCATTTCATGAGCTTGAGTAGCTAATACTGGTGGTATATTTGAAAGGAGTTGAGAACAGAAGATGAGGATGAATGGTGGAAATGGAAAAATATTTGAAAGCGATTATGAACAAGAATAGTTTAGATGATCCATTTATCTAACAAAACAACACTTGTATATAGTGGTAGATTAGTTTTTGGAATTTCATCCATTAAATCATCGGTTCGGAACTCATTTAAATTCAGGCAGTCGGTTAGTTTAACTAGCCACGTTCAAGTTATGGCTTAAACATGAGTATAGGAATATGTACTTGGTAAACGAGTTACCGTATTCAAAAGGAATAGGAAACAGATTTTTAGAAGTCACACAACAGTTTATAACATAAACACTTGATTAACAGATTACGTTTCTTGCTCACTATATCACAATTGGAAATGTTTTCACTATATTCTATCCTGATTACTGAAAGAACAATTTTTTCATTAATGTAAACCTACTGTATATGGATAGGAGTTTAGTTTTCTAGTTTTATGAATACAACTGATTAATTAGTATTCTTCTCCATCATTAGAAAACTGCTAAACATATGAATCATGTTTTTCATTCAATCATTTGATCATACATTATATCAAGTTTCAGCTTTTATTTTACAAATCGTTTTTCCATAATGATTGATTGTCTCACCGCCAATTTGTGTATATGACCTATGAATTTCCAGGCAAAATGTATTCAAAATTAACTCATTATTCAATAATAAGATGGAATGATTCAATATACCTATTAAAGTCTTCATCGAAGTTGGGTTAAATGGCGCCATCTTTTTCCAAAAAAATCTCAGTTTAACGTATTTTTGAAATTTTTTAGCAAAGTTAGGTAGTTGTTATGAGTGGAATACAGAACACGCGTTTTTTATTATTTGGGATCCTTAGATTGGATGTACTTGCATCCCAGTTCTGTAACTCACTCTGTGACTCGAACCCAATGCCTCACGATTCAAACGGGGCGAATTTGTTACTCATTTAGCTACTACTTAATACTTAAGTAGTTAAATGGAATTTTCAACACCAACTGAAGTCCAATAAAAAACTACTGTCAGAATAACAGTGAACAGAGGTTGCTTCCAAGGTGGTGATCGATCATATGTTCTCATCATCTACTTGCTTAATTGAATTCATGACATACAGATGATATGTTGTAAAGATCACAATGCATACCAAGTACAATAATTTTGAATATCTCTTCTACTGAACACCAGTTTACTGGCTAGATGTAATGTTTTGTTCATCGTGAAACTCAAATACCCTCGATCTGATATAATGTGGATCAGTGGTCGTTTACTGTTGAAAAATGTCTCAAACAAAAGTGACACAGTTGTCCAACTACTTATCATTTCCAGGTAGTCAGTTCAGGATAAGAAGTTACTAATTGTTACTGATTGTACGAAAACTCCACACAATCATCTTCCGTAAATGTTAGTCACTTGAATGTTCGTTTGACTTTCCATAGGTAAAGTATATTGTGTGATTGCCTATGTGGTGTGAGTGAACCGACTGAATGGAAATTGAGTGATATGTCGTATATTTATCTATCCACAATGATCTGAATTGTGAACATGTTTCTTTGCAACAGAAAAGTCATTAAAACAGTAAATATCACGAGATGTACTCGTTCTATACAAGTACAAATATTATTCGCATGTTTTAGAGTTATGAGGTTGATAATTGTGATATTTTGAAATTGTTCGTGTAAGCAAGGAAAATGTCGAAAATGTTGACCAGACATCAATCAAAACAATTCTGAGGTCAAGTGGTGTCTGGAATAAATACAGATTCACATTCAGCAGAAATCAGTCGATGTGAATGTATTTATTCACTATTTGAGTTTCAATTAGATCCTTATGTACTAAACAGTTTGGTCACTTGTAACTCAGTTATTGCGTACCATCCTCGGAAAGCTATAAATTCGTGTTGCATGTTAGTTCACATTCATTAGCTACGCGTACCGGCAATAATACAGGAACTGATGCTACACTTAGCTTTTGACCTTGCAGTAGTCAACGCCACTATCCGTTTCTTACTTTTATGTCTATATTCATCCATTTAATCACTTTGCTATATATTGATAACATAAGTTGGTAGTTTGAAGCTAGTCGACAGTAAATCTTTGACCTGAGTTTCGTGCTGTTTAGCACTCGTCAGCTAGACGTACGTGTACTCCTGTGGTAACACTTACTTCTTGACAGATTTCTTTTCGTTTTGCCTATCTTAACCCTGAAAGACGTTATCACTGTACTATTCGGGCCATATAGTACTTCTTATCTGGCGATGTATATCAGTATTATGTAAAATTGTTTATTTTACATTTGTTATTCATTCCAGTTGAATTCCGTTGTAGATTATCATATATTTGAAGTTTTCACTAATGCACCAATTGCAACGATTTTATATTGTTTACATTTAGTTAGTATGTTTCATTGACGGCTGTGTGTTTTGTATAAATAGTCGGTATCCTTACTTTTTTCCAATGGTTCAATCAATAGATATGTGGTTATAGGTTTGTACTTTCAAACTTCACTCCACACTTCATTTTGAATAGTTTTGTAGTTATATTATTTACCAATGAAGCAACATGTGTCGAAACCAGTTAAATAAATATGTATTTTTGGTGGTATTCATTTTTCCGAATTTGATGAAGCTTTTATTGTCATCATGAACAAGATCTTGAACTCCTACTTAATATAGAAGTAGTCTTCCTATTTATTCCACAAGTGCTGTTTTGGTTCATCTCAATGATCTTATTGAGAATGATAATGAAAGCTTCGGGATTCAGCCATCTAACTCAGAGAGCTCAATGCCACCTAAATTATCCACCTGAACTACGAATTTTCTCCATTATATGAGAAATATGTGAATTTTTTTAAAAAAATTGTTGAAGAACCGACGAAACAGTGAAATGAATCCAACCGATAAAATAAAATACATCCTCAGTCTATCTCTTTAAATACAATTCTTGTCACCGATATGATCAAGTAAATTTTGTACGATAATTAGATACAGATTTTCACTCATGATATCCAAGCCGACAGTAAATTTAACTCCAACTCCCTATGTGGTGCGTGCTACTTATATTGATATAAGTAGTATATGACGCGAGTCAGGAATGTAATATCTGGCAGCGGAAGATGGGGAAGATCAAGAAAGGAAGAGCGAGAATAGAAAGCAATTACTGTGGAAATGCAGGAATAACGAAGTTCGAGGCAATTATTGAACATTTTGCAAATTAAGTATTATTGTATGGTTTTTCTATTTTACCAAGTAACTCTGTAATGGTGTGTTAAATATAATTAGGTTGTCCTCACCCGTGTTCTGTTCACTTCACCTAGAACCATTGTGTTTCATTAAAATGTGGAATATCATAGTGGAGAGGCCAGTTTTTTTTACTTAGAACAATATTTTATTCGGAAAGATACCTCTTTATATCTTACATACAGATCCACTTTTCAATGGTTATTTAATTGAATTTAATTCATGATTGCATAAATGAATATCATACTGAACAACTGTCAAAATTGAATAAATTACATAATAGAATTACATACCAGGGGATACTGAAATAATCAATAAATGTAATTTTCACAATTCTCTTATCACTTCTATTATACTGAATCTCAATCATAAATTACATCTGATTAGTCACATTTACAATGTGTTTAATTGTATATAAAGTGTTTTACATAAAGATTGACAGGCATAGTTATCTAAATTTTTGTTTCTATTTCATGTTTGGCTTCAAGATTATGTCATACTTTTTTAATGATAATACAATAAACAGTGAAAGATGGTACTTGTTGTGAGTGTTGTAGACGAAACTGTTTCTCCCCCTTATTTTCAAATGGATTATATTGATCATTTGGATTGAAATGAAGAAAAATAGCTTTAGTTAATTAAAAACATTTAAAATATTAATATCAGATAGGTTTTTATGGAGATTGTAGTAATTTCAATGGTTAAGATCACTGCTGAGGAGTCCCACAATAGGACGAAACGGCCGTCCATTGCTTCCAGGTTTTCCATGGTGGTCTAGCTTCAACTGACTTATGATCTTAACCATTGAAATTTAAAATATTGTAATGTGGCAATAATTTATTGTACAGTTCATAGTTCAATTAAACACGTTTGTCTCAGTCATTTATGTATTATGAATATATGTGTCTAATGTTATTGAATTCTCTGATTTTAATGGTTCAGTTATGGAGCTTTCATTGATTGTTGTTTTGATCAACATCGTTAGTAATTACGTATACATGTAGTTCCGTAACTGAATAATCTAGCTCAGAGAACTCAACAGTACTGATAATATCTATCTGATCTACTGATTTCCCTTATCATTTCAAAATATATCTGTGTAATAAGTAGCTTTTGTACTTCATTTATCCATGTTTGATTTAATTTATACAAAGAATAATGGATTTCTTGGCTTGGCTACAGTAGATCTCAAATATCTTTGCTAGCCTGTGAGTAATGCCGAAGAAATATTGCTCAAAATTCACAAGCATTGTGTATGTCTGGTGCTATATATGTCGTAGATTAAACCGATATCAATTGGATTTACTGTAGGCGTACCTTGAACCTTGTTATAAGTTGTTTGATTAACGCTGATGGATAAGACTTTAAGCTTTCATTGTCTTTGAATGGAGCTTTGGCCTTGGGTAACCAAGAAAAGGAGTGATACGTTTTTAAATGTGCACTTATTCGCAACTGTGGCTATTCAATAATTGTATTTCTTCATTATGCATATGTTTTGATAGATTAATAGACAGACAGACATAATTAACATTGATCCCGACACAGATACGTGTTAGTGCAAGTTGTCATACTAGATTAACACAACAAGATGTCATAATTAACATTTATATTGATGGTGGTGAATATGTTGGGCATTTCAATTTATCATAAATAATTCTATGATTTATTCTTTTCTCTACATAATTTACAGGTTTGTATACCTCCCCGTTATCATTACTGGATACTGAATTGCTTGAAATGAATTCATTAAATTTCAATGAACAGGTATGTTAATTTTTATGTTTTTATTATGATTAGCAACTTTTGTTTTTACAAATATTGAATGCCAAACTTACCAACTTATCAAATTTTAAATAATGCTAACCAATAGCTTTACAACTTAAAGTACTTTATAGTGTTTAATTGAGATCATAAACCGATTGATGTTGGACCGCCATTGAAAACCTGGAAGCACTGAACGGCCGTTTCGTCATATTGTGGAACTCCTCAGCAGTGCGCATCCACGATCCCGCTCGTGGGATTCGGACCCAGGGCCTTCAGTCTCGTGCGCAAACGCTTAACTCACTGGACCACTGAACCAGCGTCCAATGGTGTTTATGTCTAACCTCAAATAATCTACGAATTAGCCCGACCATCTCCCATTGTACTGAGGTAGATACCTGTATCTACCCGACACGGATTAGCTCCACTGGTCACGGCTTCCCACTAAAACTCCGAGGATTTTCTCACGAAGCTTGATGATTTAAATCCATCAAGGACTCATTCATTCTTGTTTTGTATTCAAAATGAACATTGTAAAGCAAATTGTATAAAGAGAATTTCACCGGATAATAAGTACTATTTTAATATGGACTATGTATAAGCCAGTCTTGGGTATTCGAATCTTTATCACATAATACTATACTGACCAATGAATTTGTACGTAAATTATACTTAAATCAAAGTAGAATCATTTATAAACTCATTAATGATCATATAAAGAATCCGGATATAAATGAAACTATTGAACTTACATAAATAAAGTTCTTTGTATAATATTCTTTTGAACATTTCACTACATAGAACATAAATTCACTTGGTATTGTTTACTTGTATCTTCTCAGAGTGAACATCAAACTCTGTAATACAGATGCATCCATCTGACGAGTCTCAAAATAGGACGAAATGTTCATCCTAGATTCTACTGCTAGTTATTATCAATTTTTACTATATTTTTCAAGTTCTAAAAATATGAATACATTAAATAATCAACATTCACACATTCACATTTCATTTTTGTCTTGTTTATATTTATTCATGTTTTTATATAATTTTTGTTGTTGTTGTTGTTGGTTTAATGTACTTTCATCAATGTTCAATGATAATTCAGTAGGCAGTTATTTAGCAGTAGAAAATAAAAGATATATGCTTATCAGTTTTTAATGTATAATTTTTTTTGGGGGGGGGTAATGTCGGTTGATATATCCTTTCTGTAGTACAATTGTAACGTTATAACATATTTGTTTTTCCTGATCACTTATTGTCTCTTATCTAGTTCATTTCAATTGGCTTTTTCCCTGTATCTACTGGCATATATATTTAGTGTTTTCTGTTGTTGTTTTTTTTTTGTACTAAAAGCTTTATTAGTCTATGTAAATGTTATCCTATTCTTTTTTTGATAAGGTGTTTATTTGTTCAATTATTGTAACTAAGCGTAATGCTTTGATTCAATATCATACACGTTTCTAATCTTTATTTTATTTGTAACATAACATAAAAATGATCAGAAAAATTCTAATTCATTCGAATGAATAATTGTATCTTTATGTTTGTGTATATGGATGATCGTTTTGTAAGTATGTGCTAATTTTCGGTTTGACTGATAACATTGATCCACGTAATAGTCAAAGCCAAAACTGTATATCCTAATCTAGGTTATTTTTGGCGTTGTCGCGTAATGATAGTTTAGTTATAATAGTTTAGAGTTTAGAAACTCATCAATGAATATAGTTTTTGTCTATCTTCATTAAATTTGAACCATCACATCTGAGGGTTGTCAATGTTTCCATATTTCATTTTTATTGTCTTTGAAAAAGTTATCAGATCCAGTTGTAAACTATATTGATAGTTCCAAAATCTGACAGTGTATGTTCAGGTGCGGTGACGATAATTCACTTAGTGACTTCCACATCATTCATCATTTGTCAACGCTGGAACTGGTTAGAGAAAACGGATATGGTTATTTTATGACATGGTGCCTAGGTACACAAAAGCTGTAAAGATTTGTTATCTGTTGATACATCTCAACTCTATTGTTGGAGTTCTAGAAATGTTGCAACTCGGTTAGCTAATAATTAACTACTTTGGATTCAAGATATTGTGTGAGATATAATCATGCCCTTAATCAAAATACGCTTGGCTGCTATCGATTATAAAGGAAATACATTTAGAAGTATCGTACTGTTAAACAGTAATACTTCCTGAATCATTCAACATTTGGTTATCTTGATAGCTGATGACTAGTTACCGATTCATACTTTCATGAATTTAAAAGACTGTTAATTAATGCACTCAAACTTTTAAATATTAGGTCACCGGTTCAAACTTAATTCCATTCAATTTTGTATAAATACCCTGTTAGCTTCATCAAGCCTCACATAAAAGTTATGATTTCAGGTCGATTGCTTAGACTTTTGAGCCTCATTACTGAGTCACACTTAATTTTTGTACCTGCTACTGGGTCAATATTTATGTGATAACTGGAGCAACAACCAACTGCTCAAATTTGCGTCTGCATTTGAAGCCTAATAGTTGGAACCGGATCTCTGTAACCTATTACACTAATTCTCCAGTATTATCTTTTCTCATGTTTCTTACAATTTAATGTATCCAGTTAGTTTTGTTTTTAAGTAATTCTTTTGTTGTCATTTTTATTATTGTTTAACGGATTATTTATTTCACTTTTCCGCTGAATTGATTTTCTGTTTTCAGCGTTATCGTGGGAACATAGCTAATCATCAGTATATAAATGGTAAGTTTATGTTATTTTTCTAAATTCTTTCGTACATAAACTTGTATACGAAGCTAAAACTAAACGCTTAGGATAATGTAATGTTAGAAATTTGCAAAGTATTTCACAAAATCCATATTACTTGTCCATATGATGAGATAAGCTTAGTTTTCATCTCCTACTACACTGTATACAACAACCATTTATCCCCTTCCTGGTGGTCTTTTTCAATCCAAAAGTATAAAAATATCTGCCTGGTGAAATTTAATAAGGGAAACTATGGAAGATTGATTCAAGCAAACAACGATTATGTCCTTAAAAGTGGAATAAAAAAATTAGCATATATTTGGGAAAGTAACGAATCAATAGTAGGAGAGCATATTTGGTTGTTACAAGAATGAAGGGCATTCAACCTGTGATAATCTTGAAGAACAAAACACAACTTTCAAATTTTCCATTAAAAAGACAACGAAGTAGTAGGAGTATGTTCAGTGGATTTAAGATCCTTCACAGAAATATCAAAAGATGGCTACTCACATAGATCTGAAACCACACAATAGGATTTTTCCTCATGTCACTTGGAAGTTAAGTTGAATCGGGAGAAGGTTTCTTAAGTCTGAAGACGTCAGTTGTTAAGTCTGATAGTTGAATTAAATGATAATACTTCATTACAATCTATTATTTTAACTGGCGTGTGTGTTATAAATCATAGCGAAGACAGCCAGTTTGAAATATCACACGGATGATTGTTATCATGTTTGTTATGATGACAATCTGAATTGAACCCTTTTAGGAAATTAAGTTGTTGTTGTTGTTATGAAGATTTGGATGGTGGCTAGCTGTTGAATTCAGGACGTGTATTTTGTCTTACTTGGGACTCACCAGTTGAATGTGCCTGCATCGCAAATCCGACATCCACTCTGGGACTCAAACCCAGTACTGTTCGCCTCAAATACTATTCTGTCATCCGCTTAGGTACTGGCTTGTTGTTTTTTCTTTCGCCTTGAAATATACTTTTATTCTGTGTTTTTGTCGTCGTCACTTGTACTACGCCAAATAATAAACATACATAAAACAGCTTAATATATAGATCATTAAGTAGTATACTCATCTAAAAATTGTCATATTGTTTGAGTGTTTTTTTTGACTTACAATTAGTTTGTTTACTTATCAAGATGATGTTATCGTAAATAAATGTGCTTTTGGTCATAGATTTATTGTATTAAGTTTCAAGAAATAGTTAAGAGTTTAGTATCATGCATTTTAGTCTACATTTAATTGTGTCTTTCAGTGAAAAATTCATACTGGATAAATGTTTTATGCATTAAGCAGATACCTGATCACACATTGTTAACAGCACCTCAAACGTGAAAATAATCATCGTCTATTTCTTTCTTTAGTACTCCTAGAACCATAGCTTGCTGGTTTAAGGATTTATCTTTCAATCATTAGGTGTCAGGTTCACATTCAGCTCCATTAACCTCGGTTTGGGCAACCAGTTAGTATCATCAATCCTGATATAAAGAGGACGTTTTAAAGCAACATTGATAAAAATATACTTAACAGTGATATTCAAATTCCTGACTACAATCTGATAAATTTGCTTTTAAACACTCAGACCCCAACTTCCTAACCGCTTTCTAGTTCACTTAAATCTTGCACCATTGAACCCTAAGCAGAAAAAATGAACATGAGGTGTGTGAGAAGCGTTGCTTCAAAGACTAACTTGTATACAGAAAACAAGGGCATTTGTAGTATTTTATGTGACCTTAGCAATACAGTCCCCCATCTTCTCGAATTTTCTTAGAGATTTCCAACCAACATGGATTAGCCAAAGTACTTTCAACATTTCCCCAACCTTTCAAGACTTTTGGGGAATTATCTATGTTTGTCTAACATGATATGTTTGATTATTCTTTATACAAGGGTTACATCTTAAATTCCCTGTTTACTTGTATCATTTTTCAGTTATCGTAAACGTTAGTTCTCATTTTAAAATTCGTTTTCATCAAAAAATGACTACTGTTTTATCATAGTTTACGACTACTTAACCCATGGTTTAGTGGTTAAAACTTTCGGCTTTTAACTACCAGGTCCTACTTTTGGGTTTTGCTCCACCTGCTTAGATTTGGTTAGTCATTATTTTCATTACCCCTTCACACACTAACTGTGGTTCAAAATCATGTACACGGAAATGTTTTTACAGTAGAACTCAAGCACATTCATGTCTCATGTTAACCCAGTCACATTGAGCTAGTATCCAGTAATTCGTACTATCGACTGCAGTTATTCACACCTATTGTTTCATACAAATCTTCAAAAACAACTACTAATCACAATGTTCATTACTTTATTAATAATGTGTTCTTTAAACTAAACCGCTTAATTATGGAGCTTACATTTTCGTACCTTACAACCTAGTAGTCAGTGTCAGATACACACTTCTATGTAGAATCAGCACTGACGATCTTATCCAGAACGAGAATAAAAACTTTTTAATTAGACCATTTGCCTATGAAATCATATCACAGAAAACATCCAACTAATCTACAAATTATCTTCATCATTTCAATATTGATTATTTTTTGTATTTTTATCTATTTTTACTACCTATCAGTTTTTCTTTCTTTATCTTTTTTCTTTTATCATTTTATTACTTTACATTTTTGGGGGGGGGGGTTCAAAATTTTATTATTTTATTTCGCTATTTTTTTAGCATTATGAAATATATATATTTTGTCTGGTTACATTGTTACTCTTAATCCCATCTAACTGTTGAGCACATTTTTTCTGTATGAAAGATAAAATAACAGTATATAATGAGTTTCGTTTTCGTTTGCTTGTTTATTGGTGGTAGGTAAATATCCACATTAAATAGAGTTCCTTTAGGGAAACCTAATCTCTAATTCAATGTTATCTTAATTCTATCTGTGATTTTGCTGATTTCATATCTTCATTGGGTGTTTGTAGACGTGTACTCGCAAATACACACACACACGAGTACGCGTACATATCATCATCCAATTATTTTGTTTGTTTGTTTAAAGAAAAAAAATGACAATAAACTCAGTAGTTTGTTATTTTATCCTCATTCTCATTATGGTTTCTATGCTAATTTATGTGTCTTATTTTAAAATGAGTCATTCACGGAAGATTTGTACTTGTTTGATTGTTTGTTTTTTTTCTCTATGTTGTTAACTTGTTTAATTCTCTCTTTCTCATTCTATTTTCCTATGAACTAGGAATATTCTAGAAAAATTCTTCTCTTTAATCTAACCGTAAGAACTCTTCATTCATTTCTTTTTCGTTTTAAATTTTTATGTTTCTTCGGTTTATGTCTTTTTTGTTTACTTTTTATTTCCTAGTGGAATCTTTTATTTTTCTCGTTAATGATGTTTTATTTTTGGTTTAAGGGTGTTGGATAGATTAATTTTCATTGGTAGATTTATTTCGCCATAAATTGATCTTATTTAGAGTACTACTGAAAACCATGATGCACTAGAACAGTCGTTCCATCATAGTACGCCACTCCACAACAGTGCACATTCACAACCCTGCCATTGATCAAGTCTACGATCTGTACTTCTTGTTGTGAACGTTTAATCCCTCTAACCAAACTACATTTAACTCTCTTGTAACGTAATTCACGATGTTAACGAATTTCCAGTGAAATGTCATGACTGGGGGTGATCAAACATGGCAGGGAAATAATTATCACCGATAGCATTGAATCACGTGAATTAGTAGAAGTCGGCTGTTGGTTCAATTGTTTTAACAAATAGGTTCTGTTTTCGTTCCCTGGATGGGTCACAAGCACTCACTGCTCAGAAATTTCCATACTGCAACGTATAAACTATAGATTGCTCTCTGGTTTTCAATGGTTTCCGCGACCGATATCGATCTATGACGAGTTGAACCTCTTTTGTTTTACTCTTTAAGTGATTGAGAAGGTAGGCCATTGCTAAGAGGCCTAATGTCCTTCCGTTAATCTGAAACGCTTTTCTAAAGTTGATTCAGTGTTCATTATTTGCTTGTAATATATATACCTCACGTTTATTCTCCATCAAATGCTTCGTTTTAGACTTAAATTTTAGACAAAGTTGATCTTGAAATCTTTCTTTCTTAGTTCTTCCCATATACTTACTTTTATTTATACATGTAAATACATAACTCCAATTGGCGGTAGTTAGAAGAGTACTGGTTCGCTAAGTAGTTGATATTTTAACTAGAATAAAGGCTCTTTCTTGTGCTACCCTCTTAATTTTCTTGTCAATTCACTTTTACCTAACATGTACGGATATCCGATAAAGTCGGACTTTTTAACCTACGACTAGAAGTTAAACATGATATGCTTTTTTTAAAATATACACCTTCTACAAAAATATTTACAATGATTAAGTAGCTTACAGTTCGTTTCTCTTTCTCTGTTGCAGACTTTCATGCTAAATCAACTGACCAACAATCAAACACATCAATAATCGGTGTTTTCCCCTCTTCTCCACCCACTGATGGTACTGTTAATAGTAATGCCATAAATACCACTACAATTAATAATAATAATTTGAGTATTATTTATGCTACTCCTCAACCTCAACGAAATCATGTAAGTGTTTTCTCTATAAATTGAATTTTTTATATAGTTTTGCTAGATGTTTTTACTTTGACAAATAAATTCATATTATCTATTCATCTTTGAATCATCATTCGCCTTATCAGAATTGAGTGAAGCTATACTGTGCCAACGACGTAGAACAATTTTTCGAATGACCTCGATAACAGGAAGTTCATAGTTAATCATTCAAGAAGACAAGTATTATGAAAGAATTCTTTATAATACAGTGAACTAAACAACTAAGAAGTATTATAAAGAGATGGATTTTAGCAAGCAATAGAATCCAGAAAGCTCGTTTCATCATATTTACCTGCATCGTAGATTTGATGTTCACTCCATCTCTGCTTATAATGCTTTTGACTTGAGGCAATTCACACAGGATGTACACATGCCAATAAGCAACTGATCGTGTGTAGTCCTAAACGTCAATGGGAAGATTCAAACAACCAGTATAAAAATAGATTAATTAAGAAATATATATGTTTTTTTGTTTGTTAATAATATATTTCTCCATGATGATTTTTCTCTTCGAAATTCTATAGTAACTCAACTAATTTTTCAGCCTTACCTATATTTCCTTCATGTTGCTTGATTTGAACTCCAAATAATGTTTGTGGAGAAAATATTCTGTCCTCTTAAAACACTTTCAGATTTACCGATCATTATTATATTCAGTGATGTTTAGCTGAACGTACTTTTTCATTATTGAAATAATGGTATAGATATTTTTGTTTGTGACTTTTTCAATATGTCCGAAAACCTAACTAATTAATCGATCAAAATTAAATCTTCAGTTCACTTCCTAGTTCCTTGCATTGTTATCTTTCAATTGAGGACAAATCATATTTCTGACTTCATCTATCAATTATTTAATATTCTCACTGAAATTATTCAGCATCCAAACAATAGATGTCATTGTATTTTTCAATGATTAACACGCTGTGACTTTAAAATACTCTTACACATAGTTCCCTTTATCATTTTTTTTCCCTTAAACTCTTTATTGCATTTATTACACCATTGAGTTTTATTCCAACTATCTTATTTTATTTTATCAACTGAACTCTACTCATTTTATTCCTATCAAGGTTTATTTGTTTCTAACCGTTTGAACTGTTGTCACAATGTTCTTTCATCACATAAGGTATATATTTACAATATTCAGTCTATTAAACTTATTTACACCCTTGCTATACTATATGAATATGTCTTTAATATAACTTCCAATCAAACTCTTTTATGTAAGTAATTTTAACCCATTAATTATGATTTTAAATATCACAGGTTGTAAGCAGCTGACGAGAACCAACGAAATAAAAATGAATTCATGCTATTCTGCTAGAATGTTTGTTCTTGCTCTTTTAAAATACTCATCTGAATGCTTATTGATTCCGTAATATAGTACAGTATTTTGCCCAAATTATTTGGTTAAACTAAATCATATATGTATACTCTTATATATATCCCTTAAGCGACCTCAGCGTAATGTGTCTTATCCCTCTAAAATTAAAACCAGATCTTGACCGAATACGTGCACTTATCATTTGGGTATTTATGATTGATTCAATATATCACTTTGCTTTAGAGAAATAAAATTTCGTTTTCAAATCATTCTATCTATACTACTGTTTAACTTGAAGTTCTCTCAGTCATCATTGCACATAAAACATGAGTTATACATTTTTTTGTAGATAAAAACCGTGTAAAGTAATGTAAAATTCAGTAATATTTACTCTTAGTATTCAACGACTGTAAATAATGAAATTCAGTCTTTAAATGCCTACAGGTTTGTGTATGCGATTTATAATCACACATTTCATTTAGGAACTAAGAATACTACCTGATCGGTTAGTCTTTAGTTGACGAATCGTTGTCGAAATGTTTTAACAACTCAGTCATCTCTTTCGATGTAAACCTCAAATTTGAAAAAATGATATTTCAAGGTAGCTCCAACCGTATCAATGAAATATTGAACAAATGTGTAGGTGTATAGTGGTAGACCGCTTGAATAAGCATTTAATGTGTTCAAGTTCCAATTATTCCTTGAAAACTAACTGGTAACTCAGTGACCCTAAACTACTAGATATCAGAAGAAAGAACAATTATGCAGCAGAAAATGAATTTATAGTAAAATGACATATTAGTTTACGAAAAAATATTATATAGACAAAATTCACAAGTTGATTCAGGTTGGAAATATAGACTACCTGGTTAGGGACGGTACGATTATCGTAATCATTGAATGACATCGCTGCGAATCGGCCATTTATCATCTCTTAGATGTTAAGTTTCGAAATTATACTAGGATTGTTTTATTGGACAAATACATATCTTCGCAAATGATATTTTCTGCTATCACTATCAATACTTCTACTACTCTGGCATCTCTATACTTAGTGTGCCGACTTTAATCGATGCACATGTATGTTAGGTTCTACGTTGCGTAAAAATAACTGACGGGGAATGCAAATTATTGGGTTCTAGCTGATGAAACCTGAAGAATCTCGTATTAGGACTAAACGTCTTGTTAGTACTCTGTTTTTTTCTAGTATACCCTGATTGATGTCAGTCTATAACGACTGCCTCATACAAGTCTGTTGTAATCTTATTTTAAAAGATTAATGATAATACTCATTAGTTTCCTTTGTTTCAATTAAATCTCTTTTACAGCTTTCTTCCAGAATTGGTTACCATCATCGAACTTCCGGTAGTACAGGAGAAAATAGTATTTCTTCAAGTAGTTCGTCGCATATACGTGCACAAACCCCCGATCCATACGTGGATAGGCGTTTAGGCTTAGATAGTCCTAATCATCAATATCATCAGCGTCACTATCAACATTCGTATCAAAATGAACCGTCCGATTTAATTAGTCGGTCAAATTTCGACCAAACAGATTATATTCATCATTCCAATAATAACAATGGCAACATTAATAATAACATGGGTTTATCTGTGATTTCGGATCGACGCCGACGAGTACATCCCGTTGATGATAGCGGTAAATAAAATATTATTACTGTAATCGTGGGTCATTTACGTTTTCTTCTTAAAATTATATAAATGCATTTCAGTAACCATATTACAGGTCTATGTATTCTTATAAGTCCTACCCTATTGATCTATCCCTAACCAAATAAAGGGCCGTTTTAAAATGAAACCTGATGGTTGAAAGGCAAGTTATTTTATGAAAAACTAATCACTTCATAAATGTAAAATCATTTATACAATGCCCGAGCCTAGATGCTGCCTTTACTTTATGATCGGGCTTGCCATTCATGATGACCTAACCAGTCTATTTTGGCTGAAGCAAATGTTCTTTTTGGCCTTAGTACTCCAGGCAGGTCGGTTGGAGAACCGTAGAACTAAATGCGGCAGCTTATGGTCCGTGAGCGAAGTCATAATGCTGACTGTAGAGGAGCATGACAGCAGTATGGCGTTTCCCTCAGATAATCAACTTCTGCAACGATGCTCCTTTCTCACAACGCAAAGAGGTTTAAAAAGGTCAACCCTAAAAATATCACAACTTATCTTACCCTGCGGACTTCCTTCTTCAGTGATAAGGCGTTTTGAATCGGGGGGTTTACAAATCTGAAACCATCGATAGAAAGGCCGTGCGTTACCGACCTCACACAGTTGTCCCTAGGGCTCTGCGGTTACTCTCCCAGGTCTCTAAGACTATCACTAACATAGCCTACTATTCAAATCCCTCTAAAGGAAATGTCGATCCACTATGTGGGTAGCCTCATACCTCTGATAGCATATGTGATCATCTTGTTCACGACATCTTTTTAGTGGATTTAGGATAATAATTCGTTGTGGTGTAGTTGAGCGGTTTTTCAACTAGTCGTACCAACCATGACTAGTAAGAACTATACAGAGCCTATTCCAGCCTACTCCTACACCATCCAGTGCACGAGTTGGTCTTACGTTACACAAATAAATGTCGATGGAGATTCACGATCTCATCAAACGTCTAACCCCAGCATTGGTCATTCAGTCATTCCACGATACTCTGGCAACGCTTCAAAGATGCCTATGATCAAAAGCGCGCATCCTGTTTATGTTTTTTTTGTTTCATGGACCATTTTTCACTGCCATAGAGTAATACAGAATGGATCACTACTCAGTTTACTCGTCCTTTATTCGGCAAACAAACATCTCTTCTATGCTACAGGTGAGGCAAAATGTTCAAAGCAGACCAAACTTTCTGAAACCATGCCAAGATTTTGTCTGATATCAAATCACCCAGTTGAATCAAATAGACAGCGCGCTCAACTTCCTCACTCGGTTATGGTCAGTTTACGAGTTGTGCAGAGCGGCGCTGGAGGAACATTTTGCATTTACAGGGAAAACGAGCCATCCTAAACGCGCGCGCATAATTATTTACGGTTTTCAGTGAACTATTCAGTATCTCAACATCTTCATTAAATAGGACTATGTCGTCCACGCATTCTAAGTTGGAAACTAAATCTCCCTAAAAAGTCAGAGGAAGAAAATGTTATCTTTATATGGATATTTGCGACGAAATTAGATAAAAACAAAAGCACTATCTCGCAAAATGTTTACTACTTAAATTTGAGGGTTTTTTGATTCGTCATATATACACTTTCTTACATATATTGGTCTTTTGATCATTTAAAATTGCATGAAAGATGTAGTTATTGTAAATTAAAACAAAATAGATTAACTTTATTATTGTCCCTTTTTGTTTTCAATAGTTCTCTTTACTAATATTAGTTCTTAATGAAAAGTTATCTACAAATATTATCTTCACATAGTAAAGATACATTTAAACATTTGAATTTTATTTATTAAGTAATTCAACTGTGGTGTGTACTACTGATATCTACAGATATAAGTGGTATATATCACCAATCGAAAGTGAAATGCCTGGCGGCAGAAGTTTGGGAAGATCGAAGATAAGTGATTGGTATGAAAATGAAGGAACGATAAAGTCTGACACAATTGGTGGACATTTTTCAAATGGAATATTTACTATATGGTTCTCAGATTTTACCAAGATATTCTGTTATGTTGTGTTAAATTAATTTAGTTGTCCCCACTTGTGTTCTTGTTCGCTACACAACTGTTAACTGTGAGACGAAATAGAACTCTTCTAACTTCCTTTAAATATCATTTATGATAATTGAATAGTATTGGTCTATGTGTTTTGTACACATATACACCGATTAAAACTGACATTATGTAGTGTAAAACCGAAATGTTTCATGTATGAAACAACTTCTGAATAGTCTTGAACAAGAATTTAAACAACTATACAGACTTTCTGATTTTCAATAGAGTTCTCTTTGGCTTAGTGATTTATACTAATATTCGTATGTTTCCGTATTAATGAATAGTTTCTTCAGCTATCTACCTTCCTTTACTCTAAATCAAAGTGATGACTTTTCATTTGTCATTACTTCACATGTTCTTAGACTAATTGACTGATGATATCAAGGTGCTGATAGTTAACTAACTATCAATTGTTATTTAGTAATCACTAAATTATAAAATTGTTTTAAAGAAATGAAACCGGCACTTTTGTGTATACATGTATGTGTTTATTTGTTTGCTTGTTTGTATCCATCGACCACAAGAGTATACGTGTGTGTGTGTGTGTATGTTTGTGTAAAGTTATATCGATTAACATATTGTATTTTACAAAAAGTAGACATACATTCAGACTTAGAGAAATAGCAAGAGATGTCTATGTTTCGTTTTTGCTTCATCACATCAATATATTTGTTTATTTTAATCTGTTGTTTAGGTTACTCAATTTAGTTTGTGATTTTTCAGTAATTCACTGTATCCACTCTTTTCTGTTTGCATAAATTTCTGTGTTTGTGCGTTGTGTAGTATGAAGTGTTAAGTTGTTGTGGTTGTGTGTGTGTGTTTTTTTGGCAGTAACATATTTTCATGCAATTTTCACTGCAATAAGCAGATCAATGTAAGTGAATTTTATTACATCCGAACGAAGAATAAATGAATGGTAACCACTTGCTTTTATCATAAGTTTTCATTTAGCCTATTGGCTACTGCAATACTATCTACCATCCTGAACTTATCCCCAATCTATAAGTTACAGTATCCCAATCTCACAGCCACTTTTGGCCGATATTTGTGTTCTAAACTCAACAGATACAGCTAGGAGAGGTCGTAATATATTGAGGACCAATGAGGAATCAGAGTTGACTCAAGGTCATAGCGGTCGATATTCTGATTGGCGATTTTGTTACATGATAGTTGACAGGGCTGAAAGTTATAATAGATTTCAACATATAATTATTTGATTTTTATTCGTTTGTTTGCTGATCTACTATCTTTAATTCTTATACATAGAAGTGATCATAACTACGAGAATATCAGTTACAAAATAACAGTTCAAACATATTAAACTAATGAAGTGTTTATATTTCTCTGTTAAATAGCAAATATACTTTGTAACAGTTTTCATTGTACTATTCGGCAGTTAATAAGCATAATTTATGAGGATAGATTATGTCACTTAGTGCAAACCTTTGACTATTGTTTTAGACAATATCATTAGCGTGTACTTTAAATAGGAAGTGGAGTTTTTATGTTTTCCATAAACTCTCAAGTTAATCTGTTCTGAATGACTATGCTGAAATGGTCGATCGGCCAAATTCTCAAAATTCAACTGAATAAAATAATTGCTTTGAATTTAAAAACACATGATCTGTGAGGATAATCAATCACAAATAATGTTATCATAATGAGCTGATTTAGCACTCATAGGGTATTTTTCTAGGCTCATTTCTACCTAAATCAGATACTGGTGTTTCCCCAGACAACAATCGATAATTCCTAATTGAAACATCCACTTCTGAGAACAAAACGGAAGTAGTGGCTTGGTGGTAATTTACTCGACTTTCGGCCACTAAGTCGTAGATTTGTATCCCACTCCATCTACTTCGGTTTGAACATCTAGGTAATATCTTCGATTTCCACGCTTAACGAATTGATGAAAAGCAACTACACGAGTCGGTACCTCTGGTAACCAAGTTAAAAATAAAAATTGAGAGATCAACACGTACAAAAAGTTATTCATCTTACTTACAGATCCTTTTCATGATCAGTATATAAGTTTAACAAATTACGTTTAAGTTTCCTCTTGTTTTCTAACCTCTTTTTCAGTTGTTGGTTTAAATAAGGATAACTTTTCACCCGAATCACCTAATTCATCAACAACTTATGGTTCATTACTTCGACCTGGACGTATGCTTCCATTGCGTCATTCACAGTCATCCGTATCTAACAGACCAAACAGTAATATTGTCAGATCAGCAACAGCGGTAACGACGTCAGCAATGGCATCCTCAACAGCGCCATTGTGCATGCTTCCTGGGGAGTTCCTTGTACATTTAAAGCGTCAGTCAACTGGTTTTGGATTTAACTTAGTCGGTGGAGCTGAAGAAAATACTCAGGTTTGTTTGTTGTCGAAAGTTTTTTGTTTGGCCGCTTATAATATTATTATTATTATTATTGTGTATATTGTTGGTTGTTATCACTGGAACGTATTGGATTTTCATAAAATAACTTTTACACCTTTATGTGCAACCGTTCGAGCATGTGTTCGAAATGACTTACTTTGAGTACTGTTTTTTTTCTGATTCTAGTAATTAGCTAATGCTTTCATCCATCATACAATCAGAAAAAATTTGCGATATGCATTGCCAACTTAATCGGATTTGAGATAATAACCTTTAAGTCTTCATACAAAGTTTAAGAAACCTACTGACTATGTATTACATAGTATGTGTTATACCTAAGAGGACTCTATTATATTGGGTTTAGAAGACAACGGATTGATGGTAAAGAGTCTTTTAGTTATTTAATTAAACAAATGAACATTAGTTCGAGTGCGTACCAGAATATATATACACCACTTTAATTTTGGTTGAGGGCTGGGATTCTGCTTGGTTGCTTAAACCCGAAGCAGGTGGTTCCTTCTAAGAGGTCACTCGCTGACCCTCTGATCTAGAGATCTAATCTATAAGACAATGGAGCGACGTTAGGAGCTGCGGTTCCATGATAATCGGTGACCAACAATAGGTTCATACACCCATGTACACCATTGATTTGAAATCAGGGTTTTCCAACTCCTCCAGGTGGATCGTCCGTATCCACCACCCCGGTTAAAGCGCCGGACATTCGCTTTTCGTCCTCTCAATTTCGTAAACAACAGTAATGCCGCGAGAAGGCATTGAGTAGTACTTCCCTGACAGTGGCTGTAATATACGCGTGGCCATATAAAGAACATTTCAAGAGAGAGAATTGACCCTCCCCATTCTCGGCCATATTATGGCATTTGGGGGATGGTAAATAGTCCATTGTGATATACGAGTAATACTGTTGAGTAGAAATAATATGAAGTAATTTGTTTATAAATGAACACACGAATAATGTTAAAGTTATATGGTGACTCAGCGACTTGATAAATTCATCATCCATGAACAACAATATGCACACAATTTAACTTCAAACACATCTGTTCTGTCATCGATAAATATTCAACACAAAACTCTCAAGATCATTTCGATTGTCATTTATTTCGATAACATACTATCGTTTTAGACCCATAATTCATGTTGATGTAACTTGTGTTTTTTTCAAAAAATTTCTTTTTAGGTATCTATCGGTGCTCTGCGTATGGGTGGTTCAGCTCAACTTAGTGAAGTTGTACGTACTGGAGACAAGTTAATATCAATCGATGGTGTACGTGTTATTGGAGCAACACATGCAGAAGTTGTAGAATTATTAGATAGAGCTGCACATACTGTTGGTCAAGTTACATTGGGTTTACAAAGAGGAAAGGTTAGTTCTTGTTTTTTTTTCTTAGCTCGGTTCATTTATTTATTTGAACTCATGAACATTGGTACAAGGAGGCACCAAATAGATATACGCCACATAAATCATTCGATTTGTGTGAGGGTTAGGATACTGCCTGTGTGTCCAAACCAAAACAGGTGGTTTTCTTAGGGGCCACACCCGGAGCCTTCTATCTAAAAATCTGATTCACAAGACAGTGTAGCAACGTTAGGATATGAAGCCCCGTGGTAGCCATTGACCAACGATTGGTTCTTGGGGCCCATGTGCACCAATGGTTTGGAATCAGGGTTTTCAAACCTCCCCAGGTGGTCCACCAACCCTGTTAAACCTCCAGACATTCGCACTTCGTCATCTCAATTTCGTAAGCAACTCACCTGCCACGAGAAAGCAGTGAGTAGAACTTCCCCGATAGTGACTGTATATGCATGACCATGTGAGAGCATTTGGAGTGGGAGAGCGGACACACAACTCTCGACGGTATCAGGACATTTGAGGGTTATTAGCTCGATGAATTTATTTAATTAGCAACTGGTCAACAGACAAGATTATGTATGCTTTTTTGCTAGATCTGAAAGTCTTGAATTTCATCCAATGTACTGATTTGTAAATAGTATGTACTACTGATTTTCATTATTTCTCTAGTTGACACATCTATATTCAATTGTCAATAATCTCTTTAAATAAAAGTGATTTTCATCATAAAATGATTTGATATTTCATTCTGATTTGGTACTCATTAGCAATAAGCATCCACAATCGCACTCTTGTGATGTTGAACCTTGAAAATCAATAAAAAGTCAATGATGTATTCATTGATGAATAGCTAGTTATGAAACAGATTTATCGAAATTCTAGTAGGAAACAGTGATTTATGTACTCGGGAATTGGATAATAATTCATTTATATCTCGAATTTATTGAATTCTAAATTAAGGTTCATCGCATTCTAGCTCTGTGAATAAATAATGTTTTTCTCTTTGTTAAATATAAAATTACAATGTTTTGTCATGTATATTGTCGACAAGTCCCTAACACTGATGAAACAATCGTGTATTAATTTCTGTTACTGCAATTAATATCAGTTGACGACAAGTAATATCATTAAAATAATCAATCTATGGTACGTGAACACAGGGGATCATCAGGAAACCTTGGATATAGATTTTGTCGTTGTTGAGACATGTCAACGAAATACAATTCACAATCTCGAAAAAACTAACGTTTCCTGTTGGATACAAATCCAGTTCATCAAGCTTCACAGTGTGAGACGTTACCACTAATTTATATAGGGTGTGAATATATTATATATACATAATTTGTTGATTGATTGATGAGCAGTGGTCAGTGTTAGGTTTATCTAGTCCTTTATTACTGATTGAATTGCATTGATCAAGTAGCAATTTCCCCACTAGTCTTCGTGATGTGTACCAACTAACTCAGATCCTCGTCTCAGAGTTTCCTGACTACTGCTTTCAGTCACTATGATATACAGCATCGTTTATGGGGTTTCGAGTTACTTAGATTGATGACCACATTGTAACTTGATCGATAGAATTTGATCAGCACCACTAAAAAACTAGATAAACATTAAGTTATCCGTTACTCAGCGATTAATCTACAGTATGATGCATCTATGTTCATCCCATCTAATAATCATGGACTTTTACGCTCTATCGTAGTGTTCCTTAAAAGCTATCCTCATTCTTTCTTAAATCATCACTTGTATACCATTAGTGATGGGTGTAGGGATTTGATTGCTACCCAAACTACCTAGGTAGTTGATCAGATTTTTTTTTAAAAAGAACATACGACTGTTTACTTACTTACGCCTGTTACTCCTCGTGAAGGAGCATAGGCCGCTCACCATCGACTATTTACTGCTAATATGTATTTCAGTCTATTCAATAAAATATTTATTGGTTGTTTGTGCAAATAACATGAAACGATAATGATTCACACATATCTTGCATGAAAAGGTAGTTATTTGCATATGAAAATATATGTATATTAATTATCACAAAAATTGTAATATCATCATCATATTCGGTGAAAAATAACGTATATTTCCGATAAATAATTCTGGTTGTCTGTTGTCTCGATTTGCATATATATATATATAAAAGAAACTGTAAGCTTTTTGTCGTTACTAAATAAATCAACTTACCACTGATGACATCTTTTACTATTTATTCCCACCCCTTCACCACAACCATCATCATCCTACTTCACTGTATCTCTAAGTAACATAACATTTTATGACAGGTTTGTATTCAGTTTATTCCTTTTCTCCAATCTGACATATATATACACATAATCTCTCAGAGCCATTAGTTCAGTAACATGTCTGAATAAAATATATAATACGTAGATAAACTTAATAGACAGGAATCCCATTATCCATCATTGTGACGTTTATTAAAGTCCAAATGAGAAGAATGGATGTGTAAATCTGATTTAATAATACTAATAAATTGCATAATGTACATGTAAAAAAAAGATGTTATTATTCCATTTTATTAGATTTCTCTCTCCCTTTTGTTAAGTGGTTACAAAGTCCATTATGCTATACATAAAATTGAATCTTAAGTAGATTTTAAACGGATTATCAGACAAAGAAAAATGAATTCATGTCAGTTTATTTTTTGTTAAGTGCTTTATTTCGAAATATATTCACCGATTAGACTTCGGTGCTAATCGATGTTGTGACTTCCAACTTTATAGTTGGCCTATGAGAGGAACATGCTAACAATGTTTTCAAGATATACTAAACCGAACGCTGACATCATGCATAGTCTTCTGATCGGCTTAAATGACAACACAAGAACGTTCGAAATGCGTTTCTCTCTCATCTCCTCTCTAAGTGTAAAATTTTGTTTCAGGACTGGTCTGTGTCAGCCTCTGAAGTTGTGATAGAGAGTGAAGTACTTAAGTGCTTTCATCGCTTATTTTCTAGACTACTGATTTGACAATCAATTGTGTTACTGTCTAGCTTCAACTAATCCATGACATTGTGCGACCATCTCAACTTCCTAGTAGGGAAACGTGACCTATAAGGATACATGGGCAACTTTTTTTTTCTAAAATATTTTTACATCCATCTGATGAGCTCTGAACGAGGTGAAACTCCTATCCTGAATTCCACTATTCCCTACCATTCATGACTGTTCACAGTCATTTCATTTTAAAATTTAAAATTATCTCCAAGATAAATATGTAAAAAATCATTTATTTTAATGTTTATTCATATGATTAGGTTGAAATTGACAATCTCAATTCACACTCTTCATCGGAACCAGTTGATGTTGTCATATCACGAAGTGAAAAATCTGATGGATTTGGTTTCTTTTTGACTAATACCAAACCAATTCATAATTCATTAAATGAACATTCAAATGTTATTGCTGTGAATCGTAATAACAGCAATAATAATAATCTTCAGAATACAGAATATATTGGTATGTGTTTTAACATGAAGAGTGAACTTTTTTTCAAATCTTCAATACATTATCAATTAATCTGGTGTTTACTGTCAGCTTACCTTGATTCTCGTCAATTTTTTTTTCAAAAGATGTATTGAGAATTCGTCTGATACAAAGTTTAATATTGACATTATTACGCATAAAAAGTGTCTGTATACCTGAGAGTTCAAATTTTAACCATGGATAACACAATATTTGTCAAATCAGTTAAAGGTATGTGGGCAATTGTCACTTTCCAGTTGCCTACACAGGACAATGGAAGATATTATTTCTCGATGGATGTGGAAACAAAACTTGGTTGGTAGTGGCTATGTCAGCCTGAAAGTGTAACCATTGACCCAAAGGGATAACTGGTTGCGACCGAATACACTCTATCTTACCAATCTGTTCTTGACGTGTTAACTTCTGTAACGCCTTATACCACAGGCGATAGAAATTCATGGGGCAATTTGAGATGTAGTTAATCCTTACCTTCGATCATGAGAATACAAAAATGCTGCTGATGACGGTTGTCCAAGGGGACCACGTTACTGCAATCACACTATTATACACTCGGCAATATGACTTCATCCTGATGGCTTAATTTGCTACATTTAATCTTATCGTTCTCTAGCTGAATTTTCATGTATGGTAGAAACAAGTGTTCTATCCAGTACAGTTCAATAAAGTGGTCACGATAAGCAACCCCTGTCTTCATGTCATGCTAGCAACTAAGATCAGGTATTGGTTACTATGCAGTGGTCGACTATTGTTGATATCTCAGTCCTGCAGTTGGTTAGTTACAGCGCAAACTACTCATTATTAATGTACTTGTGACATGGAACAATATCATTTTAAATCTCTCACAGGAATGTAACTGTTTTTTTATTACTACTGATTAGCACGAGATCTAGATTACATGCCATAAGGTGACGGCCTCTAATATTTGAATATCATATTTACTCAAACTATGAATATATTCAAACTGAACATGGAGTTTTATTAATTGCCTCAAGTTTATTAATATAGTAGATTGTTTTTCACTACTGGGAAATTATCATATTTTATAATAAATGAAAAAATAGCCCATTTTCAATGAATCAACTGGAGCTATAGTTTTTCTGTTTAATATGTATAGCTCAAATTGTTCCTGGCAGTCAAGCTGAACGTATGGGTCTGTTGTCTGTTGGTGACCAGATATTAGCTGTAAATGGTATTCCAACATGTGGACTACATCATGATGAAGTAGTTCGTTTGATTCGAGAAAGTGGTAATCACATAGCTTTGAAAATTTTGCCATATTCAGGCAAGTGTTTCCCTATTTTCTGTTATTGTTCTATCCTTTTCACTTCCAAATGCTTTTTCTAATCTATATTTTGCTAATATATTCGTTTGTTTTAGTATGTATGTATCCAGTATTCTCTTGAGTGAATTAGTTGAAAGCCAAATTGACGCTTTGTCCTTCAAAAGGTTCTAAAATTTGATTACTCTATACGAAAACCTGTACATCAATGAGATATGGTTCATATTTGGTTTCTGAAGATTAGTCCCATAGGATTTTCCTATCCACACTGTGAAACGCTTTCTCATAGTCAAGGGAATTGATGTATAGTGACGAATTCCATCCAATTGATTGTTGAACAGCGATCTGTGTTGTCACGATCTGGTCTGTACACGATCAATCCTTACAGAATCCCATCTGCTGGCTGGACGTATACTGAGTTTTTCATCCGGTCTTTTCTTAATTCTAATTGACATAACCATCCAACTCAAAAAAACAAAGTTGCACCAAAATCACTTCATCATATGGGTAGCGATCTTCTGAAGTATTTTCAAAAAAGTGTCAGCTTTCTTTTAGATAAGTACTTACAAACTGGTCAAATTTCTCTCGTTTCAATCATACCACTACTACTACTACTACTACTACTACTACTACTACTACCTAACGTGGTAAAGCCTAAAGAAGATTAATTTTAACAAACACGATACAGGTATAAATACACATACGAAGACCTCAAAATAGGATAAATAATTAATGTTCTAAAACAGCCACTAATCAGTGGAGAAGTGATTACTTTAAGTGCAATAAGGATGAAAAGTTTCTGTCGTAAGGAGTTTAGACTTTGAAGCAACAGAAATTCAAATTTACAAAAATAAGAATAACCGGTATGTAGTTTTCTGGGAATTTCACCTACCCAGTACCAAGTTCCACGTTTCTATCTTTTCTTTTTTCTGTTCAATACATTAATACATTGTAATCTTATGTAAAATTTCAAATATGGTCAAGTTACTAGACAATTATCTCGGCTTATTAACAGACTTCTCTGATATTGACCAGTATCGACTCTATAGTTTAACGTTTAACTGTAGTTTTTGGGTAAAAGATTCTACTGAATAGGAATTCGGTATTGTTACTCTTGTATTTTCAAACTTAATAAGTCTATGGTTTAGCAAAACACTTCTGTATTTCCAGAGTAGCTGCACTTTTACCATCTTTCTATTTTTCTGACTTAATAATATATATTCTAGTTGTTTCGTTTCGCAACTGATTATTTTCCAATGTTGCGTAAATTTTTATTAGTTTTATTGTCAATCAGACAATCTCTATCACTGTTAAACACTACCATCCAACCAATCTTATTTTATAGAATGAAATGTTTAGACTGTGATTCTACCGTGAATTATATGTATATGTATATGCATGCTTACAATCCAATCTTCTCACATTGTCTTCTTTGTTGTATAGGTTCAGCTTCACGTGGACGTAAACATCCTTTGCCAATGAGAGATTCAGTTGAATTTCCGGTTACATTATTTCGTGGAAGCAGAGGTTTCGGTTTCTCCATTCGTGGTGGACAAGAATTTAATCGTATGCCACTAGTTGTATTACGTATTGCAGATGGTGGTGCTGCTCAAATGGATGGTCATTTGAAGGTACATTTTTTTATTGTTTGTCATAAACATCGTTTTTTAGAATTGATTTACAAAAGTCCATGACTCAAAAAAAATGTTGATTTGTCCAAAGAAATTAGAATGTAACTATCTCCAATAATAACAAAAGAATCCCTGTTTTGTTTTGCATTTTAATTAATACTGCCAACATAATTTATATCTGAACAAGTAGTTTGTATCGTCTCATTCGATAAAAATCATTTCTTTCATAGACTCGTTATGTGTCATATCAATTTAGTGCGTATTAAATACTCTAGAATCTTATCCTCCTTGGTAAATGACTGGTGATAGTCGATCTCACCTATTTTTTATTCAATTGCATGTGAAAATTTCAAAGCTTTTATTTTCAAGTTGATTTGTTTCATAGTAATACTTGTATAACTTCACCGATTTTCGGCCACTTGCTTCAATATCTAGGCTACCTATTGTTGCCATCTAGATATTTCAAGAAGTTATCTGTTTGTGTTTGTTTTAATACATCATAATGTCTATCAATCGCATAGCCTATTCAGGCGCGTTTATGAGGAGCGAACGACCTTTCGCCGTACAATGTACAATCAGAGACATCGTGATAGTTGACAATTTTGCATCGAAATGAATGAACATTTTTGAGATGTTGTTATATCTCTGTTTTCTTACGGTTAATGACCCAGCTATTCCTATTGCTTAGTATTCTCGGACACCGATTCACTCGACAAGTCCCCAAATCAAAACACGGTTGAACAGGAAAAAGATTATATTCCAAACAGCAAGTCAGAAGCACAATAGGGGAAAACGTCGGTATATTTATAGTTTTTACATAAGATTCCAGAGTATTCTCCGACTATCGACTAGTGCTGATTGGATAAGAATCAGCCAATCAGCGTGCACCAAAACAATCATGCATTGAGCATGCTTTAATCTAGTCTATGTCCCGCTAACAGATGTCAATTCCTGAACTGCCAACATCTAACTGGTGATCACTCAGTATTTATCTTTAAGATCGTTCAAAAAATAAGAAGAGAAAACTCGTTGAAATACTTTGTACTGAGAATTCTATATTTTACCAAAAGTGTAATATTGAATAAAGTCATTAATATTAAAATTTAAAACGCAATGTCGGTTAGTTAATGTCTTATCGAGATATAAGTGAAATCTACCGGCATTTATCTGTTAAGACGATTAAAATCGATAAACATTGAAATACTAAAGAATAATAGACCATGATTTATGAATTATCGACAGTAACTTAATGATTCTTGAAGTTCAGATTCAAAGAACTAGTCTCACGAATATTGGTCTTAATTCCTACAGAGTATTTCTTTCATTCAATACCCTAAATACTACCTTCAGCTAAAATTCATAAATCAAAAACTCAACGTATATCCTATTTTTGAATTTTCAAACAATGAATTATTCATACATATACCTGAATTTCGATTAGCTAAAAAAATTTAGGTTCCATTTCTTCACAATCACTATCAAACATCACTGAAAGTTATAGTGAATGGACAGTCATATAGGCGAAACCAATTATTAACTTAACAACCTGTTATATCCGAACGAAGGATAAGTGAATGGAAACTACTAGAATTTATTTACGAACTGTCATTATCTATACTCTTATTGTATAACCACTAAGTAACTATATTATACGTATATTCATATTTGTTTTATTATAAGCTTCCATTTCACCTATTAACTACTATTATACGACTTACTTTACTTAAGTCATTCCTAATTTATTAGTTACAGTCTCTCACAACCACTTTTGCCCGTTCTTGTATAATTTTCATTTTCTACTTTATGGTATGATGTAGTCTCATTTGCTTTTATATAAACTGAGTACATTATTCTTATAGTGGAGGCTGATAATTAGTGTTCTGAACTGAATTGGCTGGATTATACGAGAAGCTACTATCTCAGAGGACCAATAAGAACTCAGAGTTGACTATATGCAGCTCGTACTGGTTTATGCATCATTGGTCTGATCAATAAGTTAGTGTACTAATCAGCGATCTTAATACTTGATAATAAACAGTGCTATTAAGAACATAACACAATCACATAGTGATTTAGTAAAATGTAAAAATCATACATCATTTGCACATCTTTGAATTGTCTCTTAAAAGCTTCATTGTTCCTTCATTCCTGTTGTTATTTTGATTGCTTCCAGTTTCCTTCAATCTTCTCAACCTTCTGCTCGCAGACATTGCACTTCTGTGTGGTGTTGCATACTCTTTATATCTGCAACATAAGTAACACATACCACAATCATTAAGGTATACTTTAGCTATTCATAAATTTTGCATACTACTACCATTACTATTTATATGTAAGTGAATATTTGCTATTTCTGCACACATAAAAAACAACTAAAAATTCCTATTTCATAACATAACTATATCTAGGTTGGTGATGAATTAGTTGAAATCAATGGTTATTCAACTATTGGTATGTCACATGGACAAGCTATTGAAATCATACAACGTGGCGGAAATACTATGCGTTTAATTGTCCGACGTCGTTCTCCACGTGTTAAACAATCATTAGAACAACAAATGTCAAATGGTTTAACTCGTGTTATTGATAGTCGTACAAATGCAGGTAAATTGATTTTATTATAATTTTGTAACCTAATAAAATTTATTTAATACTGTTTCGGCAATTCATAAATTATACAGTTTCTGTTGTGAAATGTTTTTGGTTTATTTTATTCCCATTTATGGACTGTTGCGTATGAGGTATGTAGAATTTCACATTTATATCTATCCAAGACGTCGAATGATTGAAGATCCACAAGAGTGTGGTGTTTGCTACTTACATTTACAAATATAAGTAGTATATAACAACAGTCAGATATGTAATGCCTGCCAGCAGAAGATTGATAAGATTCAATTGAAGAGAACATGAAGAGAAACAGATAGAAATTGTAATAACAACATAATTGAAAGAATCATGAAGCATACAGAGGACAACTGAAGGAGGATATGCAAATACTGTTTTTAATGTACGGTTTTCATATTTTATTAAAGCACTCTATAAGTTTGCATTAAACAATAAATTGTTTCCCCCCACGTAAGCTCTCCTTCACTACTATAGTTGTATAGAGTTTGTTCATCCTTTATATTTTATTTTAATTATTAATACCTTCAAACTAAGCATATTCATTGAATATGCTTAGTTTGAAGTATATTTCTAATGTATAGTTTATCGCTACTACTAATTGTATTATTTAGATTAGATTAGTTCGATAAAAACTTGGTCTAGTGAATGTAAACGATTCAAAATTAATGGTTTACAATGATCCGAATGCTCTCACTCGTTGTTTTCCTTTAAATCTCGAATATATATTATTTACTTACTTAGCCTTGTTACCCCTCGTGCAGGAGCTTAGTCCGCTCATCATGGTTCTCCACCGACCTCTTCAGCTAAAAGCTGTTTTCTCTCCCACATATATATATATATATATATGCATTCTGCCTTGTCCCATCATATTTCCAATGCTTAATTCTTCTTATCATTGCTACTTCAATTATTCCAACTTCTTTGTCCGCGATCTTGTGTTCTGGTGTAATTTCTCAAATTGGGTGTGATGTATGAGCGAGAAAGGTAATAAATTGTTGTTTGCCTTTTCACATTGATAGATAATCTGACAGGTATTAGATGTTATATATTTTCCTACCCTTACTATTATTGTTATTGTTGTCGGTTGTTGGCGTGGAAATATACTGACGTTCTAATCAGTCTAGTCACGTGTTCTTGATCCGAGTTGTGTTGAAGTCCTATAGAAAAGACACGGAGAGAGTATCTATTGTTGATGATCATCCGTGAGATAACTGTGTACAGTTTTTTTACGCTATACTATATAATCAGGGTTCATTTTACAATTCAGTATGTGTATACTTACTTTAGATTTGCATCTAGTTAAAATCTGTATTTCAACTTCCTAGATTTCATAAATGAAATCATTCGTCCACAAATGTAAGTCGGCCAAACAAAATGCAACCATTTCATGTACAAAATAATTCGGATTATAAAACTTATCATCTATCAGTAAAGAATATAATGCAATCAGTGTTATAGATTTAATGTGCTTGTTCACCATGTTGTCAACGTCCAAGATCTATTAATTCCGTTTGAAAACTATGAATATCTACCTCAATATCACGAAAATTAAACGATCATCATGTTAGATTTTTAAATCGTCATGACAAATTACCCTTAAACTTTGAGATCTGACAACTGACTTCGATGAAGCTATTTGTGTGCTTAATTGGTGAAAAAAATGAGTATATATTCAAATTCCCCCAGGCTGGCATACTTCCCTAAAATAAATTGAAGTTATCTCTAATCTTCACATTTTTGTTCATATGTCTGAATTGTAGTTGCCTCATTTCTCCTATAGAATATACTAATATAACCAGTTTTTATTATTTCCCAAATACCACCATATTTTTTTCTTTCCTAGATTGACCATAGAATTTAATCCATTCTATTTTTTATCTATGTCCCCTTGTTCTTTCAATCTCTTCATTCTCCTATGTAAGCTAACTAATGTTTTAATTGTTATATTTCATTGTAAATAATCTAAAACTGTCAAGGAAAATAGGATTTATATCAGAAGGGTTTTTGTGGATATTATAGTAATTTCAATGGTTGAGATCATGAGTCAATTGAAGCTAGACCACCATGAAAAAAACCTTCCCAATATTAATCAACATATGCTCACTAGTGACGGTCTCCAAAAGGTATTTCCTGGAGTTCTAGTGAAAAGCAGTGACCAGCGGAGTTCAACCGGGTCAGTTGTGAAATAGTAGCTCACTGAAGACAATGGTGAATATGTCTTTCAGTTTCGTGAATTTGTTGAAGTTAGTCATCAACACCATTAGATGCCGAATCAGTGCTTTAAAGGTTAAGCGCTCGCGCACGAGACTGATAGGCCTTGGGTTCGAATCTCGCGGAGGGAGCAGGATCGTGGATGCGCACTACTGAAGAATCCCACAATAGGACGAAACGGCCATTCAGTACTTCCAGATTTTCCATAGTTGTCTAGCTTCAATTGACGCATGATCTCAACCATTGAAAATAGGATCTATTAATATTTTTAATGAAGTTATATTTCAATAATAATAATTAAGTAGTTGTTATGATTTAGAAATAATTTCACGGAAAATATTTATTGCAACCTGATTTCGTATTTAGTTCCCATGTTATTCTTTGTATTGCATAACATTTTGCCAAAAACATGTTATAGCTTAATGATATTACAATCCACTCTTTACATGGATACTAATTAATCATTTCTGTATTTTATTTTGGCAATAACAATTTGATTTTGTTTATGCATACATAAAGTCTAACAGATTTATACAATTAAAACAGTTGATTAGATTATTATTATTATTGTTTCTTCCATTCGCAAGTATGTTTTTAATTCAATTTATCTACTAAATAGTATTGTACTTGCTATAAAATAAAACCTCTTAAAGGCTTGTTTTCAGTGTTATGTAAGTGTAGTAGTAGTAGGAGGAGGAGGAGTAGTAGTAGATACACCCGAATCGAACAATTCATAAAGTAGAGTTAAACCTACATTGTATGTTTATTCTATAATTTTGTAGTTGAGGTTATCTGTAACGTTTTCAATATTGAATAATTGTGTTGTCCTCCCAAATTCTAATCCTCTGAAGTCCTTGTTTTTTCTTCCCAAATTTATTTCACTGGATTATACTCCTTGAATAATATCTTCAAACCCTAATCTTTCCAATTACTGCTTATACTCTTAATACCTTAACCACCACGCGATTTGAATCGACAACTGCATCTCTGTACTAATGTGGTATGGCAACTCGAACTGATATACATACATACGAAGTTCTACGTTGTTACTGACTGACTGACTGTTGTTTCTGGCACTTTCGGTTATTATAACTTTCATTTGATAGGTGAGCACTGCATTCTGGTTAGTGCTTTTTTAGCGAGTTGGTTTTCTACGAGATGGGGTCGCTAACCTCATGCCCAACCCTCCTCTTTTATCCGGGATTGACACCGACAGTAGCCCCTAGAGGGACTCCAGGCGGCGATGAGCACTGCATATTGGAGTGAAATTTTTTACTGAACATTTTATTTCTATCTATCTGAAGTTATCCATAACTATCTACTATGAACATATCAGTTTAGCTTAACTTAGTATCCAGGTTAGAAAATGCAAGCATAGTACTACAAATTAAAACTTAAAATAAAATATAACAAAATGACACTTTAATATACAACGCTCATCTATAACATAAAAAGAAAATTAACCATTATTACTGAACACAATACAATTCTTGAATATTGAAAGTGTTCTAGATAACCGAGGTCATATTGTTTATATAAGCTTTGGAGATGTTACTCAATTGATTGTTACAAGTTGGATGCTTTACAGTTATTTAACTGACTTACTAGAAGAAATATATATATATCATTATCAATTGATCCAGAGGTGTTCATTACTTACTCCTTTTGTGATCATTTTGAAACTGTATTTTTATTTATACTCTTATTGATGATCTATTGAGTGTATTTTTATTTCATTACTGAAAACTTCATTGATTCTAGAACTATCATAAAGTTTATGCAGGTAATATGTTTATGTTGTTGATTGTTTGTATTCTCATATATATCTGTGTGTGTGTGTGTTCATGCATGAATATATTTGTAAATTGTCTATTTATATATAGATGGAATGTGTTTTTGCATTGTTCCCCCCAAAAAATGAATACCTATGTTGTTGTGCATTTTTTTTAATTCTTTCAATGAATACTGAAATAAAATTAATTCACATGATGGTTGAATCAGTTCATCGTTACTCATATTCTTCACTGATATATTATCGTACGTAACAGCCGGGGAAAAAAAGTCCATAACGAGAGTTAAACAGCTCTTTTCATAGTGTTATCTTACTTTTAAAGTTTACACACAGATCATAAAAATCATTATTGCTTGAAATTATCTTTAAAGATTTAATACGATATTACATGGGAATTAATATAAGTAGTATAGGAACGAACTCGAAAAAAAAACACTGGTTATCAAACACAGAAATAATAATGATATCCATTTTTGCAGAACAACTCCACAATCATTGACAGAATGAAAATCAATTCCTATCCTAGTACATAAATAACATATTGTAACAATTCATTATATACACTAGGTATTATTTGGCTATCAGAACTCAGTAGCTAAGTGGATAATGCGATGGCGTTTGAAGCGAATGATACTAAGTTCGAGTCCCATAGTGAACATCAACTCTGAGATGCAGGTACATCGAGCTGATGAGTCCCAAATAGGATGTAACGCATGTCCTGGATTCCACTGCTAACTACTATCTATCATTGCTTACAAAATGCATTATATACACTAATTAGTCGAGAATATATTACTGATATAGTTGTGTTTTTGTTTGTTTTTTTCAAATCTAATATATCTCAGTTTGTTACTATGTAATCTTCATAGTTCAATATGTTTCCCTCTTACTAAGATTAACAATGATCAGTAAATAAGTTTTGTTCTCTTCCTGTTACTATGTGCGTGTGTGTGTGTGAATGTGAATGTAAAGTGCATGTGTATTTAATAAAACGTCTCTTTTTACCTTGATCCATTTACATATCTATGTATTACCTATTATATATATATTTTTTAGATAAACAATCACATCGACTTAGTTTTAACAAACATGATTCTTCATCAAATTGGTTTCAACGTACTATATTAGATAAAAATCATTCCTCATCTCATTTTAATCAATCTCAAAGAAGAAATGAAGTGCTCAGATGGACCATTCGTAAATAATTCATTATTTTTTCAGTTGTTTTCTTTTTTCTATCCTACCAATGTTTGTTTTGTTTTTTTCTAAATAAATAAATAAACAAACAAAACAAACTGAACATTGAATATATAAAGTAGCTATTTATTCTTTTATTATATTCATTCTTATTCCGTTTACTTATTCTTGTATCTTTTCCAATGTTTATAATCTATTTTATTTTATAATTGACTCATTGAATAATGATGTATATTTACTTATTTATTTATTGAATATATTTTTATTAGTTTATGGAATCAAATGTTTTCTCTCTTTGTTTTTCTTACTGACTTTTATTTCTTTCTTTTTTCTTTTTTTCGTTCTTCTTTTCTTTGGTTTCTTCTCTCATCGGATGGGTGTGTGTGTGTGTGTGTATAATGATGATTGTTATCATCAGAATACATTTCAATCATCTATTCATTTATCATTTATGAAATAATACCAGTGATGATACTGATTTATATTGAGTAAAATGGCGGTAAAAAAAAGAAAGCAGTTCTTGTTTTAAACAACAAAGAAATGAATGTTCAATGTTTAATTAGTTAATCAATAATGTATTGAATGTTTGTTTGTTTGTTCTTTTTTTTTGTTGTTGTTGTTGACTTTATCAATTGACTTATATATTTTACACCTCATTAATACAGAAAAATTTGTACTTTATTTTATTTATTTACTAATTTATTACATTAAAAATAATAATAATAATGTAAATAAACATTTGTTCATTTTCTCATATATAATAACCCTGATATGATGGCGAAAGTCGGGAAGATGTAGAATCCTTCACATACTTGAGAAGCATCATCGATGAACAAGGAGGATCTAATGCAGACGTAAAGGCGAGGATTGGCAATGCAAGAGCCACATTCATACAATTGGAGAACATATGGAACTCAAAACAACTTTCAACCAATATCAAAGGGAGGATCTTCAATACAAATGTCAAGACAGTGAGTTCTACTGTACGGAGCTGAAACTTGGAGAACTACAACAACCACAATCAAGAAAGTACAAGTATTTATAAATAACTGTCTACGCAAGATACTCAACATCGATTGGCCGGATACCATCAGCAACAACCTTTTGTGGGAGAGAACAAATCAGCTTACAGCTGAAGAGGAAATTCGGAAAAGACGATGGAAATGGATAGGACATACATTAGGAAAATCACCAAACTACATCACGAGACAAGCCCTATCTTGGAATCCTGAAGGGAAGTGGAAAAGAGGCAGGCCAAAGAACACATTACGTCGTGAAATAGAAACAGATATGAAAATGATGAATAGGAACTGGAAGGAGTTGGAAAAGATTGTCCAGGACAGTGTTGGATGGAGAATGCTGGTGGACGGCCTATGCTCCTTCACGATGAGTAACAGGCGTAAGGAAGGAATATATTACAAGTAATGCTCCAAATTAAAACATGTAACAACACTAAAATCATCAGTGAACTTGAAAGTAGTTAGAATCCGGTCACTGATCAGCACTCCTTAACCTTTAAGTTATATTGACCTTTTCCAAAAGTATAGTTTCACTAAATCTTTCTGTGAAGCTAGAACTCTGTAAAATTAAATTATAGATTGCATTTCAATTAACAGGCATGGATTTACTCTTAATGTAAGATTTTAACGACATTTATTAGTGATAGTTTTAAACAAATACAACTATGATGTTTTTGTTCTCGTGGGATACTTTTAAGTAAACACTTTTTTTGGTCTGTTTAGCACATCAACTGGAAATGTATATAACCAGCAATAAAATAATAACACATAAGTATCAGTATAGTAGGTAATATTTACACTAACAATGACTAAGTAACCATGCTTTACTGATCGGTAGCTCATACATGTAAATGTGAACACTAGTCATGTGTGTTTGTTCAGATTGTAATTTGACTGATTGAATTGTATTGTTATGACAATATGTAATCAGTAAGCTTGTTTATCAAGTGTATGATCATAAGATGTATTAGTATGTGATATTCTGATTAGTGAGTGATTAGTTAGTGCATTTGACTGTAATAAAAGTGACAGATGACTTAAGATTTTCGCTCATGATTAGCTACTGTTGACTGGGATGTGATATGAATAGCGAAAAAAAGTTAAATAAAATCGGTTAAAAACGTAAGATTGGATATTGAAATAATCGATCATTCTACTAAGCGTCTCAGGATTCATGAATGAATTTTGAATCAATTGTTGACTTGACAATAAAGAAGTTCTTGACCAAGATAGATTAATTCCGTACTTTTAAGTCAAGGAACCATATACGTTATGATATAACTCAGGGGGAGACCAAGTTGTGTGACTATAAACGCTTTCTAAACCATTTAAGCAAAAACTAGATATCGATAACACAAGTTGTATTGTCACAATTACAAATCAGAAATGAAGGTCATGTTTAGAATGAAATTGATCAATCATAACATAGACTGTTTGCATATAAAAAATATGAACTATTAGACTAACTGGACTATTAAAATAAGGAAACAAACATTAGTGAACCATAACATTTAAAACCCGACTAGCGAAACTCATCATAGTATTACTTTCTATGTTAAAACAGAGTACACTGTCTGTGTCTATACTCCGATCATAGATAAAAATTCTATAACGTCAGCATAAGTGCCAGTAACTAAGTCAACAAGAAATTTTTTTATCTGATGATAAATTCTAAACTTTTGTACATTAGCATACCTACCAAAATGTAAATTATCTCATCCGCAGTGTTTATATCCATACTCGAAAGTACCTTCGACTATCTACTTCAACACGCGATATTAGCCAATCTAGAAGTAGATTACAAAGAAATCGGGATTAGTTAAACCAAAACGTGACATCACATCATTGATCTCTGACCTGAACTATCTTGCTACATCCGAACTACGTGGTTAGAGTTCAGCCAACTCACCTGACCAATTCAGTTAAGACGTATGAAATAACTCAGATGAGTTCAACATTTATCGCTATAAATCTTGAATCTTAAGATTATCTTATAATTTTGATTTGAATCTATTCTTTCCTTCTAAATCACACTATATATGCCTGAGGTGATATAAATTGTCTAACAACTGACTGAAATTTTTAATAACTGTATAACGATACTGAAAACCCGTCTATGGACAAAATACGGTCACATAATACTATTTTGGACTGCGAAATTCTCATTTATTCAAATCAAATCTTATTTTTAAAAGTAACTGATAAGTCTTCTGACTGAATGCTTGAATTAGTTTCCTAAGCTCTCCAAGTAACCCCAGGCTAAATCTACACAACCTCAACGTGAGAGAAAAGGCGCGAAATATGGGAAGAATGCTTTACTCCAATATTAGTTCATGTACAGAAAGGCAATGGTATATATAGCGTTCCAGATGATTTTGGGCTTTTAAAAAGTTCTGGAACCCTACTAAACATATTAGCAGTGTAGGTGATCATCCAATCAGAAATGTAACATGTGACTCCTCAATTTCTAGGTGTTTTTTGCATACTTCTACCCAGTGCTAATTGGATAAAGTGTCTCCCAGCGTTTATAGAGCGCTTATGAGCATCTGCCGAGAAATACTGTGGATCTCATCAACAGTAACACAATGATAACTCTTTTTCTTATTACTAACAAATGCCTAACTAATTAGTGTCTAAACCACGAATATTAAAAACTACTTATTATAACGAACGAGTTATTGGCCCAACGTTTGTTATTCATCGTAACCAAACTTTACTCTATTTGGTAACAACAATACAGTGGATAAATTATATTAACAAATGGCAAAATTCCCTCTTGTTAGATCTATACCTCTCTGATTTATGTACCTTAGACTTTTGTGACTATAATTAAAATTATTTTCTGTGTCGAGAAAAATAACTTGAATTAAAAATAAAAAGTATTTTTCTCTGAAAAACAAAATACAAATTGTATTGTGAATGGGTTATGAATGACGACGTGGTCGTTTTGAGTTATTTTGACTCTTAAGTTTCATTTTTCCTCGACTAGACAATTGATGATGATCACGATTTTCTAGTCTCCTTTTTTTCGTAACTCCTTTTTCACGATATTGGCGTCGTTTATGATTACTATTACTACTCTGTGAATATAAACGTTTTTGTTCCCAAAATCGTTGTCGTTTTTCTTTTGCAGTTTCTTGTACATCATATAAATGACCAACTTCTTCAGCACTTGCGAATAAATTATTTAAATTGAATTGACTACAAAGGAGAGAGTTAAAAAAGATAGCAATTTCAACAATCAGTTAATATAGATTTAAATCTAAAAACATTTCACCAATTATAAACAAAAGCGTTTTGAGTGAGACGATAATTTATGGATGAACCAATGAGATATAGGATAACAGGTCTTGAATTTCAACGTGAAATTCATTCATCCATTTGGTTAAATAACGTATTGGCATTTTAACTGATGTTAGTTCATGTTAAAAACACTAAATCTAGTTCCGAACCCTGACCATCAACTGTAAATCATAATTCTAATTCCTCACATTTCTGTATAAACTTCATTTAGTCCAAGTTAATAGGTGGACATTGTCAAGGGTCGCTTAAAGGTCATCTATAAATTATAGTCTTGTTGAGTTTTGGTATGTCAGTTCTGAATTAAGTTTTCTCTAGCTAGACTACTTGTGGCAATGAATGAAGTAGTACTGACAGTTCTTTAAAAAAAACGAATAGGACATCTTTTGAAGACGTTAACTTAATTTCAGTAGTTAAGATCATGAATCAATTGAAGCTAGACCACCATGGAAAACCTGGAAGCACTGGACGGCCGTTTCGTCCTAGTATGGGACTCCTCAACAGTGCACATCCACGTTCCCGCCCCCTACGAGATTTGAACCCAGGACTCACCTGTCTCGTGTATGAGCGCTTAACCATTAGATTACTTAATATTGGGCAGTTTTGAGTGAAAACTCTCGGTTTGGTAATCAAATAGTAAATAGAAATTCAAGAGTGCCGACTAACTTCCCTGTAATATATCTTAAGATAGCGATTTTGAATCCATTCTGAATTGAAAAATGAATCTGGAAATCATCATATACACATAAAAACCTATTCACATCTCAAAAAATATATATCAGAATTGAAATTATGAACCGATCAATCTTAGACCACCATTGAAAACTCCGATGTACTGGATTGCTGCTTCATTCACAACCTCCACAACCCCATACTGATAATTAATTAAGTAGGTCGAGTACTAATGACTTTATAGACATTCATCTCATATTCAAGTGTGTGCTTTTTTTAGCTGTACACATAAGTGAATCTGTGTAAATTGAAAAGTTGAAATCAATCATATGTTGGGAAAAAAAGCATTTCCTTGATATACTGTACTGTAAACAAAGCGTCAATCACAATTTATTTATGTATATCCTTTACAGATTGATTGCACAGTAAACATACATAACAGGAAATGGAAACTTTATATATGAATCATTAGAGTGGAAAGTATTAATTAATGGAAGGAAGCATTGATCGATATAAGTTTTAGAAGTGTAACAACAATCCTTGGAAAATAGGAATTGAAGTTAATCACATAAATAATAATAAAATGAAGAAATAAATAAAATTAATTATTTAATAATACAATGAACTACTTTAATAATTTTCAATACTTACTTACGCCTGTTACTCCTCATGAAGGAGCACAGGCGAACCACCAGCATTCTCCATCCAACACTGTCCTGGACAATCTCTTCCAGCTCCTTCCAGTACCTATTCATCCTTTTTATATCTGTTTCTATTTCACGACGTAATGTGTTCTTTGGCCTGCCTCTTTCCCGCTTCCCTTCAGGATTCCAAGATAGGGCTTGTCTCGTGATGCAGTTTGATGATTTCCCTAATGTATGTCCTATCCATTTTCATCGTCTTTTCCGAATTTCCTCTTCAGCTGGAAGCTGGTTTGTTCTCTCCCACAGAAGGCTATTGCTGATGGTATCCGGCCAATGTATGCTGAGTATCTTGCGTAGACAGTTATTTATAAATACTTGTACCTTCTTGATGATGGTTGTAGTAGTTCCCTAAGTTTCGGTTCCGTACAGTAGAACTGACTGTCTTGACGTTCGTATTGAAGATCCTCACTTTGATATTGGTTGACAGACAGTTGTTTTGAGTTCCATATGTTCTTCAACTGTAGGAATGCGGCCCTTGCTTTGCCAATCCTCGCCTTTACGTCTGCATCTGAACCTCCTTGTTCATCGATGATGCTTCCTAGGTATGTGAAGGATTCTACATCTTCCAGAGTTTCGCCATCAAGAGTGATTGGATTGCTGTTCTTCGTTTTGAATTTGAGGACATTGGTTTTCTCCTCGTGTATGTTAAGGCCCACTGGGTTTTCAATAGACTATGTATGTGTATACATAGAAATATTGATTGCGTGATTAAAATCTAGGGGGTTGTATAAGATTCCAACAGGTCAGAAAATAAGTGTTGTAGCCACCAGTTTAAGTGCAAAGTTGTTGTTGATTCTTTAAATTGAAGTATTTAACATTACGTTAAAAAGTGATTAGAGATGGCTGAGAGGAAATTCCGTTTGAGTCAGTTGGCACTCGTCACGTCAGTAGGACAAATCTGCCGTTTTATGAGAATTGATCTTCACTGTGAGATTTGAACCAAATTCACATTTTGACGCTGTGTAGTGTAACACATGGAAATTTTTTACTCAATTTACTGGCTATATTTCAGTTACACCATCAACTAATAAACATTAATCTACACTAGACAACATGAGTTTTGAGAATTTTAAAAATGAAGTCAAAAATATGTCTTATTAAACAGTATCATCTTTACGAGGATGAACTTACCCTGGTTTATCAGGAATATAGTCATCATCGTCGTCTTCATCATCACTATCGTCTTCAGAATTTTCATCATCATCATCATTAACCGCTCCTTCATCGTCATCTTTAAATTTGTGATATTTGCATTTTGATTCAGTTGGTTTTTTCGTTTTCTTAGATTTTGAATTAGCTGACAAATTGATATTATCCATTTCTTAAGTCAGAAGAATAAAAAGAGACACAAAATGTATCATTTATGATATTTGGCCAACTAGTCAAGTTTCATGTAAAATGGTTTTAACAGACAAAAACTGACCACTTTATATTACTTACTTACTACTTACGCCTGTTACTCCTCGTGAAGGAGTATAGGCCGCTCACCAGCATTGTCCATCCAACCCTGTCCTGGGCAATCCTTTCTAGCTCCGTCCAGTTGTAATTCATCGTTTTCATATCTGCTTCTATTTCCCGACGTAATGTGTTCTTTGGCCTTCCTCTTTTTCGCTTCCCCTCAGGATTCCAAGTTAGGGCTTGCCTCGTGATGCAGTTTGACGATTTTCCTAATGTATGTCCTATCCATTTCCATCGTCTTTTCCTAATTTCCTCTTCAGCTGGAAGTTGGTTTGTTCTCTCCCACAGAAGGCTATTGCTGATGGTATCCGGCCAATCGATGTTGAGTATCTTGCGTAGACAGTTATTTATAAATACTTGTACTTTCTTGATTGTTGTTGTTGTAGCTCTCCAAGTTTCAGCTCCATACAGTAGAACTGCCTTGACGTTCGTATTGAAGATCCTCACTTTGATATTGGTTGAAAGTTGTTTTGAGTTCCATATGTTCTTCAATTGTAGGAATGCGACCCTTGCTTTGACAATCCTCACCTTTACGTCTGCATCTGAACCTCCTTGTTCATCGATGATGTTTCCCAGGTATGTGAAGGATTCTACATCTTCCATAGTTTCGCCATCAAGAGTGATTGAATTGCTGTTCTCCGTTTTGAATTTGAGGACCTTGGTTTTCTCCTTATGTATGTTGAGGCCTACTGATGCAGAGACTACTGTTACACTGGCTGTCTTCATCTGCATCTGTTCGTGTGTACGTGATAGGAGGGCTAGGTCATCTGCGAAGTTCAAATCGTCTAATTGATTCTGAGCTATCCATTGTATTCCGCGTTTTCCTTCAGATGTTGAGGTCTTCATAATTCAGTCGACCACCAGAAGAAAGAGGAAGGGAGAGAGTAAACAGCCTTGTCTGACTCCGGTCCTTACTTGGAATGCATCTGTCAGCTGTCCTCCATGCACTACTTTGCACTGTAGTCCGTCGTATGAGTTCCCGATAATATTGACAATCTTCTCAGGAACTCCGTAGTGTCGAAGAAGTTTCCATAATGTCTTCCTATCTACACTGTCGAATGCCTTTTCATAGACCACTTTATATATTTTAACGTAACTCTCTGTCATCAAGAATCGGTTTATCTGTTCAGTTTTCGGTCAGAATTTATGTATGAAAGGACAGTGAAACTACTTGGTATATCAAACCAAAATAAATGTATTGAATTTTGGTCACTTAGACCACGGGGACTAAAAGGTAAGTACTTGAAATATCAAACACTAGTACACACTTGTTAAATATATTGATCAATATCACCAGAATATAAATGCAGTTGTCGTTAACTAAAGTTTAAATAAAAACTTTGATTCGTCTAAAATTCATAAGATCCTATAAATGTTAGTAAAGATCGACATAGATCAAAGCGATAATGAAAGATATTTGTAACTCAGAATGAGGATTTTGGAGACATTACACCCTCTAACCTAGATAGTTTAATCGCGAAAACTAATAAGCTCGAGAGAGCTATTCCTTCCTAGTATGCGATTTCATAGCAGTTCGCATCCAAAATACATAATGTAACGCATATACAGCTTATTTTCTCAGTCAGGAACGACTTCCAACCTGGTGCCTATTTTGTAATGACTGATGATCAGAAACCAGCAAAACTCCGTCTATTCCTTAGTTTAGCATTAATACTAAGATGCAAGCAAATCCAACGAACAAGTCTCAAATAAGATAAAAACGTGCCTCCTAGATTCTACTATGAATTGCAGTCTATCTATTCTCAAAACAATAGATTATTTGTTAAGGTAGTTGGATTTTATCGAGTAGATTGTAGCTTCAAAACTCCCCCATCGGATAGTAGGAACACTAATCATAATGATTAAAGCATAACTGAAATTCAAGCATTAAAAATAGATTGAAAGGGATTCTTCAGTGAATCACACTATATTTCTCTCTTTAGTTCAATGTCTTAATAGGTTTTCTCATTTACCTGAAAGAAAAATTAAAAGTAATTGAATATAATAAACTCCGCCTGTAGCTCTTTTAGAGTTACTGCCGGTCCCAAGCCCGGGTAAAGGAGGAGGGTTGGGCATAGGGTGAGCAACCCCATCCCGTAGAAAACTAACTCGCTAAAAAAATGCTAACCAGTAATTAAATATAATATCTTGTCTTATTATCTTTTTTTTAAATTATTAAATACCTGAAAAGTCATATTCATTTGTATCATCTTCATCTTCTGAATTATCCATGAAGTCTTGATCACTAAATTCCGGTTCAGCTGAATATATTCCAAAAAGAGAACCATTTCCCAAATGAAGAAAAACAAATTTGCACATCAAATAATCGATGAGTTAAATAGTGTGTAAAGGAAAAAAAGGGAACAGTTGATAATGATTAACCTCAACTTCAATAAAAACTGATGATTTCTATAGTAACTCGATTGTAAGGTTAAAACAAGTTTTTTTTTTGAAAAGATACAGCAATATTATCAATATAAGTTGGAAAGATTAAATTCTAACGTATTCTCTGCATACTTGGATATGAGCTATACTTTAAGTGTGAGGGATAATAATACTATCCAGTTTCCCAAACCGAAGTAGGCGAAGCGTAATTTGAATCTGGGTTAAAGTCAAGAGTGTTATATCCTAGTGAAGATTAAATTGCGAGTAACTTCCGAGAACTATTAATGGACTACTATTATATATATGTATATATATAGTATAGCTATTCAGTAACTAGACTGTGTATATCCATATTCCTCTGATTATAAGCTTCATGTTGGTCTATAGATTATTGTTATACGATTTACTGTTCTTAAGTTATACTCAGTTATTTGATTACCGTCTCCCACGTTCACAGCCAATTATGACTGTATTTTGTATAAATGTTATTTCGTATTTTATGGTGCGATGCGGTCTGTTTGACTGGTATATAAACCAAGTATGTCTGAAATAAAGGATTCGCATAGCGGAAGCTGTTATTGGTGTTCTGGACTCAGTTGGACGGGCTAGGCGAACAAAGTACCAATAAGGACGTTAGGCTGATCAGACCGGTCGAACGTCATTTGGCTTAGTACAGTACAGGAATGAATAAGTCGTATTTCGATTGGTAAATGAGTTACGTGATAACTAGCTAGACTTAAAGTCACAAAAAAAGCATTAACCATTAAATCACTGATACATTTAAGCAGTTGCTCATTTCGAGGGTATTAATTACGAAATGAATGTTCTACTCATTCGTTTAAATCAATTGCCCGTGATATTTTGTCTTGTCGTGCAACGAGGTTGATAATTACTCTAACACCATACATGTCAAAATAAAATATTGGCTCAAAATGGAACACATCATAATTACCTCAGTTGATTTTAAGTCTAAAACTTCATAAATCGACTGATTCTTATCATTCTCATTGTTTAACATTTACAATAATCCTCATATATTAGTTGCTCTAACACTGTGTATTTTTCACACCCATTACATTTAACAACTACAATTTACAGCTGTTAATAGCACAAAGAATATTCGGTATAGTTTCTAGGATTATATGGTTTGTTTAGCACTCTAGTCTTGATTAATTAGAGAAGTTGAAAAATGGCTACTAATCTAATTGACTCACTATCATGTACACTAACCGCATTAAGTTAGATAGTTGAAGGTAATAAGCAAGAAGTCCTTGGTACTATATAATATCGGTTTTTGCCCAAATAGCTTTAACATTGGGACGAATTTCACGAATCTCACTATCTAAAACAATGATAAATCCTACATTTTTTGTATCTTAAAAGCCATACTTTGTGAATAAAAAGGTTAAAACAATGAATTTTAAAAAGTGATAGCGTGCATAACATTGTAAATTACCATCATTTTCCCATTCTTCATTCGGAGGAAACAAATCTTTTTCATGTTTTGCTGTAAAGTTTCCAAAAAAAAAACATACATCATTAGCAAAAGTATTCTCTACCATGAAATAGTGAATAAAATAGTTCAATTATATAAGAGAAAAATAAACCCAATTAGTCTTATTTAATAACAGCCCTCAAATGCCCTAGTGTGGCCGAGAGTGAGGAGAGTGAGATCTCCCTCTCGAAATGCTCTCACATGGTCACGTGCATACGACCACTGCCAGGGAACTACTCAATCCCTTCTCGCGGTAATACTGTTGTTTACGAAAAGTGAAACTCCGGCGCTTTAGTCGGGTTAGTGGACACGGAGGGTCCACCTAGGTGAGTTGGAAATCCTTGACTACAAACCAATGGTGCACATGGGCTCCAGTATCCTCAAGGAACAAATGGCGTATGAACCAATCGTTGGTCACCGGCTACCATGAAACTGCGTCTCCTTACGACGCTTCACTGCTTTGTGGATCAGACCTTTAGATGGTCGAAGGCTCCGAGTGTGGCCCTTTAAGAAAACCACTTGCTTGGGTCTGGTATCACAGCCCTCACACAAATCAAATAAGATCTGTGTGGTGCATATGTATCTGGTGCTCACTTGTACCAATATTTATGTGCTTAAATAAATTCAATAAACATGTGAATTTTCAAATCATTTTCTAGAGAAAATTCACGATCAAATATGATATTTAATTGTCTATTTTTTTCAAAACTCAAAATGTCATGGTTAGGTCTACTGAATGACATGCATATTCATAATGTGTTTACAGTCTCGATACTATTAGGTATTTCAGAATTGTTAATTGTCATATTCTTTAGTGTATTCAGAGAACGTTTTGTCATAGAAACTCTTCTTTAAAACTTTATTCATTTATTTTGACTAAATTTAGCCTATTACCTATACTAATAATTCCACTGTCGAGAGGCTTTGTAACTTTCTCGAAAAGATCTTTAGAAGGTGAGGAAGGGTTGCAAATTATTTCGTCCATTCAGCATCCGGTGAGAACTTATAGAGGAACGCAGGATTATGTATAACACTTAGATTGAACAATTACCTATAATTTCTACCATATTTAGTTTACTTTCAAAAGCCTCTAAAATGTTGTTCACCACTGAACTTATAAATACTCTTGTTTTCTGTACATAAACCAACTTTGAAATGAAATCTATACTTTTCGTCTTCTCTTTACCGTTTAGAGGTATACTGGAAAGCTAGAAAGAAATTATGAAGTTTCCGTCAAAAGTTCAAGTACTTTGAGAGAAAACAAAAAGAGCATTATGTAAGAGAATTACATAGTAAATAAAGAGTTTACCTTATTGCTTTGAAAGCAAACGTAAAAATAAAGAAAATTTTACAATTCTTAAGAATTATTTAGTAGTTTTGTACCGTAAATTAGATTACGTGTGAATACAGCGTTCTTATTATCTTCAACGAACAAGCATGGAAAAGAAATGATTTATAAACATTACACAATAAGTGACTGTTTGTATATACACTATAAAAAGTACTTTTATTAATCTAGTTAGCGTTCATATCTATAAGTTTCCCAATCCATGTATGTCAAGTAGTCAGTCAATCGTTGATAGTGTTATATCCCGATGTCGGCTCTTCCTATCATTGTGAAGCAGAATTCACCAAGCGCTGGATTGTTCACCCACTAATAGGGAACGTGAGCTGGGTTTACACCGTCGTGAGACAGGTTAGTTTTACCCTACTAATGGGTACATCAGTGAAGTACAGTCTGGTCGTTGCTATGGTAATCCTGTTTAGTACGAGAGGAACCGCAGGTTCAGATAACTGGTATATGTGCCTGGTCAAAAGGCCAATGGTGCGAAGCTACCATCTGCCCCCAAATGCCCTGGTACGGCCGAGAGTGGGGAGAGTCCGCTCTCCCTCTCGAAATGCTCTCACATGGCCACGAGTATATAGCCTCTGCCAGGGAAGTCCGACTCACTGCCTTCTCATGGCGGGGGTGTTGTTTACAAAAATGAGAGGACGAAAAGCGAATGTCCGGCGCTTTAACCGGATTCCAAACCAATGGTGCACATGGGCTCCACTGCCTTGTGGATCAGACCTTCAGGTCAAAGGGAGTGGCCTCCTAAGAAAACCATGTGCTTCGGTTTGGGCACCCAGGCAGTATCACAGCCCTCACACATATCGAATGAGATTTGTGTGGCGCATATGTATTCGGTGCCTCTTTGTACCATTATCTATGTGTTGAAATAAATAAATAAATCCCGATAAGAATAATGAATGGTAATTTTTGGGATCCATTTATGGACCAATGCTATGAGTATATTTTTGTAACTAAACTGTTCATATTCATGTCCCTCTTATTATGAGTTTTATTTTGACCTATGAACTATTATTATACAATTTACCATTCTTGAATTATGGCCTGTCTACCAATTACTATCTCCCTTATTCACAGCCACATTTGGCCAAATATTGTACAAATGTTATTTTCTATTTTATGGTACGATGTGGTCTGTTTGGTTTGTATATAAACACAGTATGTTTGAAGTAAACGATTCATATTGCAAAGGCTGAGATTGGTTTTCTGGACTCAACTGGTTGGGCTAGGCGGGAAACAGGACCAATCAGGACTCTAGGTTGCTCGCACGTGTTTTATGCGTCACTGGTTCGATCGATAATTCTCTGCTTTCTGATTAGCGGTATCGTTGCGTTATCCAATATACAGGGGACGTAGGTTCACATGTTATAACAGATAGAAATAGGATTTACCAAAAGAAATATAACTGCAACGAAGTAAAATAAAATTTAAAACCAATAACAACACTACAATTTACCTAGGTAAACATCGAATTCAGAATCAGCAACTGAATCACTGTCACTTCCATTTTCATCATTATCTTTTGGTTTCTTCTCAGTTTTTTTAATACGACCTGGTTGGGTCTCCAGAAATTTGAAATAACTGAAAAATGGTCATATAAGGACAAGATGAAACTACTAAGACGAATCATGTTAGTTAAAACTCTGAAATTCTTAGACCTTACTATGGAAATTAAATATCCAAGAAACAACCACTTAATGACTATTTTTTGCTTTTATTTTGTATATTTAAATTTCTATTTTTCATGGCAGTTATCCTTTATTTTTACAGCGTCTAAAGATGGTAATTTCTTATTGGGCTGTGGCTCTTTTAGTGAACTGAATTCTACCCCTCTTCTAAGGTAATTATGTATATTTTCGCAAGTGTATGTTGCTTGCTTAAATAAAATCCTTTTTAGTCTCCATATATAGATTTGGCTTTAGGGGTAAATAGGATTACAATAGAAAACAGAGTTGTTGTATCTAGGCCTCAAAATGGGTTTGTACTATTTAAATTTGTGTTAATTATATTTCGGTTATTTATTTACTCTGAAGAAGTGACTTACGTTAAGTCACAAAATGTCAGAAATACAATTTTCTACTCATTAGGATATATATATATATATATCATTGACTTTCTACCCAACGGTCAGTTTATATGAAACTAACAAATCCGACCTTGGCAATGATGCCTATAAAAGTAAGCGTTTTGTTTACTTCCAAAATACGATATTTTCACTTTAATGGTGGAACAAATAGCTTTTTTAATAGTTGAGATTATGAGTCAATTGAAGCTAGACAACCATGGAAAACCTAGAAGCACTGGACGGCCGTTTCGTCCTAGTATGAGACTCCTCAGTAGTGCACATCCATGAACCCAGGACCTATCACTCTCGCGCGTGAGCGCCTAACCATTAGACCACTGAGTTGGCATCTAGTGATGTTAATGTCTTACTCGTAAATATTAAATAATTTATGCCGTTCAATTTGTAATGGTCTAAATTATCCTGTTTCTGATATTTTGACTGAAATCCAATTAGTTTTAGTTGGCATCTGTTGATCCTGTGTGTATTGCCTCAATATATCCATTATGACACAAATTTACGTAGAATAGATTAAATGAGGCTGGTATTGGAATTCAGGATGATCGTTTCCTTGAATATGCCAAGTAAAATTGATTACATTTTAGTAGAAATATCAACAACTGGATCATCAAAACCACTATAAAGTAAATTAGAATTCATAACCCTATCGCAAGTGAGTGGCCACCTGAACTCAGTAGCTAAATAGATAGTGCGTTGGCATTCGATACGAAATATAGTGGGGTTTGAATCCTGAAGCAGATATCAACTCTGGAATGCAAGTATATCAGGTCGACAAGTGTCAAATAAGACAAAACACACGTCCTGAATTACAATGCTAGCCATATTTCATCTATTCTACGTAAATTTGTGCTATACATAAAGGCATTTTATATAAATCTACTTATAAAGTGAATTTTACGAAAAAATCCTGGAGGTCACTATCATAATTCCGTTTGGTTAACCAGTATGATGTAGGTTTACACAATTCAACTAGTAATAGATCAAATAATAAAAAGTGAAAATTATCAACTATATTAGGCTTTTATTCAGACCCTGTGGAAATGCGGATAGAAATATTTACAACCAGTTTGAAACGAAGTGAAGAGAGTGAAGTTTAAATCTATGACTACTAATGTACTATTCTATTAAAGGGAAAATGATCGAATTCACTGGGAACAGTATAAAAAAGTCTTTTTCATGATCGCTTTTAAATTGAATTGAATACTCCTTAAATTCGTTTTTTTTAGTGAGCGATTTCCTCAGGGAGATCTTAAAAACATTTCTAAAAATACTCATACAGTTCACGTGGTATCAATCAGTCAGTTAGTTATACGCAGCGTGAAATCTGATGCATAAATGCACCAATTGAACTTACCATATCATATGAGCACAGAGGAATAAAATTACAGAATAGTAACGGTATTAAGAGTATCAGTAGTAGTAGAAACGATTAGGTATGGAAAAATATAATCCAAAATTATAATGAGGTTTCAGGATTCAGGAACTAAGGAATGGTATGAAGTAAATGCACCTATATTATTGCAAATGAACTAATGGTTACGATAATCGCGCTGCCCCCCCCCCTAAATGGTTAGCCTACATTTATTGACATGTCTTAGTCCGATTATCAATGACCTCATGGTACTATTATCGGACAGAGTTAGAATGAACTTTCTGAATTTTCTATATCCTTATTGAAAGGTGAGTGAGGTTTATTGAAGCAACAGTATTGATGTAAGAGTAGTGTTTTATTCTCTCACATTACGACCAAGCTATTCCTATTGCTTGATATTCTTGATAAGTCCCCAAATCAGAACACAGTTGAACAGGAATGTAATTATATTCCAAATAAACAAAGACGAATGGGAGTAAGAATAACAGTGAGAAAAACATTAGTATATTTATAGCTTTACACGAGAAGACTGTAGAGTCTTCTTCAATTGTCCGCTAGCGCTGATTGGCTAAGAAATACCCCCATTCAGCGTGCTCCAACACAATCCTACATGGAGTATGAGTTACTTCAATTTATATCCCACTAACAATTAGGCTACGATAAAACTAATAGTAGTCAAACCAAGACATGGAATCAGTCTATGAGGTCATTCATCATTGAATTGAGTTATGTAGGTACATGTAGACTACCTGGTTGTGGTTCAAGCGATTATCATAACCAGTGGTTGAAAACGATGATTGACATCGGTTAGAATTGGTCACAATCGTACAGACGAACTTATTCATTATCTTTCCATAGATCTAAAGTCTTAATATTATCTTTTTGTTCCACAAACTAATTCTTCGATTAAAATGTCGATCTTTAAAATCTTAAGGCGTTCAACTTGTAGGCACTAAGTCCTAGGGTCAAACCTGACCCATCTGCTTTAGTTTGGCCAATCAGGTGGTATTTATTAGCCATCAGACTTGAAGCGTAACTCATGCCCAGGTACCTAATGAATGAGTTAATTAAATAATCTACATATCAATTATTGAAAATATGATTAAACGCCACGTTCTTTGAAGAAAAAAAAAAGAAATTCACATTATCCTGAAACTCACAACTTAAAAAATAATAAAAGAAAATAGAACTTACTTATAGAAAAATCGTTCATGAACAGGAACACTGGTTATTGGGAGTTGTCGGAATGCCGAACTATCAACAGCCATTGCTTGTGGACCTGACAAAGCACCTTCTTTTCGTTTTAATAACTTTCCAGGCACAGTTTCTAAAAAGAACAGAATTTGTATTAAGTGTGCATCAGAGTTAGTCAATCACTGATACAAAATTCAAATAAAACCTGAAGCGAGCCTATGACTTAACGACATTCAAACGTTGTATATTGTTTGTTATATTAATATAACAGCACTCGTTTTTCTTAACCCTGGCAACTCAAAAAGACAATCTTATACGGAAGATTTGTTTGGTAGAGATCAAAAATATGAATGACTATATATATATAAATATTGCAGATTATAAAATGTTATAACTCAACATTTATTAAGGTAGGAAATATTGATCGAACCACGTAAAATCATATGCGTAACATTGAAAATATTAATATGAAGTCATTGAACCAGGCACAAATTCGTATAATTGGCTTCAAGTCAAACTGTGGGTGTACCAGCTAATGATACTACTCAGTTGTTCAAACTGAAGTAGGTAAAGTGGTTCTCAAACCCGTATGCCAATGGCTGAAGGTTAAACGCCTCACCAACTGGACTATCGCTCGAACAACGAATATCATAGTGTATAACTTCTATGTGACTACTAGTGGAACTGTTAGTGAGTGACAAATTCGAAAAGAGATGTGAATCATCTTTACATTTTCCAAAACAACTAACTAACTTACTAATAGTGAAAAATATTAGTTTAGATAAGTGTTTACACTTTTGATGACACCATACTACAATACACACTACAGGTGACTTTGAATTGAAATTTACTTACTTATTATCATTGTACCTTATTGAAGTGTTACTGTTTGATTATGTCATTAGTAATTCGTAATTACTTACTTACTTACTTACACCTGTTACTCCTCGTGAAGGAGCATAGGTCGCTCACCAGCATAGTAATTCGTAATACTATATCAAAACTATAGAAACTCATTTATATGAGATGTTACCAGAAAAGTAAAAAGTGGAATTTAGGCTATAACATCTCGTTAAGAATAGCGATAGCAATTCAATGTACGAACATTCAGGAAATAAAAACATACTCTGAACAGGTTCTTCAGTAGTTGACTTTGTTTCTTTTAATTTATTCAACTTTGGTTTCTTATATGCGAATCGATCCAGAAAATGCATTAATCCAAAATCCGTAAATGGATCTCCAGTGTATTGTATTGGTAAATTATTTAATAATGAATTGGCAAATAAATTAATTGTAGGATGAATATGTTTTGACAGGAGACTAAGTGACCAAAGTAAACATCCAGTAGCCTGTGCAAATTTTGGATCTCGTACAGTTGGATTATAACCATAATTAAATATGTTTCGGGTGTTCCGTTGCTTTTTTAAAGAACGATGATACCATGATGATGTTAATAATACATTACTCTTATCAGTTATGACTGTAGATTTTTCTGATTCGGTCGTTTTATTCGTCATTACACCATTCTGTACACTTTCATCATTATGATTATCATCATCAGAACAATGTGCATCACTGAAATGCTCATCCTCATCATCATCATCGGACTGTTCGAATTTTGCCAAACTCGTCACTTCATTAACTGGCTAATTATTGAATGATAGATAACAAATAATAATAATAATGAGCTACGGAAATATTACAAAAAAAGGTTAATTATGCAGGATAGGAAAATATGTTAACAATAGTCAGCTGAAGATGAAAAAATAACACATTCAGAATTTGTGGAGATTGCATTATTATCACAATTGAAATCACGAGTCAATCTAAGCTAGACCACCGTTGCTACGAAAGAAGGACCATCAAGTATACAGAAAATTAGCAAACAGTTAGTGGCGACTAATCAGAAAAGAGCAGAAGTCATCCAGAAATTTAAATAAGACAAAAAGTATTCGCGGTTACCATTTCTAGTAAGTCAGTCAGTCAGTTAGCCATAGGCAACGTAGAACGTGACCTCCCAGTAAGACTTTAACATTAACAAATATTCAGTAATTCCGTAATCTCCTTAGAACAGTTGGTCATTACTAGCATAGAGCCTGATACAGATGTGCATTGGCGCAAGTTGCCACACCACATTAGCAGAAAGATGTGAAATATATTATGATTAGTAAAAAAGCTAGAAATATTTGGTAACAATCATATTGTGAAAGATTAAGCATTGAGACTATGTTTTAAAAAGTCAAAGTGACAAGGTATGTGAAGGAATACTGAAACTCGAGAACCAGAGGAAGGTAAAGAGTTCATGCAATTGTGCCACTGTGAACTAGTGTAAGTTATGCTACTCACAGTTTCCAAATACTGGTGCAGGAGTGGGCTGGGAGAAAGTTAGAGGTGGCTAAACCAAGACATGACACCATTCCATGAAACCATTGACATTTGGACTTGTTTATGTTAATGGGTACAGACTACCTGATTTGGGTCCGCGTAATCATCGTAACCAATAGTTAGAGGTTTTGAGTGAAATAGCTCAAAATTGCTTGGAATGGCGTAAGTGGATCTGTTCTTTGTATTTCCCCATATTTTGAGGTTCTAAATTTCTCATAACTTATTTAGTATTTGTATTTCACTAAACCATATTTTCTCTTCGGTGCCTAATCTTTCCTATTCCCACTAATACTGTTACTACCTCTACTATTCTGGGATTCGGTCTGACAACTTCATTTTTCTGTGCTAACAGAGTATAGCAACTTGAACCAATATATACATACGTACCAAGTTTCAATTTGTAACTGACTGCGAATGACTGAATGAATACGGCTCCATTTATTTCTGTTTAAAACGATAAACGAATATTTACATGACTTACCTGATACAACTTCGTGTACTCAGCTATGAGCGTTAATAATTCTACACGGCTCCTCAAATCAAAGTAGATGGAGTGGGATTCAAACTAATAAACTCCAGGTTCGAGTCCTGAGAGAGGGTCAACAATAAGAATACATAACTAACCAAACTAGAAGGCTAATTGATACTTGAACCTGGAGCTCAGAAATCAAAAGTTGAATTCTTTATACTAATACTTCATTCTTTTACTAACAACGAATAATGTAGTTACATTTAGAGATAAACATCATTTTTAGATTTATGCAGATTAATAAGAATATTATCATGATTATTATTGTTAAATTGAAATCACTCACTAAATGTTCTTTATTTATTTGAGAAACCATTATAATATTTGGTTTGGATAATGAGACCTGTATACAAAAATGAATAGAACAGGAAATAATACAAAGACAAGATGATAGATTAAGCAAACAGTTGATTGTAAAAATGGAAGTATTATTGTGGTGAAGGTTACTTATATCTATATAAGTAGTATATAACAGTGGTCAGGCATAGAATGTATTTCAGTAGAAGATCAATAAGGAAAGAATGGAAATGGTATGCAATTGGTATGAAAATGCGTAAACAATGAAATCTGAGACAATGGACTGATATTTGCAAAAGGAACAATGAAGTTTGAGACGATGGATTGATATTTTGCAAATCAACTATCTACTATATAGTTCTCAGATTTTATTGAGATGCTCTGTAATTTCGTATCAATTACATTCGATTGTCCCCACTGATGTTCGTGTTCACTACATTATAACTGTCATTGTTATTAGTACTGTGATATGGGTTACTTATATCGATATAAGTAGTATATAATGTCAATCAGGAATAGAATGCCTGGCAGTAGGAGATTGAGTAGATCAAGAAGGGAAGAACAGGAACAGAAAGTAATTAGTATAGAAATGCAGGAACAATGAAGTCTGATACAATTAATAAATATTTTACAAATGAAGTATTAGAGCATGGCTTTTCTATTTTACCAAGTAACTGTAAATGTGTGCTAAATATAATCGGTTGTCATCACCTGTGTTTGCCCTTTACTACAGTACTGCCAATGGAACTGTCGATTATTATTCAATCATGCTATACATGAACGTGATTCGTCTAACTTAAAATGAATAACTGAGTGAACTATACTTATTTTGCTGCATACTTAAAGGATTTCATAACTTTTATTACCTACCTAGCTTGTAGAAAAGTCTTAGTAGGAATCTGTCACTAAACAAACGTTTACAATCTTCTCATATAGTTTATGAAATTTCCAAGTTTCATAATAGTATTGTCAATAGAAAATACTGTCTATGTCAGTCTTTCAGGATCTGCTATAAGATCATTGAATATGTTATGAATAATTCCAGATGACTTAAATATTATTTAACGAATTGGCAAACTGGTGGGTGGGGACAACGATTTGTCTATCCTCGGGTTTAAACAGTGTTTTCCAAAGCTACAATAGTATCTATTATCGAGTGTCATTAAAAAAATTTGATTTCACTGATAGTTAACATACAACAATAATTATTTTCAATTTTTATGCATTCCCTGAAAATTTATTTAAATGCAACAGCTCTCATATTTATGTGCATTCAGTCCCCATCTTGAATATCAGTACCCATTACTGATCTCAGACACAGTTATGACTTTCATTCATGCCATCATCATCATCATCTCATCATCGTATGTTGCAGTTAATCCATATGAAATGATTATAGGAAGTCTGTTAAGTTTGTTTAGGTTCTCTGTCCTTGCTACCTTACCGTCGACTTTATCGTGTATTGTCTTATACTACTTCTTATTATTCAGTAAGCGGTTTCACTCTTAACAATTTCTATGAGTATGTTGTGAATTTTGTGTAATTTTCTAAAATATTTACAGATACTTATAACACTTATTGTATTTACGACTAGAATCACTTTCTCCCAATCCCTCTAAGTTATTCTCAGTCTCGTATAGTCGCTGAATCTTCATTTAAACACAACGGTTTCTATATTGATTTGCTTTTGATTCCCTTTTTACTTGTTGATAAACTGTTATCAAGATTAGACACAGTTATAAGCTGTTATTTGCACTACCATATGTCATAATTATTCTCTATATTACTGTTGCAGGAAGCCCTTATTCTTTCAGAAGCTTTAGGCGCCACAGATATCTCACAAGTTGAGGTTTGTAACTACTTTACGTTTATTCCTCAATATAGAATCATTTTTTAGACAAGTCGTTATTCTATAAACTTCGGTTTGTGTGGGTTAAATGCTTCGGTAGATTTAACGAGGCCTTTTTTTATACATACAGACATCTTAATTATCACAGATCCTTCAGGAGTTGAGGTTAGTAAGCAATGTATATATTTTTTGTAATCATAGAACCTATTTTTGAATAAGTCGTTGTCTTGAACCTCGAATTCACGCGTATCTCAGTCGTGGGATTGAAATCTTCAGTAAACTTGACAGACACATAAGTGAATAATAATTAACTATACCTTATTAATTAAAATCAAGCAACCAACAATAAAACCAGGATCTGTATGCGAAATACATAATTGCAAGATTCTGTGAATAAATGCAACAATTCGATCAGTATCATCATCACCAACCATACTTTGATAGATTAAACGTAGTAGAATTGGATTTTTAGAACTTTGATGAATAGCAGGATCCAGTAATTTTCTATATAAAGCCTAAGAAAATATAGAATAAGAATGTAGAATATCCAACTACGATGCGTAACGTTAAGATACTAGTAACAACAAATAAACAACGCAATTTCGGAAATAGTGGTAATACATAGAGGCCAAAGATCGAATTTAATAATCAGGTATTAATTTCTTTAGCGAGTTAAGTTACTATTGAGTTGTTATTGATATTTTAAAGTTGACAAGTAACAAAATAAGTAACCAATGAATAGTGGAAGTTAGATTTAAAAACATTAATCATAAAACTAAGCTGCTCGTTTCATCGGATAATGTATTTAAATAAACATTACAGACAGAAAATTAAAAACAAATTTATCAACGACTGACCTGATAATAACGATCACGTATGGCGACACAATGAGTTGAAATTTGAAAAAGTACAGACAAAGCTTGGACAGACACAGTGAAGCCAGTGGTATGAACAAGCCGAAACAGATCATCAACTTCACTTAACATAGATGTAAATGCCTCCTCTAAAAATATAATCATTCAATAATAGTTAGAAATGAGAAAATGGATGTAAAAATAACCGCCAGATAAGGAGCAAATATGTTATAGTACGAGTCGAAAATTTTGTTATCATATTTGTACTTATTTGTAACCATTCATCCTCTACTTCTTTAGTGTTAACAACATTCAATAGTTTAACACTTGTTCACTTACTTAAATTCGAGTCATACTTTTGTATATACACCAAACATCCAACCTGACTACTCAAATCAGAATAGCCGAAATGAATTTCAGGCTCGAAAATTGATTTTTTTTAGACTATCGAGTCACCATCACACAAGAAACAATAATGAAATCTTATCAATGAATCCGAAAATTGACAATAGAATTCGCAATATATCCTGTCAATAAAATAAGCTGGAAATTTTTTATTCTTTATCCCCGACTATCAAGTCTAACACATAGTATATAACTACTGGAAGTATTAATGAATAATACAAAACCTTACTTTGTACTTGTTTTGGTATAATATACTGAAGAGTTCTGCATTTTGTATTCTAATTAAACGGAATAAACAAAAAGCGGTGATTTTATAGTTTTTTTATAACTTAATACGCACCAACCTACCAGAGCTAACAGAACTAATGTGACTGAAACACTAGACACTCTTAACCACTATATCACCTCTACTCATTTGGACAGAGACTTATATGAGACTTGGAACAAACTTTTGCAAATGAATGGGAAATAATCCATTCTAAACATTCCTGCATACGTAATAATATCCACTAAACGGATTATCTCCCTACTTCACACAGATCCATGCTTCAGGGTGTGTGGGATGGTGATATTAACTGCCTATGAAGACCCAAACTGGTAGAACCTATTTCAAACCTGCGGCTAATAGTTGAGAACCGACTGCTTTCGTCGTAAAACAACTATTATAATAGTCTGTCTTAGGGTATGATATTGACTATTTGACCAACCAATTCTCGGTTATTAAAATCAATGACTAGAATGTTGATCAATAACTGACATGCAATAAAACGACGTGGTCCAGTGATGAATAATCACGAGGTATATTTGAAGTATTAAATCTGTGATAGATCCATTAAGTGAGTGCGGTTGTGTAGTTTTACATCAGACTGGATTATTTAATAGATTATTGGACATGAACCTACTGGTATCTAGAAATATCAGAAATTTTGTAGTACGAAAAGTTTAAACTAACGACGAATACAGCTAAACTCAGTTATCACGTTACACCTTCGTCAAACAAAATATGTGCCCCTTGAGAACCATCTGAAAACTATGGTTACGAATAGTGAAACATCGACTCCTGGTTGAACAAAATGCAACGACATTAACTGAAAGTCGGAGGTTAAGTGGTTAAAGGACATCGTTCCTAGTCACCGAGTTCTAAGTTGGGACCGCACAACACCTATTTTAAATTATTCACCAGCGTGTTATTAAGCACAAAAACTAAAATATGGCTCGAAGCAATGCACGTAAATACAGCTTCGGTTTGGGCGCCCGGACAGTATTCCAGCCCTCAAACAAATCGAATCATTTCTGTGGAGCACATATATTTGGTGCCTCCTTGTACCGACGTTTATGTGTTTAAATAAATAAATAAAGTGAAAAATAATTACGATATCCATAAGAATAACATTTACCAGAAATAAAAGGAGCTACTCGACATAAACCGCTAAGTAATATAGTGGTAAGTCGTTCGGGGATTTCTTTGGAATTGGCTAAGGAACGGAAAAACGACATGTATATCTTGATCAATGTTGATGCCACAGACGATATATTTGCATCGGTACCGCTTCCACGGGATGAACTCTTCAGCTCCAAACAACTTAGAAGTGAAATAGCGTAGTATTTTGATCTTTCCAACAAATTAGGACGGAACAAGAAAGATCGAACTTCTTGAACAACTAAATGCAGAAAATCACTGGAAATTCCAGCTAAGACTAAGTGATTATGAGCACAGACTTACCAATTAGACGTAACTTATGTATCACTGCAGATGCAAACTCCTTACTACGATCACCGAGTTTATTAATTATTATGTTTAATATTAACTACAGAAATGTAAAAAGACAGTCACTTACCGTTTGATTCTCTTGTTTTTGAACAAGGCTACCAAGAATCCCTAATGACAACGTTATGAACCTCTTAAAAAGTAACTACCTAACGCTTTTCGTTTGAAATTATCTACACAGTCACTTAACAAAAGTTTCTACAAACTCTAAAGCTCGAAAATAGCTAACCTCCGAAGCTTTGATAAACCGCAAATACACCGCCTTTAGTTCATCTTCAAAATGCCACAAGCAAAGGACATTTTCCTTCGAAGAGGGAGTATCTAGTTTTTCTAGCACGTGTGAAGGTCGGTTTGCGACAGAAATCAAAGAACGATTTTTCGGTATCAAGCTACAAAAAAGGTGGCTTAGTATATCTGCATACTAATCAAGGAATAATGAGACAACTTACCCAGAGATTTGAAGCAATCTCGCTTTTTCGATGGCGAGACAAACGATAGTAAATTATCAAGAAATCGAATGGCGTACAGTGGATAAGAGTTCACTAAGTAGGCCATTGCACACATGTAGTCTTGCCCAGATTTTGATTTTAGTGCCATAGATAACCATTCTCGTGTAGTACGATTCAGTGAACCTAATTCACTTGGAAGTCCATTCTTCCATAGCTTCAAACCATAATTCCGCTCAAAAGCAGAACTACATTCGCCACGCAGCTTAAGTAAGTCTTCTGTTGATAAATATGGCCCCGAACACTCGGTCAACTACGAATTATAAAAAAGGAACAACCTACTTTGTTAGTAAACCAACTAGACATGGATAATTTAAATACACTCAAGGTCAAAAGCGATAACAGCCTACAAAAATAAATGGTTTTAAAAAATGATTGAGATAGTAGAAGATAATTTCGTCGAACGGACATTCATATCTAGTGAAATTGGGTCACCGATACCATCGGGTTGGAACCTAGGCATATTTAATGATAAATGAGAAAAACATCAATAAATTATAACGAAATACTGTCCTTAGTCCGTAAGAATATGTCAAGTTCTTTCTTATAGAACTCATTGGAAGCCGTTTGCACTAGCTCAGAAGGCAGAGAATTCCAGCATCTGATTAATCCCAGCGAGAAGAAGGTGTGCCTACGTCCGTTCTGCTATATTGTGTCTCCAGTTTCTTGGTGTTACCCCTGAGGTTTGTGTTGGGGCTGAGCCTAAGTAGGCATTCAAGGGGATGTTCAGAATTGTTTATGATGCTGTAAGCCATTGCGAGATTGTAGTGACTCACATTTATCACGATAACACGACTGCTTTAATAAAAACAATTATTATTATAACCAACTGTACCAGTGTTTGTTTTAATGTGCTTTTGTTTGACTGTGCTAATAACAGCTATATTGTGCTTCCATTCTTATTCACACACTTTGATTGTAACTTCACGCGAATTCGGTTACGTTCTGTAACCAAGCTTGTATTCTGGCACGATACTGGTATCCTTTCGATACCACGAGATCGCCAGCAAATATAACTCGACTTGGTCCATTAACTGCCTTCTGATATTTGGCTTCTAGGGGATTTTATGGATTTATTTGGTTACGTTCAACATTCGCCTTCTGATATATTTGGCACGCGATCCTTTGTAGCGGTGTTCATAGTCAATCCCGACTCAACGCCACGCTACAATATTACCTCTAAGACGCACACTCTGATGAGTAAAGATTCGGTGAATTGAGGCGCTCTTCATAAGGCTTGAATTCGAGTCTCCGAACTGATTTCGTGACTCGAGGTTCCAATGTATACTTATCATTTTGGAGTGAGAAAGGAAATACTGTACTTCCATGTTCTGAATGGGGTCAATTAAAGCCGTTTAAGACTGAGTGAAAAGTTGGGATGGTTGGAAGAAAGTTAGGGGCGACCAAAACAAAACGTGGCACCACTGCTTGAAGTCACTAACTTCTAGTCTGAGCCATGTTGGTATATGCAGACTACCTGTCTTCCCTTAAACTAAGAGATTAAAATTGCTTCATATCTTTCTTTCTACGAAACAATTCTTTCTTCCTGTACTATATCCTTGTTGCAATCTTTCTTTTATATATTACCACCTCTGAATTAAATACTTTTATGAATGCGGTGTTCATCTTGTTGTGTTAATGAGGTATGGCAACTTGGACCGATGCATATATGTGCCTGGTCCTAGGTTGTAGCTGACTGACTTCAACGTTACCAATGAAAGTTTTGCTCGAAACGCACTTTTGTTGTAGTTATCGTAAGACTTCAGATCACAGGGTACCAACACTCCTAGATCTTCTCCAGCTTGAGATATCTCTAGAGGGGAATTACTTGAGTTGTGGTCGTATTCTGTAACACGTCTCAGATGAACTACTTTACACTTTGAAGTGCTGAAGGTAAGTCCGTTGTTATCGACCCAACTTTCAAGTCGAGTCAGATCCTCCAGTAGTGCCAGATTTTCATCTTGGTTGCAAACTTTTCTCCAGAGTTTCACACTGTCAGTGAAAAGTAATGAGACGACACCTGTTGAATAAGGTGTTTTATATAAATTAAGAAAAGAAGCGGTCCTAGCACTTAGCCCTAGGGGATAGTGTTTAGCCCAAAACCATTACGTGTTCATGGCAACCCTTGCCATCGACGCTGCTTTGAGGCGGTCGATGCTGATGCTATCGTTGTTTCCGTTATTATCGACCATGTAGTACTTAGGCTCGCGTTGAAGAACTTTGAAGGTCCTTCGTATGCTGGTTCGTAAGGTCGTCGATGCGAGTCTCGACGTCCGAAGACGTGTTTATTATATCGTATGTCAGGTTGAACGAAAACACCAGTTGATTGAGGTCGAGTGGAAACAGGTTTAACTGAACTTTTAAGCCTGTTCGTGCAGGAGGCTAGATCCATGTTCATTGAAGAGGATGAAGGATCCACGAATTCTCCTGGAAGTCAAAGGGCCGTTCCATAAACGAGTTGAGCTGCAGTGTATTCAATGTCAGCTTTCACTGCATTGCGAATACCTAGTAAGATGAGTGAAAGAGCGTCATTCCTCCAAGAAATGTTTACAGCTGATAGTGAAGCTTTTAGTTGCCGGTGAAAACGTTCTACCAACCCGTTTGCTTGAGGGTGGTGGGCGGTCGTTCGGAAGCGAGTGATTCCTAAAAGTGTGGTCAGACGACGGAAAAGTTCAGATTCAAACTGACGTCCGCGGTCTGTAGTGATGGTTGAAGGGCAGCCGAAGTTTGCTACCCATCGTTCGACAAAGGCGCGATCCACTGTCTCAACAGTGATGTCCTTGATAGGTACTGTTTCTGGCCATCGAGTGAAACGGTCTACGCAGGTTAAGAGATAAGAGTATCCATTTGAATCTGGTAAAGGTCCTACCAAATCCAGATGAACATGATCGAAACGAGCATCGGGAGTTTTAAATGAGCCTAAGGGACATTTGTTGTGTCTGATAACCTTAGATTTTTAGCAGCTCCCGCAGGATCGTGCCCACTGCCTCACGTCTTTATTCATACCAGGGCAGCAAAACCGTTCTGCTATAAGCTTGATGGTTGCACGAACACCTGGATGAGAAAGTTTGTGCAATGTATTGAAGACATTGCATCGATAATATTTCGGCACGATTGGGCGATCCCTACCTGTAGATGTGTCACAAAGTAAGGTTTCCTTACCTGTTCCCATCTGTTTGACGCGTAATTTTAGTGTTGTGGACGATAACTCGTGCTGAAGATCAGTGTCTTCGTTTTGAAGCTCGGCGAGTTCAAGAAGGTCGATTCCTTGGAAACTGTTCAAGGAAGTTATGCGAGATAAGGCGTCTGCAACTACATTGTTTGCTCCAGAAATATGTTGAATATCTGAAGTAAACTGCGAAATGTAGTCCAGTTGTCGAGACTCACGGGGAGAGTACTTGTCAGAAGGAGAGCTTAACGAGAAAGTGAGCAGTTTATGGTCCGTGAAAAGAGTGAATTCACGACCTTCGATATAGTGTTGGAAATGCCGTACAGCACAATACATAGCTAGGAGTTCCCTACCGAATGTGCTGTACCTCGATTCTGTGCCTAGCAACCTTCTAGAGAAAAATCCCAAGGGTTGCCAGGAGTTGTTAACCCATTGTTGTAAGACGCCACCGATTGCCGAGTCCGATGCGTCTACTGCGATACTAATGGGCGCTTCGGTGTCCTGATGTGCGAGCATTGTTGCTTTAGCAATCAGTTCCTTAACTGTGGAGAATGCTTTTCGTGCGTTGTCGTCCAAATTAATGGATTTCGCATTTCCACGAAGTTGGTCGGTTAGCGGTTTCATGAGTAATGCGCATTTCGGTATGAAACGTCTATAGAAACTTACGAGGCCGTTAAACGTGCGTAAGTGCTTGACGGTGGTCGGTTCTGGGTAATCCAGAATGGCCGCCACTTTGGTTCTGAGGTCGGATAACTTGAGCATCGATAGTGTGTCCCAGAAAGTCTAATGAGTCGGTTCCAATTTGGCATTTCTGAACGTTTACAGTAATGCCATGTTTTTGTAATCGTTCGAAAACAAGATCTAGATGCTTGAGATGTGTTTCTCTGTCCGGACTTGCGATTAGGCAGTCATCAACATACGCATGTACGAAGTTGAGACCTCGAAAAACGTCGTCTATGAACCTTTGGAATGTTTGAACAGCATTTCTTAGACCGAAAGGTATTCGCAAAAATTCATAGAGTTCAAATGGAGTAATGATAGCTGTTTTCGGTATATCGTCAGTAGCCATAGGGATTTGGTTATACGCTTTAACCAAGTCGATTTTCGAAAAGACAGTTGTACCTTCAAGGTAGCTGCCAAATCGTGAATGTGAGGCAACGGGTAACGATCGGGAATGGTTTTTGCATTCAATCGCCGATAGTCGACAGTTGGACGCCAATCGTTGCTGTCCTTTTTAGGGACCATGTGCAACGGAGATGCATATGGACTATTTGATGTTCGTATGATCCCTCAGTCTATCATGTGATCGAATTCGTTTGTCGCTAACCTTAGCTTTTCAGGAGCTAGTCGTTGTGCTTTAGAGAATACAGGTGGTCCTGTAGTCGTGATGTGATGTGTAACGTTGCTGGTTGCGCACGGAAATTCTGGTTGCGGTTGGCATATCCCAGAATACTTATCGAGTAGTGGTTGACAGAAGGGGTCTATCGTGTGCTTAATTGTGACTGAAGATAATCTGCGACCGAAAAAAAAGTTACGCAAACAGATAAATTAGTGTTTCCGTCTACTAGCTTCCGTTTGTGCGTATCGATGGTTAAATCGTGGTGCTGTAGTAGGTCCATACCAGTGATTGGTATGGAAACATCTGCAATAACAAAGATCCAGTGGATGGGTTTGCGTAGACCCATGTTAAGGTAAACATACCTTTTACTGTATGTGACGATAAGCTTTCCGTTTGCCGCCTGTAAGTTTAAAACTGATTCACGAAGCCGATCGTTGGAATTTGCCGGAAAAACGCCAACTTCTGCGCCAGTATCGACGAGGTAGCAAACTCTCGTTAGCATATCCGTGAAGTATAACAGAAGGCTATGTTCTCTGGTTACAGTTGCCGTTCACGCGTGCCGGCTTGGAAGTTTCCTGATTTGTTTTTCGTGTCGGTCGATTTTGAGCTAGGAAAATTGCAGGGTTTTCTGAAGTTTTGGAGGACTTTCCATACTGGTTATGATACCAGCACCAGCCGGGGTTTTCAGTTCCTCGTGGTCTATAGACAGATCGTCCACGTGAAGTGCTTCTTCGCAAAGTGTGTGACCGTTTATGGTCATGACATAACTAAGTTATGTCAATCTGGGTCGTTTGAGGCTTTTCTTTGACTGAAAAAAACCTCAGCATTAGTTTTCGTGATTTTAAATATGCGGTCGGTAGATGCAGCTAGCTCGTCTAAGGCGTTGTTTTGAAACGAGACCGGCACAGCTTGGACCTGTTGAGGAAGTTTGAACAAGAAAAGTTGTCTTAATACGCCATAATCGAAGGTTTTTTGGCCGACAACCTCCCTCATTCTTTGCAACATGCCTGTCACAGAACTGTACTGCATGTCGGTGTTATTAAGGAGTTGGTCTAACCTTTGTCGATCAGTCAGGTCTCCACGTTTAAGGATAGCTCGGTTAAGTGTTTCGTAGGATTCAGGAACATCACTAGTAAATATACTAGGTGTTACGTACCTGTTGAATTCGCGCGGTAGTGCCTTGACTACTGCGAGGATTTGTGCACGTGTGTCGTCCACGCCGTACTCGTAGAAGTCGGCCTCTGCGTAGCAGAACCAGGCTTCAATTTTATCTGGCCAGAAGGGCATCGGTTGGAACGAAGGTTGAGTCATAGGCTATAGCTTAAGTACGTTGTGTGTCTGTTCAGTCATGGTGAAATATCAAGTACAGGAATGAACGAGTGAAATGTATATATATCCAAAAACACGGAGAAAAATATCGCAGTGTATAAAAAATTAAAATAAGGCAATGATATATAGAATCCCAAAAAGGAACAGACTCACAGTCTGCAGTTTGGCGTACCACATAACGTCGGGCTGACCAATAAAGACGCCACAGTTATTCGGAGTTTGACAACGCCTTAACCAGTAACACCTAATATGAATTGTACCCACCAAGTGAAATCAAAAGACAGAAGCGAGGAGGTTCGAAGATATAGGCCATCAATATATCGAGGATAATCTGATCTAATCTGGCTAGCGATTGTAGGGGTTGTTGAGCACGGCGTTCCCACTCGTGATCTGGTGCGGATGCATGACCGGACGCCCTCAGCTAGGTGAGTCCACTAAAACTAATGTGGTCAGCATCCAATGTCGAAAACATACAGAGCTATTTATTTTGAGGATTTATTTACCGCTACTATCTTGTTTATTAGATAACCAATCAACAGTTTTTATGATGGGTGATTTTGGCATTCTATCGAGTGTACTCGTCCACCCAACTATCATCGTACGTTTACTTGTTTCATGGTCATCTGGTTTGACGATAACTCTGTGCCCGTATTGTCCTATCCCTCCACACAAATTCACTCTTATTGAGTTGTGTTTTTGGTATTATATGAAATTTTCAGACCTGCAGAATGACCTGGGTAACTCTTAAACACCTTCCATCAGAATTACCATACTCCATCAAAAGATTCTGGCTACTTATGGTAATAAGGATTAGTCACTTCTGTATGCTAAAAGTATAGTATTCCTTCTCTCATTCCAAAATGATAAGTATACATTGGAACCTCGAGCCACGAAATCAGTTCGGAGACTCGAATTCAAGCCTTATGAAGAGCGCCTCAATTCACCGAATCTTTACTCATCAGAGCGTGTGAGTCTTAGAGGTGATCTCACAATGACTTACAGCATCATAAACAATTCTGAACATCCCCTTGAATGCCTACTTAGGCTCAGCCCCAACACAAACCTCAGGGGTAACATCAAGAAACTGGAGACACAATATAGCAGAACGGACGTAGGCACACCTTCTTCTCGCTGGGATTAATCAGATGCTGGAATTCTCTGCCTTCTGAGCTAGTGCAAACGGCTTCCAATGAGTTCTATAAGAAAGAACTTGACATATTCTTACGGACTAAGGACAGTATTTCGTTATAATTTATTGATGTTTTTCTCATTTATCATTAAATATGCCTAGGTTCCAACCCGATGGTATCGGTGATTCACTGTTACCAGATACGGGAGCCTGTTAAGCTAGAGCTCCTTTTATTCTTTCCACAACCCCTTGAACCGTTTTATTGTTTACTCTCTGAGATTGTCGATGTCTTAAAATCAACAACGGGTTCAATAATCTTAACATAAGTCATACATTTTAAAACAGCTTCTTATCTGTTAACTAACACTGAATATATTTACACTTATTTTTATTTCAACGTCCCTATCTGATTAAATCGTTATATTTTTGATATATGTACAGTACTCGTCAAGCCGAACCTCAGTTCTTTGTTTAATCTAGTTAACACGGTACATCAAGGAGACACGTAAATAAATAGACGTTTCAACTTGTAAGATGGTAAGGCACCATTCATGTTTAGTATAACATTGTCTAGCCAACCTCATCCTCTGCGTCATCAAAGTCTGCCACTGCATCACCGAGGGGATCAGCCGGAGGTGCTCGACAGAGAAAGGTTAGTTCATTAATTATGAGATGCTATGGTATTAAGTACACATTTATTATACTTCGTTGTGCTCTCATAACACAACTCAAATATATTAGGTGCCTGTAAATCCATACCTCAATGCATATAAAACGATATCTTGATTTAATACTTCTGAAATACATGATCTCTTTCAACAAAAAGCCGAAATCTTCGGTATCTCCTAGAAGAATTTTGTTAGTTCTATTTAAAACCAGCTTGTTTTGTATTACTTTCAACTTTATTTTCAAACTCTTGGGTGTGACTCATGGACAAAATACCAATATACCAAAACACACATTGTATTCAATCGACTCGGGAAGCAGATTTTTCAAGTGAAAAGCTTCAGTCTTCAGTAATAAGGATAGTAGGTTGATGAACCTGTGTTAATCCTGACACATTGCTTTCCACTGAAGGTCCAGCTTTTCCTTGAAAGTATTCACTGATGGGGCTGTTACCACTTGTTCGGGTAAGGCGTTCCAATGATTGACTACTCGATGAGAAAAACGGGATCCCACTTTAAGTTTATTAGATCGTGGTTTATGAACCTTCTTGCTATGACCTCGGAGATTATTAGTGCTGGAGGGAGCAAAAAGATAAGACATATTAACACCCAAATCATAATTAAAGATACGAAATGCCAGTATAAGGTCACCTCGTGTCCTACGATACGACAAGGGGAAAAGATTTAGGCGCTTTAAGCGCTCATCGTAAGGAAGTCTAGAAAGACCCTTCACTAATTTCGTTCCCACATGCTGGACACGCTCAATGGAGTTAGTATCCTTTACTAGACACGGGCTAGCTGCTTGGATACAGTACTCTAAATGTGGTCTAACATATATGGGATATAAAATTCGAAACGTTTCCTCGTCAAAAGATTTGAACGCTCGGCGAAGTGACCATAACGCACGAAAACCTTTGACAGCGGCTGCTTTGCAATGCGCAGTTGTTTTTAAGTCATGACTTAATATTACTCCTAAGTCCTTATGCTCTTGAACGCATGGAAGAGGTTTACCCTCAATAGTGTAACGGTAACTATTACCGTGACCGACGTGCATTAGTACACTCTTCCTAGCATTGATTTCTAAGCCCCACTCTCGAGCCCATCCAACTAAATCGTCTAAGTCAGCTTGAAGATCCAGATGATCAGCCGCACTTTTTATTGTTCTCCAGATTTTTACATCATCTGCAAACAATAATGTTGACGACCTAAGTAACAGTGGTAACTCATTAACGTAGAGAAGGAAGAGCAGAGGGCCTAAGATGGTGCCTTGGGGTACACCACTTTTGACCGGCTTCCAATCGGATAGCGTTCCATTGACCCTAACTCTCTGTCTGCGGTCACATAAATCCAGTTTACTCCTATAAAGCATAACTTACATAAGTACAGCTAAATGTAATACAGATAAGATTGAAGCCGTGTAATATGTGTACATAAGTTCATTTGCGAATGTGAAATAGAAGGAATTCATAAACCTTTCACATATAAATTGGACATGACCCTTCAATGATAAGTTTCTAGACGAGATATTTCACTCCTGTTAGTCGCAAAAATGCCTTACGTGGCTCTTCAATTGTTGCTTTCAGTGGTTTCCTGTTGAATGTGGTTGTAAATATTTGAGTTTTCCGGCCATTCAACCCTTATTAATTCTTAAATACCATTCTACCGACTATACGTAAAAATCCAGACGCTATTTTGACCCAAATTCACAGTTTATATCCAAAAACATTATGCACCATGGATGTTTGTTTTCCCTTTTCAAACATGCATGAGAATCTTATTTCGGTCATTTCTGTTATCTCAGATTAATAAAGCAGTGTACAGTTCTGATTATTACCTAGTCAGCTTTTGCAGACGTCAAATCAAATAATCTGATCAATATTCGCTTGTAAACTTTTCAATCAGACGACTCAATAGAGACATTCCTCATGTTTCTATGATTACATAAAGTGCATAAAGCATTGAAACAAAGTAAATAAACCACAATTAATGATGATTGCGTTCTCGTTGTTACATTTATTGGAAACTAACAATTGTGGGATTTCTTGGTATGGGTTTTCTCTATTAGTAAGATCATAATACTGAGGTTTTGCATAGAGTACTTAGTAAATTGACTGTTAGGTTTAAAAACCATTGACACAAATAGTTTGACAATTTGTTGAGTATATCTAACTACCGTTTGCTTTAACCCACGATGCTGGCTAACAAAGCAATAAGTTAGAGGAAGACTAGGGTTGAATAAACTCAGGCAGTCTACCAAGTTATTGACTGTTAGTCTGACCGTCGTCAGTAGGTGCATATGTTCTGGTTAAATGTTATCAGCTAGTCATATCCTATGGTCGGAATACAGCAGGTTCTTAACAGTTAAAATGAGATTTAATTCTACATGGATATTAGAAATATTTCTGCACTCTCCAATATTGGCGAGGCTTTAAAAATAATCAATGTATTCCTTCACTGTTCTCTTAATATCACCGGCTAAGAAAATTGACTATCAATTTATGACAGACCACGGCGAAATGAAAGGTAATTTTTTGGAGTTAATATCTGTCAAATTACCTTAACTGTTTAGGTGATATAGAAATTGTCAAAGTCAGTGGTTTATGACATCAGTGATGGCTCGAATCAAGAGCTCGTACCGTTCTTGTCACTCTTCTTTTGCATTTATTCATAGGTAGTAAGATGTAATCCTACCATTATAATTGGTATCTATCTACTATACAGAACTCGGTCTTTTTGGCTCAATTGGAAATCGTGGAAGCAGATTATTTTGTTATACTTCTTTAGATAAATTCATCTCGTCTGTTCGTGAAAACTAGTCTCTTCCACTGGTTATGTCAGTGCTTAGAACGCTGCATGACTTTTTGTAGGCTTCCGAAATCTTGATGAGTGCTTCTAACTGAACTCGGCATATTCTGTGATTTATCTTTCGTTTACGCTGCAATTATTTTTGATAACTAACTGTATATGGATTAGCATAATACCTATAATATGTGTCAAATACTTCACAATATCTGCTTTATATCCAACGCTTGTAATGTCGATAAGGGATTTTTACAAACTATCTGTGCTGAGAAACTTTAGTTGACTGTCTTGCTCTGCTTCTTTAACAGCCAATAATCTAGCTCTTTGTTACTGTTTATAAACACAGTTTATTATCTTGGAGGGAACTTTCCTGTTTAACTGACTTACTTTTTCTTGTAACGTACATAAGCTTACATGTGTGCTTTCAGGACATACGCTGCATGTGTTACAGTAGCGTTTACATTTAGCTTGATTCGATGAATGTTTGAAATGTGTATTCTTATTGTTTTTATGATTCCTGATAACACAAATTTTTTACAATGAATCAGTTTAATTGAATTTACGTAGCCGTATATCAGATAGTGTTGCCTAAATATTGTGTCGAGTCCGAATGCTGTTTTCTTTTACCATTAGCTTACAGACACTTTATGTTGGTTTCTAATCACTAAAGCAACCATATCTCATAGACTGTGTAATTGTGTTGGTATTCATCATCAGTAGATATTAAAGCATCTCTATTTAATTTATTTCAGGGTCAACAATACAGACCATGTGATTCATTCAATAAGACTATCGTCTTGTATAAATCTGTGTTCATCGTTACGGACCGTTTTCCAAGCTCTAATATTACTGTTAAATAAGATCATTGATCATCAATCAATCATAATCAACATATAGAGCTTTTCAACTAAACCATTTTATTTCGATAACCAAACCCATCCACCCAAGCTATAAAGCCTCTTCAGCATTTCATAGTCTAATTGTTTGGAGGAATTTAATGATTTGTAGAGGAAATGGGTACTGATATTGTACCACAAAAACGAGACAACTCATACACTTCTTGACCAAGTAATCTACCCTGAAGCATTTTTAATCGCCAAAATCGTTTTATTAATAAATTTGGTGAAACGATTGTACTTTGATGGAAGCTTTTGGTTTTCTGCCGTAATAACAGTGGATAAACCATAGCGCTCGTGTTTCTTTACGGTTGCATTTTATGCAGATACGTTTAATAGAATTGCGAGCGATAGGTCAACAATGGTTGGGAATAATTAACTGTGTTCCATAAAATATTTGTTTGTTTTGTAAAGAAGATCAAGACTGCCCTCGAAAAACTTGAATCTTGTTAGTTAACAGAAGTAGAACATATACCAGGTTACATTATCGTTTTCCAAAATGTATTCATTTCCAGAAATCTAATTGTAATGCGTACGATGTATTCTATTTTCAGGCACCGGCTTCTTCAGCTAGACGACCAGTTGCTCCAACTGCACAGAAAAACCCTGTTTTCCTGTTTTATTCAGAAGATTCTCCTGGAATCAAAGTTGGACCCGTACCAGTACTAGTTATGAGTCTGTGTTTCATAGTTTCTGTATTTCTTTTGCACTTCTGGGGTAAATATACCCGCAGTGCTTGAAATATTTACTATATTACTTATTTTGTGATAACTTGGTGAATGAGGTGAGGACCTATTTAATAAAATCGGTTGAATAACCATGTTATCAAGTACTGTTTTGAATAATTTCTTTAAAAAAGCCTAGGTCTTCACGCATCTCCCAGTACGTTAATCAAAGTCCTTTTCTACCGAAAATGTCGTACAATCTACTCTAGTTGTTTGGGTATCTTCTTTTTCATATTTATTTCCACTGGTTTTACCACTAGTTTACTTTTTATACTGGTACATAAGAAACAATAAACCGTTTTGTAACCCATAGTTTTATCCAAGTTGTTACGTTAATAAATTCCGAACTAGTTAGGTTTTGCCACTCACCGCTATTATGAAACATCAAAGCTTCTGACGACCCAAATACACTATGTAAATTCTGCGTAGCCGCAGATGTCTGAACTGCGACAGATTTAGTAAAATTTACATGCGGTCATATTCTAAATGGCCGATTTGCCGAAAAATCAAAGGCTGTTACCTTCATTAGCGATTAAATACGGAGCACCTAACTGTAATATCTGGTTAAGCTTTGAGCTCCAAACGTTTCGTACAATACATCGTGACCTCCGTTCTTTGTGTTGCCGGTCGCTATTCTGCGACTATGGATGATGTACCTTACAGATCATTCCATCCCATATTACGACTTACCTATGGTTTATGTTTGCCCCTATTTTCAAATGTAGTCTAGTTACATTCTAATCTGACATTTCTTACAGGAAGGATTAGTATGCAGCCTAATCGTCTTCTTTTACACTACAGGAGTTCAGCATTTGGTACTAGTTTTGAAAATAGTCAGCGTTACTGGTAAATAGCTTGTTTTTAGTGGATTAGTACTTACTGTATATCATTGTGTGGATGCTACTAAATCAGAATAGTTTAATATATGCACTGGGATAACCTTGACTAACACAAATTAGCACATGATGCGTTATGTTTATCTCACCTAAAGCTTGCTATAAGTGGTTCAATATATGATACACATGTCCATCAGAATGCCTCACATACCAAAATAGACATATCTCGGTACCCGACACCTGAGTCCCATTTTACTTTTACTAGAACCCCGTCCACTACAACATATTAAATTAAATGCGTAGTAAGTGCTGAATTGGGATTGGTCTTAATTTGAATCACTTCGTATGCGGCCCTTAGAAGTTTATTTCCGCGTACTTACAAGTGTTTTTGACTTAACAAGAAATGCTGTTAGTTGAAATCGCTTCAATACTAAGTATGACTTATCGAATCTACGTATCCCAGAGTGGCTTTAGCAGACGAATACCACCACATTTACTCACAGGACTATAACGTGGTCCTCGAAATCCTTGGTTAGGGACTCGTGGTCAAACTGCATTACGATGCTAGTGCTAACTTGGTATCCTAAAGGGAAAAGGAGAGAAGAGAGACCAATGAAAACATGGTTTCGGGAACTAAAGACACATCAGAAATTAATAGCAGTTGAAAATAACTGGGAAGGACTGCTCAGTACACAGCTCTATGGAGATTCTTGATGGACGGTTTATGCTACTCGACGAGTGACAGGTGTAAGCAAGTAGTGACCGTAACCATTATTCTGCATATGCAAGGACTCACCTTATACCTTAATATGACTTCTAATAGGAACTGTTGTGGTATATAATAGGAGTTTTACAATCGTACTCCCCATTTTCAATACAGACAATATAATCACGTCCTAGGATGACATTACACAACAGTCAGCTCCGAAATATGCACCTAGGTCGAGAGCTACAGAGATATCAAGAAATGGTTTATTTCTAATCCAATTAAAGATACTCATTATTTACGTGAGACATAGATGTTAAAGTGATTGACGTCTCATTTCAGCATACCAAGGTTCAACACACGCTACAGTTGCACGTGAGTAACATAAGTGCATCTCCTAATTATTTTAGGAAGTTTCTTGCCATGGTAACTGACAGTTCTGTGGTGAATAAGTTGCTTATGTTGGTCAGAAATCTCTGCGTTTTGTCAGCGTCTTCACCAAATAAAACTTTGTCATCGGCATATTCTAAGTCAACAAGTGAATCTCCCAGCAGAAGTTCAACACCTGGAAATTAAGATGAGAGTGTTATCTCTAAAAGTACGTCGACGACAAAGTTGAACAAGAATGGGGAGAGTGGACAGCCCTGACGAACACCACTTGAGGTAATCGATTCTGATGACAGTTCGCCATAAGCTCTCACTCTACCAGTTGTGTTCGAGTAGAGAGCCTTTATAAGGTTAATGTACTTCTTTCAGTGACAAACACTGCCATAGAACCTTACGATCAACTGAGTCAAATGCCTCCTTAAGGTCGAGAAAGTGATTACAACTATAATCTACAAACCTAAGTATTTACTTTGTACAAGTGTATAGAACGCATATAGGCCCACATAGCTGTTTTTTTATCTGGAAACTATTAGAAATCGCTCGCTATTAACGAGTTTACGAATCCAATGTCATCAATCTTTCATTATGATCAGATACATATAGCTGACCGAATAAACCCGCAAAGAATGCCTGGTGACAATTTCCAGAATATGTACCTACTATTGCGAAATATCGAGGATCTGAACATGAATCACAGTTGTGAACATACACAAATATACCCCCGTGCAGAAATCGTAAACTGGTGTATTGCATGTGTAGTATTTTATGAGAACTTGACTTTGAGAAGTGCTAGAGAAGCATAGCATGAATTAGGGTGGGGAACTCACAGTTTAGAGCGAGATCTATGCGACGTCACTAGACTTTACTGGAGCAACACCGAAGTCTTTGGGCTATTGTAGTATCGAAGAACCAAAATGTCTCAATTGCCGGCTCTCGGTTCTTCCAATTTATACCAGTTATGCAGGATACTATTAGGTTTCCATTTAAGCAGGCTGCACTCACTACCGTTGGTAAAATCGCTACAGCGTCCTATCACGAAATAAAGCATAAAGGGCACAACAATGGGTCGGAATAAATCATTTGACAGGAATCCGACTAGCAACTTAGTTCTTGACGGGAAGTAAACTCCATCGAAGATACGGATGTCAAACCAATACATGGGTGCAATTCCAGAACTACGCGGTTTACCACACCAAGAGCGGCTTTAAAAGCTGGACCTCTTCACTCTGTGCTATCACAGACTAAGGGGAGATCTAATTCTGATATACAGAATACGGAAAAATGATTTTGGACCTAACATATTCTCTTTTTCTCCCACTGGATCGGGACATTGCAGTAGAGTAGAAAAACAAGAACGAACAAAACACCAGTGGCATACAGGTTTCCACACTGAGTCATCGATACTTGGAACCTGTTATCCGAAGCAGTGATGTCCTCAACTTCGATTGATTCATTCAAGAGAAGACTGGACACAGAATCATACTAGAATAGGAATAACATAGGCTTTCTGTCCTTACTACACAAATCCGCATCTGTACTTAGTATTGGGGCATATGCTTATATTTTACAAACTAACTGAATGTGTATTAGCGTGCACACACACCTGTCTTCGGTAACAAGTTAGTGAACCTGTGTGGATCCTGACTTCCAGTGAATGTCCAGCTTCCCCTCGAAAATAGTCAGTGATGGGTCTCATACCACCTGTCCGGGTAAGGTCTTCCAATCATTGATTACCCGATGAGAAAAACGGGGCCCCACTTTAAGTTTATTAGATCGCGGTTTATGAACCTTCTTGCTATGACCTCAAAGATTATTAGCGCTGGGGGGAGCGAAAAGATCAGATTAACACCGAAATCACAATAAACAAGACGAAATGCCAGTGTAAGGCGACCTATCGTCCTACGATAAGACAAGAGAAGGTTTAGGCGTTTTAAGCGTTCATCGTAAGGGAGTCTAGAGATACCCTTCACCAATTTTGTTTCCACACGCTGAACTGAGTTGGTATCTGTTATCAGTTCATGGGCTAGCTGTTTGGATACAATACTCTTACATAGGTGGGATATAAAATTCGAAGCATATCATCAAAGCATTTGAATTCTCGGCGAAGTGACCATAACCCACGGAACACTTTCACAGCAGCTGCGCCGCAATGCATAGTTGTCCTCACGTTGTGACTGCTTATTACTCATAAGCCTTTATGTTCCTGAACTCATAGAAAAAATGTACTGTTACAGTATACTGGTAAGTTACCGTGTCCGATGTGCATGAGCACACTACTCCTACAATTAACTTCTAGACCCCAACCTCGAGCCCATCTAACTAATTCATCTAAGTCAGCTTGGAGATCGAAATGATCAGCCTCACTTCTTATTGTCCTACAGATTTCGACATCATACGCAAGCAATAATGTCGACGACTTAAGCAATAGCAGCAATTCATTAACGTAGACAAGGAAAAGTAGTAGGCCTAAGATGGTGCCTTGGGGTACACAACTTCTGACTGGCTCCCATTTGGATATCATCCTATAGACCCTCACTCTCTGTCTGTGGTCACATAAGAAGTTTCCTATCCATTCCTGTACAGCACTTGTTATTCCGAAGCTCGAGAGCTTCTGCATAAGACCTAAGTGTGAAACATTGTCAAATGCTTTGCTAAAGTCTATGGGTGTCACGTTGAGACAGACCGTTATCTAGGGCTGCTGTCTAATCCTCTCTCGCAATAAGTTAGTCAGCATGAACGCTTGTCACGAAACCCATGTTGCTCGGGAGTTAACAGATTGTGCGAATCTGTGACTTAGTAACTTAACCCGAATAACGAATATGCTGGTTAGACTGACAGGCCGGCAGTTAGTTACGATATGTCTCTGATCATCTTTAAACATAGGACTGATCACAGCGTCTTTCCAATCTGTAGGGAGTTGAGCGAGTGAGAGACATGTTGAGAGGAAGAGGATGATTTCCACTACCCTTCAGTTAAAAAAACAAGAAGGAAAATATTTAACACACTTAATAATTGATTGCTTTTCCATAAATTGTTAATAAAACGAATTGGAATGAGAAGTAACCCTATTCTTAATGTACAGCGCTATATAATACAATGAATCACACTCATTTTTATGAACTTGTATTCAAGCATTCTTGCAATAGGCATTTCGCCTGTTTGAATTCTTCTGTGTCTTTGAATTCTTCTTCACACTCCTACAGATAATTTGAAACCATTACTTTACATACTTACTTCAGTAGCACTTTCCAGTTCCTTAATAGCTTTGGCAAGTCTGGATTGGCAGTCTGGAATCATCATTTTGGATTCGTCTAAAATTGCTCTCTTTTTCGCAAGTTATTGTACACGAAATTCATACCGCCATTTTAATATCATGCTCTTCAGCTTGTGCGGCAACCTTATTGTTATAAATCTCCGTACATTTAACAACTTCTTCTTCGTACCTAGTCTTTTCCTTCAGAATCCTGAACAAGTAAAAGTACAACTTAACGCATTTACCGTTTGACTACATTAGTGTTGATATTTAATGTTCGAAGCCGCTTATCTGTCATAACCGTCCAGGACAGAAAAAATTCAAACTGGACCCGACCGTTCGCGCACTATTTAAAAGGACAGTGGAATTTTTCCTCTCTGAGTGAATTTCATTGTATTGATCGTTTATTATGTATCGAGACTACTGTTCATACTTTAATTGAATTTATTTCATTCAAATTATACGATAAAAATATCGTTTTTGTTTCTAATTTCGTTTATTATCAGTACTTATAAGTAGTTTGTTTTCTATTGCATTTGTTAGTACTTTAGGTCCTAACAGTTTACAGTTTTCCACCTTTTTGATCATGGATCACTTTTGTCTCTGGGTACTATTGTGTCTAGTTTTTTTCGGAGAACCTCTGTTCAATGACTGGACAGTGGAAGAAAAGCAATTACCGACGTCCGAGCTGTTGATATCCCGTTGAAAGCGGCATGCAGTGTGATGAGTACAACGGCTGGTATCTCGAAGTTTGCACGAACTTGACGCCTGCGGCTATAAAACTGTTTAGTGAAAACGGTTGAATATGGCTTTGTCAGTAGTGCAGTTTGGGCTCAAGCAACTTGCTAACCGAGGCCATCTCAATGATAAATGCCGCAAATAAGTGTTTTGGCAAACGTGGTAGGGATACATTGGACAGCACTCACTCTACCGACACACAAATTTATTTGAAGCCACCTCAAGTGAGGTCGGAAATAGCTGACTCACATCGATCAAGGGAGGAAAGGCTGTCTTCAAAGCGGTATGTCTTAAATTAAAAACTCAAAAAAGGAAGTTTCCTGTCCCACATTCTCTAGACGGTACCCAGCACGAAAGCCATCGCAAGGCTCGATCGGTTTCTAGCGGTAAACACAACCTGATTTCAAATCGTTGATAACCCGCCGGAATCCCACAGTATGTTTGGCACGAACATGGTTGCTACTCCAACCATAGTTGACGAATGGGTACAGGTTGTAAGCAGGAAACAACATAATGGTATAAAATAAAATCCTATCCCCTCCCCACAAAAAAGTAGTCGAAAAACGGAAAGCTTATCAGTGTCAGGTCAGTTATTTTTCATAGAATCAAGGAGAGTGAAAGCTTTGAACCTAAAACTCATTTTTGGCATAATTTTGGGTTGATAAAACAGATACTACATCAACTCATGCCTCAAAATATCTGCGGAGTCACCTTGCTAAAGGTGTACAAACTAGGTAGCCCAGAGAACTTGAAGCCTAATCAATCCAGACTGCTTAAAGTAGTATTCAAATCTTCGAATAAACGGGACTTCATTTTACAGAATGGATATAAATTAAAGGGTTAAGGAGTTTTTTCCGTAAAGACTTGATGCCAGTAGACCGTGTTAAAACGAAGGGAAGCCGAAAACAAACTACAACCTATGTTAGACGCTGGTGAGAATGATCTAAAAATAGTAGATTTTCGGGTTGTGGTTCTTTGACAGAGAATGATGCCAATGCCACTCTGGGTGCATCACGAAGCCAGATAAATAGGCTTCGGATCTTTTGCACTAATGCCCGAAGCTTTCTCAATAACTGGTTGAAACTATGCGTACAGACTGACTCTACAAAGCCATATATAATCACAGTCACAGAAACTTGGCTGAGGCAGCCTATAGATAGTATGGAACTTCATTTTGAGGGTTTAAGAGCTGACAGAATCCAGAAGCGTAAAGGAGGGAGAGTAGCTCGGTTCATTTGGAATGCTATTTCATTTGCCATTATCGACAGTGTATCCTATGAGAGTGGGACATGTGAATTAGTTAGTTGCTGCTTGAAATGCAAGGGACAAGAGCTGCTGATTGATTTGGTCTATCGCAGTCCAAGCTGTTAGGTAAATGAGTTTCCCAATACTTGGTCAAAAAGTGGTCGATGTTTTATCCCAAGAGACTTTAATGAACCCATGGTAGACTGGGAAAATCTGCGAACTGAAATGTCAGATAGTTTATGCGAGCACGATCTGGTCGATTTATTTGTCACATGTGTCCTGGTGCAACATGTATAAGAAGCGACTGGGTACTATCCGGATTCTCAATCATTCTTACTAGGTCTTATATTGACCCATTATGAGGATGACGTTACGAACCTCCATTACATGCCACTCCTAGGTAAAAGTGATCATACAGTCCTAAACTCTGACTTCCATATAATTGTCAAAAACGAGCACGCGTCAGCTCGATCCAGACCTAACGTCTGGAAAGCAAATATACAAGATATTATACACTCAGCATCGCCAGTAGACCGAAAAATAGAGCCAGCGTCCTCCATCGAAACGTCTTGGGACTTATTTTGAAATTTATATTTAGAAGTTACTGCAGCCCGCATCCCTTGTGCTAAACCAAGGGGACCGAGAAACTATGCACCGTGGTTCAGTGGGAAGGTTCTCCGTAAGAGAAGAAAAATACGGGATAGATTTAAGTTACTGGGGACTGATGAGACAAAATCTCATTATCGAAACGCTCGAATACCTGTGCCTTAACACTCTGTAGTGGTGCATAAACCAAAGGATTAACAGAAGACAAGATATTCCATAAACACTAATAGTGTTTCATTAGTACAGGTATATTATGGTAAAGCTCTGGTATTCTCAAGGTTCTTTAACAATGCGTATTTCTTAGAGATGCTTTCCCATTCAGTTCATGTAACCCACACGCACACACTGAGTCGTGTGACATTCGAAGAACCCGATGTCGTCGGTCTATTAAAAGAGCCTAATATGAGCAAATCCATAGAGTCTGTTGAAATGCATCCTAGGCTACTAAGGACTTGACAAACTTTGTCGTGAACTCCTTATACATATTCTTTAATCTATCCGT